CTGAAGCTTATCGTGATGCTGTTGCCAGACAAATTCAGATATGGCTTGATGAGGGTGTTGTTGAAAGATCTGCTAGTCATACACGTTTCAATCATCCATTGTTGGTTGTAAAGAAAAAGGACGCTGATGGTAATTACACAATGTCTAAGCCTAGAGTGGTGTGTGACGTTCGTAAGTTGAATGCTGTCTTGGAAGTGGATGACAAACAACAGTTACCTTTGATCTCTCATATCCATCAGAGCATTGGTACAAAAATGATTCATACTTGTCTCGATATCCATGCTTGCTTTACTAGCTTTGGTTTGGATCCAGAGCAAGCTCATAAAGTTTCATTTACTTGTCCCTTCACGAATATCCAATACACCCATAAAAAGGCTGCTTATGGAATTCGCCATGTCGGATCGGTGGTTGTACGCACATTGCAAACACTGCTCTCTGATTTGAATACAAGCTCTAGTTCTACTTCGTTTCCTACTGATGGTGATCACTCGGTTTCCTGCTATGTGGATGACATCTTATGCAGTAGTAATGGGAGCCTACAAGATCACTATGCGTTGGTTGCTGAGGTAATTCGTCGTTTAACCGATGCTAATTTGGTGCTCAATCCTGAGAAAGTCGTCTTCGCTCAGCGTAGTATTTATCTCTTGGGATGGAGTGTTATTAATGGTAAATTACTGCCTGACGGTAGAAAACTTACCAACATTGCAGATTGGCCGGCTATTACCACTGGTCGTCAATTGGCATCTTTCTTGGGTTTAATGTCATACTTTCGTGCTGCCATTCCATGTTATTCTCGTCTGACTCGAAATCTTGATAGCTTGAAACAGTACAAAGATCTAACAGATGTTTGGAATGAGTCTCATACAAAAGCGATTGCTGACTTGAAGGATGCACTTACGATGGCACTTGTGCTGTCACCTCCTGATTTTTCGATTCGATTTCACTTGGCTACTGATGCTAGTTTAACTGCTCTTGGCGCGGTTTTATATCAAGTGGTCAACGATGAAATTCGATATGTAGGTCTCGTATCTCGTAAATTGTCTGTTTCTGAGCGTAACTACAGTACTACGAAAAGGGAATTGCTAGGGATTTGCTATGCCTTGGTTAAGTTTCATCGTTTTCTGTATATGCGAGAGTTTACCTTACATACGGACCATAAGAGTCTGATCTACTTGAATGCACAGGAAGTCCCCAATGCACTCATGCTTGGATGGTGGGAGACCATTTTTTCTTATACTTTCGATATTGTGCATTTGCCCGGTGTCCTTAACGTAATTCCTGATGCTTTATCTCGACTTTACGAAGATTCGGATGCTGATGCTTCAGCACGACATCTTCTGGGGGGCAGGTACTATGCTGATGGTGGTGAAAGTGTAAAGAGAAAGAAAAAGGGTTCCAAAAACAAACTCAAGGTTGTCACACCTTCGCCTCCAATGAAACGTACTTTGGTCAAGACAACTAAGGCGTTACGATCTAATTCTTTTAGCAACCATGCACGCACTGCGGTAAACGCTACTCTTATCAAAGATGGCACCACCACAGCTGTCTCGCAAAAGCAAAAGGAATTCATATTGCGTACGCTTAGCTTTGCTGACTATATCACTCCTCCTGCTAATGAAAGAGACAATATGATCATTGCTCAGCATCTGGTTGGACATTTTGGGATCAAACATGTTGAAACTGCAATTCATCATGAAGGGTTTCACTGGGTGAACATTCGGAAAGACATAGAAAGAATATTAGCTGATTGTGACGAGTGTAACAGGTACAATATCGCTAGAGAGGGATATCATCCTTTCCGTAGTGTCAATGCAGCCCAACCTTTGGATCATTGGTGCATGGATCTCGGTGATATGGGTGTTACTAGCTCTTTCGGCAGCAACTTTCTATTTGTCCTTACTGATTACTTCACGAGATTTACTGTGATAAGATGCATTCCAGACAAGAAGGCTACGACAATTGCCAGGGAAATGCTTCAAGTTTTCTCACTTTTTGGATGGCCAATCAAGTTGACTTCAGACAGAGGCCTGGAATGGATAAATGAGGTGGTCCGTGCTATGATGGACATCAGTGGGATAGACCATCGCCTGTCATTAGGGTACAATCCATTGGGTAACTCGGTTTCTGAGTCATTTATTAAAATATGTAAGTTAACGACTATTAAGTTGTTAAAAGGTAAGAGGGATCAATGGGAGCACTTCATTCCGTGGGTGAATTACTGCATCAATGTCAAGTATGCTCGGCTACATAAATCTCGTCCGTATACACTTTTGTTTAATCGTCAACCAGATGGTCTGGCTGATTACTCAAAGGTGGACTATTCCAAACGTTTGAAGAAAGCTGATAATAGACTCATTGACAAACGATACCGTTTTGTACAAGATGTTCTTATCCCGGCTATTTCTAAGCGTATTGTGGATACACAAAATGATGATCATGCTAACTTTGCGAAGAAACATAAGGTCATTGCCGAACCCTACCCTATTGGTAGTAAAGTTATGATTAAAAATGTTCATCGTCAAAATAAGTTAGATGGACGGTATGAAGGACCTTATTTGATTCATAGTATAACCGATAAAGGTTCCTATGTGCTGGCTGACAAGACGGGTGCACTCCTTAGTCGAAATGTGCCTACCCATCATATCAAGTACCAAGTCGCTGCGAATCTTCAGCCAATCACAATTGATGAGTTCTCTGCAGAGCATTACGAAATTCAAGCTGTGATTGATCATAGAGGATCTCCTGGTAACTATGAGTATAAGGTAAAATGGAAAGGGTTCGATGATCCTAGTGAAGATACTTGGGAGCCTGTGAAAAACTTTGATTCGGCCAAACACATTGAGTTGTATTGGGCTCGAAGAGAAGGTGCAAAGGCTGCTGGTAAACGTAGGTTAGCTCCTCAAACAGTTAACTGGCGAACTCCTACTACTCGCGAAATTGGTCAGAGTGGTAGATCAAACAGGTCTTAATGGCTACTAGCATAATGGGATCAAGTCTTTTCCTTACATTTTTGTCCTATGAAAGGTTTTTACACAAGGTTTTTACTGACTGATCTCGGATGCAGTGTCATTTGGTAATTATTTATTGGAAAGTGCTTTATGTGCTACGTTGTCATGATGTTTTGTAATCTGGGATTGCGAAATGTCCACAAAAAGTACCTGAATCTGGGGGGGCAATGTTGTGCCAGAGGGGCTACAACTGTCTATAAAGATTAAGGTATTCTTGATGGGTAGATATGTCTGTGTTGTGCAACAACATGGACAAGCTATGATAAGTGAAGTGCATCTCAGCTACCTAAATACTGAGGTTCACCAGACGTGATAAGCGTTGTACAAGATAAATTGCTACTTTGGCATTCAGAACTTAGTATAAATAAAATAACTCTTGTCTTCATCAATAAATCTTTAGTTTTTGTGTCTGATCTTATTCAAATAAGTATTTTCTTGTTTTTATACAGTGCGCGAAAAAAACGTTCCAGTGTTTTGCCAATTCGTAGTTTTACACTTACAGCTCTGTCAATTTTTCTCCAGTTGTAAAACTAAAGTAAGACTACGAAAGCTTGGGTTTTTAGTCACAAAATGAGCTACTAAAATAATTGATACAGTAGATATTGAGCTACTGCAACTGACGTAAAGAAAAAAATTCCATTTTGTAAAATTGGAAATATCGCTTGATGACCTTATTGTTTGTATACATTCCACAAAATGATCCGAGAGTCTTAATTTTTTATATCAGTCATGTTTAAAATGTTAGTTATCCGAGGAATGCTTAAAAAAATATAAAGAAGCCTGAGATTTTGGTCTTTTCTCTCATTATATTTTACCATCTTTACTTCATCACTTTTTTAACATGACACGTCTTATTCCTCAGGAGGTTCAAGGACCTGTCAAGGGTCTTTTCAACCAAGGTTGTTCCCTCAGTGCCATTCAAAAAATTTTCCCAGATTTGTCCGTCAGTGTACTTTCTCGCTACAGGAAGAAGTTTCTTGGTCATTCAAAACAGGCCAAACCCGGTAGACGCAGCAAAATCACTACGCAGAATATGAACTACATTGAGAGGAATCTCCACAATAGTAATTTAGACGGCCCCAGGGGTGTGCAGTGCTACCTTGCTCATATGGGACTTCAGATGACTTTGCGGAATATACAGTATATACTCAAGCGCAAAGGGTTCAAGGCTAAAAGAAAGGTAAAGACCAATTTCGTGTCTGCGGAGAACTGGAAAAAGCGTCTTGTGTGGGCCAAGAGACATCGACATTTGACTGCGGACGATTGGCGTAAATGGGGATTTTCCGATGAAACCAGGGTCAACATGTGGGGATCTGACGGCGAATCTTTCTACTGGACTGACAGGCCCACTGAGTTGATGCCTCATCAAACTGAGGCTCAAGTTCAGGGAGATGGTGGTGGCGTTGTTTTCTGGGGCATGGTAACAGCGGAGGGACCCAGCTATGGCTCCACCATTACCGAAGGAACTATTAACTCAGAAGCTATGCTGAAATTCTGGACTCATCTTTGCTAGACACTATCGAGTACTATGGGCTGGGCAAGAAAACGTTTAGATGCCAGCATGATAAAGCAAGACCACATACTTCTGGTCCCATTAAAAATGGTTCACGCATCACGGATTCTCTGTACAAAGTGTCCTTGATTGGCCCCCAAAAGCCCTGACCTAAACCCCCTTGAACATGTCTGGCATCAACTAAAACGTCGTTTAACCAATACCCTACTAAGGCCACCAGCCTTTCTGAGCTAGAAGACAGAATTGAACAGGAATGGTATAAATTCACAAAAGACTGTCTTAAATACATAGGCAGCATGCCACGCCGAATCAAAGCGGTTATCAAGAGTAAAGGTGGTCCAACTAAATATTGAGCTTTTTTATAAGATTTAATAAATTCGACTTTTCACTTTTCATGAGGCTACCATTCTTTTTCTAATTACGTGAATAAAGTGCATAATATATCATCTAATAGCCAACTACTTAGGCTATTTACGAAACTAAGCAAACCCTAGTAGCTTTGATATTTGCAGAGAAAACTGGCCATAAGTGCAATTTGGCAAAACACTGGAACGTTTTTTTCGCGCACTGTAGTTGTGAGGCTTTCCATGGTGGAAAGTGCACGACTTAGTAGCCTTGAAGTGAGGCTTGCCCACGCGGCCAGAAGAGACACCAGCACGAGACACATCGGCAGGACTATCAGTAGATGAGGATGATGCCTTCGTGGTATGTGAGCGGCGGGGGGACGCAACTGGAGCCCATTGTGATGCAGCAGATCCAGCAGCAGTGCGAGTAAAAGCGGGTGCTGAGATGGCAGCAATCTCATTTGCGGTCATAGTTGATAGTGATTCACGAGCGATACTGACGATAATGTCAACATCGTAACTATCAATGATGCCCTTGAATTGACGGATGGTGTTGATCTTATCCTTGACTACCCAAGGAATGGCATCCAGGAACAACTTAGCCAACAAGTAGTCGAATGGGGCTTGATCCAGGGATCGACGACGCAAGTCATTAAAACGATCAAGAAAGGCCTTTACGTTTTCATCGGGCAAAAGTTGAATGCTCAACAAATCAGACTCACAACGTTGACGTTCTTCCAATACGCTAATGCCATAACGAGCCTTGATAGCCGACTTGAAATCATTCCACGATGCAGGAGCAGTGCAAGCAGAAGCGAACGAGCCGTACCAAGTACGTTGTTCTGGAAACAGCATAGGTGGTACTAAGCGAGCATACTACTTGTCGAAATCCATCTTGTAAGCGAACATGACATCCTCAAACTTCAACAGACAAGCGTCGACTGTAGGAAATATAGGGCATTTGGGGTCGAATTCATCCATACCAACCCACTGAAATGCAGGTAAGTTGTTGGAAAAGAAAACTGGTACTGAGGCGCTCTTGTTGGATTTGACTCCATCGACTGAGGATGAGCCAAACGAAGCAGCAGCCGAAGAAACGAGGTTACCATTTGCAGTAGCCTTGGATGCAAGCAAACAATCTCGAATCTGTATGATACTTTGAATGGACGTATTCAACTGTATCAACCGAGCTAGGGCCTGAGCTCTGGCCTCCTTACTTTGCTCGAGGAGCAAGGCTGTAGAGAGAAGCTGAACTTCGGCGAGCTGATTGTCAACAATTAGCTTCAACTGATCAGTGCGACCTTGAAGATCCACATCACTAGAAGATGAACTAGCAGAGGAAGGGGGATCGAGGTCCATCGCCTCACTGGCAGTAGTAGTGGGAGCTTCGCCAGCATGACCACTCAATTTCTGAGGCATTTCAGCGAGAAAAAACTGAGAAGGGCCAGTAATATCTACAGCCTTGGTGGCACTGGCGTCTGAAGGACGCAGCTCAGTGTTTCCAGCAGGCTTAGATTCGGAACTGGGGGTATGGTGGTACTTTGAGCAGACATCAGAGTATACAAAATTGAGAAGTAATAGTAGTAAGAGTAGTAGTAATGATACAATCAAGGTTTTGATTAAAAAAAATGATAAATTCGTAATAATAAGTCGATGATAATAATTAGTTGTCAACTGTATCTAAAACGAAAGCAAAAAGCTTCTTTAATACAGTGCATCTAGCTTGCTTAAATATGGTAGATCCCTGGTCAATGACTACTACGTTGAGATGGTATATAAATAGCAGGCCACTGGGGCCTTATGGATTGTTGGTATAGCTTGTTGAGAGGCCACCTAAGTAGATATGTTTCATGTAGTGTAGGTGGATCTCGATATCTTGACATTGGGGAGATTGAATGTATTGTAGTTCCTGAGGCACCTGTGCACACACAATTGACTGGACTTGTAAACATAGATGTGATGTGATACGATAAACATCGTCTATGCTGCTACACTGTAAAAGGTGACTTGAGGAGAAAGTGAATGTAGCCTAAGATGCATGCTTGTATGCAACAAGCAACCCATGAAACAAAACATGTTGGAAATCAATCATACACGACGTATGTTTGGCAAGAAGGCATACGGCATTGGGCGGACCTGGTATCTAGTGTACTGCTCTAGCTATATGACTTTTCTCACATAATGAATTTATTAAAGAATATACCTCGCATAAAACTATTATGTGATAGATGCCAGATCGAATAATTGCATCTTTTCTTTTGAATAAAGACGAATTTAAATTGTTTTCATTTTATTACGTTTTTATTATTACAAAAGACAAATTAAAGTTAAATGGCAGATCAATAGGAAATCAACAAGTTGTAACAGTTTAGTCCCTGAACCTCTCAGCCAATCAGATTGTTTAAAAACTCCGCTGACCTAAAAAAAATTTGCGAGGGATTCCCCCTGTTTTGATGTGAGGCAAAATTTTAAGCTCCGCTATATATAGCAATATAGCTGCAGCTATCATCAAATTTCCCCCAGGTGCTAGAGCATGCCTTACTTACACCACCTAGCTTTAAATTCAGGCATTGAGACCCTCAATCATCACTAAAGTAAGTAGCAATAACCAAGTGGAGGCAGCCTATCCACCTCCTAGCCTCGGATAGAGTGTTGTTGAGCTTCAGGGATAGGCACATCCACACAACGTAAAAAAGGTATGCTTCAAAGAAACATAATAATAATAAAAGAAAGAAAAAAAGAACATACCAATATAGGAGTATAGTAGTACGTAGGCAAAAAAGGGATACTCACACAATGTGAGTCAAAGAAAAGCATAAAAAATACAACATCAGAGACGTTAAGAACAGCTCGTTGTTGTTGTAATAAAAATGCATACACGAGCAACATGCAGCATGGTAATAGTCGGATGTAAAGCAACACAACCAACAAAAGAAGAAGAAAAACGCAGCAAAGTAAACATCATGATAAAATGCATTATCATGAGAAAGGAAGCAATAATACAATCGTTCAAAGTTTTATATCATTGCAGCCAGAAGAAAGAAGATACTTACCACTTACCACCACCGTAGATAGACCAGAGAATACGCAATCACCGGATATAGACCAGAGAGCGAACATGCACCATACACAGTAGATCAGGAAAGACCATATTAGCAGCAGCAACAGCAGCAACAGCAGCAACAGCAGCAACACCAGCAACACCAGCACCATAGAAAAACCAAAAATGGACCACACCAGAGACCAGACAAAGACCAAAGAAGTAATCACCAGAGATAGACCAGAGGACAATCATGCACCGAAGACAGTAGACCAGGAAAGGCTATATTTGCAGCAGTAGCAGCAGCAGTAGCAGCAGCAGCAGCAACATCAGCACCATAGAAAAAACCAAAGAACGAGCGACACCAGAGAAAGAGCATGCATCAAACACAGTAGATCAGGAAAAACCATATAGCAGTAGTAGAAGTAACACCAGTACCATAGACAAACCAAAGAACGAACGACACCAGCAGAGACCAGGCAAAGACCAAAGAAGCAACCACTAGACATGATAAACCAAAGACGCAGACAGCAGAAATACCAGAGAAGTAATAGCAGCAGCATTCACTCAAACAAGCAAAAAAAATTTAAAACCTAATAAACAAACGCAATTAGTATTAATTCTACGCCTTCCAGTGCTCGTTATCGAATGATACCTACCATATTCCACTTCAAAGAAGCGGTATCAAGTTCTCCCAACAGTACAAGACAGAGTTACCGAAAGCTAAAGTGTTATTATCAATCAAACGATGTCCAAAACCACCATGGTTTGATACTAAAACGCGTTTTGCAAAAAGTGTAAAAAAAAAACTCAGGAATGGAAAAATGAGAGGGCATCCTATCCGACGTCACGACCAGTAAATTTAGTCTCAGCCTTGTACCGTAGCAGCCGTAATTGCGGCAGTTTAATTTGAAATTGTGCAGTAGTATTTTCGTGTTCAAACTTGATTTGGTCTCACATCCTTTAAATGTTTTTGCTAAATTAGACTATAAAAACTGTCTTTGTCACATCCAACTTTCTAATACATCTTTAGAGGACAAAAAAAGCCGCATCGAATGATATTGGTTACTCTCAGCTTTTAAACCAAAAATAATGAGCAATTTCCAAAATTATGAAAACAAGTTTTCTGTGAATATGTCAAAATTTAGTATATGAAAGTCTCACAGAAAGAGTTTCCAATGTTGCATTTCATCTCTACAATCAATTTGATCTCATATGTATCTTAGAGAAAATCTTCGTTTTTTGGATTGAAAAACGCGATCGTTTGATTTTCAAGAATTTTCCCTTGCTATTACTCATAAAAAACGAAGATCTTCATGGATTTGCAATAACTTAAAAAATTTTGAGATAAAGCATCAGCAATTAAAGCGCAACCAAGGGGAGCCGTTTGGTGCTACTCCAAGCGCCCAAAACGCTTTACGGCATGAGCTATTTGTGTTTGAAAACGGTTAAATTTAGACAGAATTTGACCTATAAGTAAGGTGCTGTAGGTTGCATTGCCAAAGCAGTAAGTAAATCACATTTCTACTTGATAATTCAAATATTCAGCATTGTACAAAACACAAGTCTTACGTGATAGATGCTTTTATTGTAATTCTGAGGCGTAAATCTTTCTGTTTGAAATGCGCTATTATTACAGTAATTTGAAGACTTGAACGTCAATGATATTATGCAAACTTGAATTTAAAAACTTGCTCGGATTGAACGAAACGCTCGTTAGGTCAGCAAGGCACTTTTGATGGTCGTCCACAACAGAGATACCATATCTATCCAGAAAACTAGACTGAAAGTCTATCCACAATGTTAGACACTCATGATCCGCACGGAGAAATGGCTGATAGTAGTAGTACTAGACATGCTGGGTGGGTTTCAGCACAATATGGGGAACAAGCAACAAAATCATGTATCAAAATCGATTGAACAGAGATTCATGATACCTAGAGATTCTACGATAAAAAAGTCGACATCTGGCAGCTGTACTGAAATTGGATTAACAAAGCTGCACTACCGAAAGGCAAATGATGCAAAATCAATCGCTCAAACTCTATTTTTGGCTATAGTATAGTAACACATATAAGTTTTCTGTTGTACGTTAACCAACATTAGTCAATGCACGCCCTGGATATATTCCATAGACTTGAATACCATATGGACGCTTCTCTGCTATTGCTATTGAAGAAAGACGTATCTTTGCCATGATACACTTTAGATTTGGCAGCTAAAAAGCCGATTTCTGAACGAAAGTATCGCAGTACATATCCAAAAAAAGAGGCCTCATTTTGTAGAGCAAGCACACAAGAAAGAGCAAAGTTTAGTTGATAGAAAGGAAGCCTGATTGAATTAGCAGCTTTACCGTTAATAGTGCCGAAACACTGATTCTTTATTATTATTTCATTACGAGTGTCTATGCTTTGGATTGCTCTCTACCTTTGCTTCGCTTCGGTAAAAACCAACCTGCGCTGTGACAGCTTGCGCTACCGATTACCCTTGCGTATCTTATCAAAATACTATGACTTTCATGTTGACTCTCTATTTACACATGAAAACCCTTCATATTATCTGTGGGTCTGATTCTTATGTGATGTTCTATGTCTATATACACGTAGCTACTTCATATACGGGTAAGCACTATGCTGATATTTCCCATTTTTAGGCCTTAGTGTCCCTGATACAGCAAAATCTGAGTACATTTGAGTTGCGTTTTCTTGTGTTCCAGGCCGTTTTAGATCGTCAGAATAGCATCAAACAATTGTACTCGAGTGGCAGCAATTTCCTGGCACATTTGCTCAACTTTTTGGGGACGCAAAAAATATAGCCAAAAATCGACCAAAAAGCATGAGGTACCCCTCATGGTTCTTGACGAAAATCAAACGATTGCATTTTTCACTTTGAAAATGAAGACTTTTACTATGGCAAATATCAAATCAAAATGTTTCTCTCGATCCAAAGCAACTTCTAAAACCACTTTTATGATGTCTTCATATGCAAAATTTTGACATTTTGGCCAGAAACCTCTTTTCATATTTTCATAAATTGCTCAATAAGTTTATTTAAAACATCTATCTTACTTGGCACCATTGGAAGCGCCTTGAAAAGCACTTCAAGAATGTATTAGGAAGCATCGGAAGATTATCACAGTTTATATAGTCGATTCTAACAGAATACATTAATCGAGTCGAAATTGAGCAAGTTCTGGCCAATCTAGAGCAGTATGTTGAGCTGAGCGTCAATTATCTTTGGCGGCGGCTGGCGGCGGCTGGCGAGATCATCTCTCTTGGTGTTGTTCTTATTATCTCAACCTACCATTCCGAAATGGAGCTTCGTAATTAAATAACTTACGACACAAAACATACAACGCTGGTTCTGTTCTTAGCAATGAAGCCATTGGCAGTGCTTTGCCATTTCAAGCATTAAGAAGCTGCAAACTTCGTTGATTACCAGCAAAAGTTTATGCTGCACCTCAGAATGTTCAAACCATCATAAAAAGTCGTGAAGTTATGAGAAGATTAGGGTATGGGGTTGATATGGAATAAATTTACTGTACCATTTTACCAAAAGAGTCTTCTACAATAGAGAGGTGTGTATGGAGCAGAAACAGGGTTTACACAATAGAGTCGTGTTTGTACAATAGAGAGTGTATCGAGTTTTGCTCACTAGTAGTTTTTAGCCTGTTGAACGAGAGCTTGTTCTGAAGACAAACGCCTTGAGAGTAAATTTGACAAATGCTTTTAATTGAGTAGGAGTTGTTGAGTAGGGCACGATAAAGTACAAAGTAGCCGCATTCATTCATTGAAAAATGCTATGTATAATGTCCTCAAAGCCAAAGCTTCAAAGCAACTATTTCTAGTTGTGGTTGTTGTAAATCAAAAGCATCTGAACATATAAGTGCAGCCTTTTGGGCATTTGCGTACTTCATACATGCATTGTACCGGCCTGTCAGGAAAAACCAGCAATCTGTATGCAAGAGGAATAAAATTTGTATATATTCTAGAGCTTTTAATTGCAAGCTACTTGCGTGGATCACTGCAAATACTAACCACAGCACGGCCAGTATTTATCAAGTGCATTACACTGTATATATCTCGTTCGAGTCTCAGGAGAAACAACAAAACTCGTTTATTGCATACACACACGAATATTTACCTATACTGTTTTGTGATGCTCCCTGAAGTTCTAAATCAGTAGATGTATAAAAGGATTCCTTGACGGATAGAGCATCCTCGTTGGTTTCTTGATCTATTATTTCCTCATCTACTTTCTCCAAGCCTACTTTCAATACCAATGAAGTTATTCATGCTCATGTTCCTTTGTGCTACTCTGCCATTAATGTATGCCGCTCCTACTGCAATCAAAAAATCAACAGAAAAAGAGAAAAGAGAAGATTCAGCAAATAGACAACAAGAAGCTGCAATAGGTGGTGCTGCGAGTGGCCTTGTTATTCCCAATATATTCGGTATCGTTCCTCAGAACCCACTTGGTGGCCAAGCACCTGATGAAGATTAAAGCTCAATGATGAATTTGGATTTGCATATCCATTGTATTGAAATGATTTGTATCAAAAATCAATAAAGACGAACATACGCTATGAACAGCAACGATTTACTGTGTTACATGTCATGTCGATCTTTACCTGTTTTATTGCACGCAAACAATAACATTCTGAAATGATGCATTAGTATACTTTGCGAATCGCTCTCTTAAGCTGTGGTTAAGCAAATCTCTCTTTGTATGATGAGAGATCCCACGTCGTCGTCATAGGCTTGCAGGGATACTGCTTACATTGAGGGGATAAATTTGATACTAGCCATGAGAGTCTGCACTTGGCAAAACAAAAAAACCTGTACTAAATAAGCAAAACAATCGCCAGCATGCATGGCGAAACTATGTTTTAAGGCACACGTAAAAGGATCAATAAGGTCGTGCTATTAATTAAAAAAAAGCAGAAAGAATTTAATAGTCTACTATATATTCAAATAAGATTTCTGTCTTCTTGATAAAAGTTAATAGCGTCAATGGTGGATGGGTTTCCCCTTAATGACAAATTCAAAAAGAATTGTATCATAATGAAAATACTTATGCAGAAATATCACGCAACAGGAGTAGATATTTCTGTAGCAGAAATAAAGGAGTTGTGTGTGCTATCTTTCAAGTACCAAATGTATAATAATGACGAGTTCATTTCATTAGCAATTCTTGACATGTTTAATTTCGAGATTATATATCATTCCACAATCCAGAAATCAGTTTATATAGAAAGTATAAAAAGGCTTTGATGCTACATGGGTAAGTCTATAACAAACAATCCATCATCATGCAAGTTTTTTCTTTATTTTCAACCATTGCCCTGGCCATTGTGTTACTCATCTCCTTGTCGAACGATCTGGTATCAGCTACTGTAACGGTAGATCAAAGGATCCATCCAAGAGCAAGATTATCCAAGAGAGGTCGACACTATCGCGATTACTTTACTAGCGACAATGAGCCAAGAGGACCACCTCCTTCACCTCCATCAGCTTTACCAGCTTTACCAGCTTTACCGGGATTACCAGGATTACCAGCTCTTCCTGCGTTGGCACTGCCCCAACTACCTACACTGCCAACAGCTCCAGTTCCAGCAGTTCCAGCATTACCAAAGACGCCCGCACTTCCCAATCTTGGAGGCAAATCGGGTGGCGGTAGTGAAGATGACGAGGAAGATGAAGATTAAAAAAAATGCTAACTATCATTCCATTGTCGTTTTATCAAACAAACTTTACTCTATATAAATAAAGCCAAGCTGATGATAAGCATTGCATATTCAACAAGAATTTATACATATATATACAGTTGTATATCAAAATAGCGATCCACAGCCGATGATCACAGGGGAACGAAAACTGCATAAAGCTAAACGGACCCCTCCTGAGATTTTCTTCAGGAGAGGGAGGGATGTCCACCATGAATCATGGTGTTAGTTTGCCGCTGCTAGGTATAATTCTAATATTTAGCATCTAATCTAGCCATCTAATAGCTATCTCCGTTGATTTGATGCACAAAGTGGCAAATATACACATCAGAGATAAACATTGTCACCTCCTCAACTTGGCTCATTGACTTTTGATCCGCCTCAAAGTTTATAGTCATTTACTTCTTGTTACTTTTTGACTTACATGCGATGCATGTAGATTCACATACAGTAAAGACGCACGTACATGCAAAACATGGACGTATTGCACATACTGCTTGACAGACATTACATGCGATTTTTCAGTCATTGTGGCGATCAAAAATCTCAAAGCAAACAGACGTCTACAAGCGAGCTCAATATATGAACAAAACAGCGACTCCTTTTGCTTTTGTTTTCATGTAAATATATGTATGATAAAATATAGGGGAGACAACAACAGGAAAACCGGGAAAGAAATCAATGTTGCTTGAAAACAGGGGTTCGCAAGACAAAGATTTTGACACGCATATAACGTTTAATGACGATGTACGTCTAGACATAAAAGCAGCCATGTATATATAAAGCCTTGGCTCCTCTACCATCCTCTCTTTTCTTTTCTTATTTCTGGTCTTTACTTTTTTTCACAAATTACATTTCCATACACAAGAGTAAGACTAGTACCACATCATGCGTTTTGCGTTCACATTTGCCATCATCGCCTTTATTGTCACATTGACATGTTTCCAGCAAGTAGCTGCTCGTAAAGGAGGAATTACAGACAAGCGTATATTAAAAAAGCTTGAACGACGTCAAAGTGCTGCCGCTGCCTCTGCTGCTGGTCCACCAGGCCCACCAGGCCCTAAAACCTGCCCTAACCCAGCTAATCCTCAAGACCCAGCATGCCCTCCTCCAGTTACAGCTCCAGCAGTTCCTGGACTTGTTGTTCCACCTATCCCACCTCTTCCAGCCGCTCCTGCTTTGCCTGTACCTGGATTGCCCGGTGTACCTTCTGCTCCAGCACTTCCAGACCTCTCAACTGCTCTTCCTGCTGCATTGCCAGGTCTTCCTGCTGTTCCAGCACTTCCTGCCACTCCTGCACTTCCAGATATCTCCACTACAGTAGCTGGTCTTCTTGGTCCAGGAGGAGGCCAAGAGGATGCCTAAAAAATGCATATCCCAACATTTGTGAATTCCAGTTCATTTGTATTATCAAAGTACAGAGCTTTATCAGTACAATGTTTGCTCTCAGTATTATTATCACCATCACATTTTCATTTCTCTTCTTTCTCTGTCTCTCGAGTACATATAGATGCTTATCCTTATCAATAAAAATTCCAAAGTTCAACCAACTATACATCTGTCTATGTGGTTAGTTCTATAATTTGAGCTCGCTTCTCTTCTCCTTCCTGATTTGCCAACATCATATACATTATCAATTATGCATGTAACAATGCTGAAAGCGCATAGAAGAGCGTAGATCATAAATGAATTTCAGCAATGCAAATAGCAAATAAGCGAATAGGAGAGATTTTGTAGAAAAAGACGAAAGATCTTCATGCAGTGTACATTTGCTCATGTAGAAATCAGGGATGCTCCTATCATACCTCCGTATTGAAGGGAGGAGAGTATTCAAGTCAACAGCTATCTTTCTATGACAACTTTTTTTGGCTTATTGTCCTATACCCCGTATACATAGACAGTACTTTTATCACAATATAAAAGAATGGTGCTTTTAAGATTGCATTACTTTTTATTTTTCATTTTCTCAACTGATACATTACATACACATATACATCATGTTGTATTTCAAGACTATTGCCTTCCTATTTCTTGTGACAATCTACACTATATTGATCCAAGATGTCCTCTGTAAAGTAGTTGTGGCTAATGGATCTCAGAGATTGGTTCTTTCCAATAAGCGTCGTATCAATTACAACAAAAGAGATGCCGCTACTGCTCCTGCTGCTCCTGCTGCTTTGCCTGCTTTGCCCAACATTCAGCTTCCAAATGCTGATACTACTGCCCTTCTTGCCAGTACTGGGCCATTATTATCATCTGTGTCATCAGTCAAAATTCCACAGCTACCAGCATTGCCTGGAGCTGCTGCTGCTGCTCCTGCACCTGCCGCAGGGTATCCAGCGCCAGCAGGATATCCACCACAATACCAAGCTGCTCCCGCACCAAAAGCTGCCAAGAAAGATGAAGATGAGGAGGAGGAAGACGAAGACGAAGATTAGTCAATCATAGATACCAGCTATTGCATGTGCTTTATAATAAACTTACAACCATTATTTTAATTTCACTTCACAACATGTGGCGTGGCATATTGTTCACTAGCAATGTCTTGTGAACTCATCATATCCATACCTATAATAATTTACTTCATTAGTTGCCACTTCTAATATCTAGAGAACATGCTGTATCCACACTTCTCCTTCTGGCCCCTTAGTTCCCCGAGTTTTTGGTGCATGTCATGCACATCGTATAACAGAGGATATTCCAAAGATAGCACGTAATAAGGGATGGAGAATCATATTCAACTTTTGATAGTCATATAGAACAGTGGTTAAGTAAAATCAAGTGCCCTGAATTCAGGGAACAGTTAAGACGAGTACAAGATTCTTTCTGTTAAAATGGGTAAGAAACAGAAGTCAGGAGACTTTTAGCCATTACTGCTGTAGTATTTTGTGGAGGTCTACATGATGTTCTTTAGTGGTATTATGCGAGACAATGTTTATTTTTATGTTTTACGAGCCGTTCAGCACTTCGGGTGGTTTCCTGACCTACGCTTCGCTTCGGTGGAAACCAACCTACGTTCAAACGGCTCGTTATGTTTTATATATGAACGATGACCTGAGGTATTGCAGCAAACAACTTCAGTGGACATAAACACAGTACAAAAGGCTTACAGTGAGAGATGAAGACGACGTCAATAATTATAGGGTGAGTACCCTCAATTTCGTTACGATGAGAAGGGAATATTATATCACTACACCTATCAAGCAGCGTTTGTTGCAAACGCCAGTTCTAGATCAAATCTTTTACAGTGAATTCTTCTATAAGCGATTGAATTTAACACAAATCAAATATACCATCGCTATCTTGACCTCTTTCTACAAATGCAATGTATCATATTCTTATTACGGCTACTGATGATACGAAATCATGCACATTCTTATATAAAAAGACGCTTAAATCAATCAAATGTCTTTATTTTCATCAACAAAAGTAATGCATATATCCATTACGCTAGCATTTTATTTTTTGGCTCCTGTTGTTACTACCCTTCATCAGGTAGCAGCTGCTCCAGCTGAACTATCCAAGAGATGTCCTCCCGGAATGCAGCCAGCTCCAAAACAACCACAAGCTTATCCGCCAGCACCTAATGCATTCGGTGTTCCTAACTCTTCCTGTGTTTCAATCCCAACATCGCCAGCAGCTCCAGAGACTTTACCGGTGGCATTGCCCATTCCTCCAGCTCCACCTGCTCTTCCTCTCCCAGCTGCTCCTGTGCTCCCAGTTCCGCCTGCTGCAGCTCTTCCTGTCTTGCCTGCAGTGCCAACACTTCCCACCCTACCGGCTCTAGATCCTTTCGCAGGATTCGCTCTAGGAGAACTTCCAGCATTGCCGGTGCTGCCTCAGCTACCAGCATTGGGTGATGACTAGAGCGAGTAATACTGTAAACTATCGCATTCGTGAATAAAGCAATCTCTTTTGGCAAAAGCTGTGATCTGGGTCATTTAAATCATTCTTACTGCAAAACACGATATTGACATGTATTCTTAGAATCTTGAATTCTAATACTTACAGTTTGAATATGTTAGCGTTCGATACCATGTAATCGACCAACTCTTGGTGTCTACAGTAAATATCATTCCCTCCATACTATTGCTATATACTTTTTATTACGAAATTTTACTACTATTTAGGCGGGAGGATAAGGGTTTGTAAACGAGGCTGCTGATGATGGTGTTGCGTTGTATGAAAAGGGATGTTGTCGAAGCAAAATTTCCTCGTCCCTTGATAGGCTTTGCCATGTACTAGCTAAATCACCTGATCCATAATAATTTGGCTCTGTTGCATCTTGATCTAGTGCATGGGTCTCATCAGGGACAGTGGGGATCTCGATGTAATGCAAACAGAGAGGGCAAGACCCGCATTTCTTGGTAAGCCATACATCAACACAATCTCGGTGATACTCGTGATTGCAAGGTAATCGTCGTAAAACATCTCCATTTTCAAAAGGTTCCAAACAAATGACACAATTTGAAGGCTCGTATGCTGTGTCTAGTGAGCTATTGGAGGCATTTCTGCTTGAGCATAGCTTTTCATCAGACACTGTCTCTTTGTTTCTATAGATACGAGTAGGCAGCAGATCCACGAGAGATTGAGGCAGACGCTGCTTTGTAGGCCGTGGTTGTGGCATGAGTCTCGGTGGTTGTCCAGTTATGTTTCTCCAGTAGTTTTCGTCAGCCGTAAGCTGTTGTTGCTCTGCCAGAGTTAGGATTTCATTCTCTTCTTGACGTCTTTCTCTAGCCATTCGCCACATATGACACTGTAATGCAGCTAATATACAAAAATGTAGGTCAATCATCCACCTTATAACAAGCCCACTTAAGTTCTTACTAATAGAAATGATGCTGGTTACAAGCATAGCACCTACGATGATTAATGCAAATTGCCAATGATCTAACGCAGGCTTACTGTTGGGTAGCAGGCCCACTCGAAGCATGTATGGAGTGTCGCCTTCTTGTGGTGGTGATTTAGCTACATTCTCCAAGTCATGCACCATTGCAATACCAGTATTGTAACTGACGTAGTATGTGGGGATCCTTATTGATTTTGGTATCACACCCTACAAGGCATCATATTAGCGAGCTATATTCATATATCAAGCCGAGGATTACCATAGGCTGTTCATTTGATACTGTGCTATTATTGAATACGATGGCTGCCACAGCACCGTCTCTCTCAGCATTCATAATTTTATCAACCAAATAGCAGTTTGTGCTTTGTTCGATCAATGCGATCCTTGACATGTTATTCTGGAAGATGAATGTAGATGTATTTGGCGAATACAGAGTACAAGCTTCTCCTCTGTTGTACAGTATTCCCTTTTGGTAAGCACAGTGAGCACAATGTAAAGCGTCTTTGGATGTATACACTCACTTGTAGTCCCTGTTGAGCCACTTCTGGAGTGTTATCTACCAAGAAAATACCGTCCTTGTACTCTCTCTGAGCAAGCTTTACTGGAATGGCGTCTTGTAGTGTCGCTGATTTGTTTAGATGAAACGATACAATGTCTAGACAACGCTATAAATATGTGTTTATTGAAATATACGCACCTCATGCATACCTTGTCTAATACTGCATCCTGAGCCTCTGAACCATCGAGTAGCATTAGGCAATGTGATGGCACCAAGCATCACCCAAATGATGATGACAGCTGCTAGCGAATACGTGACAATAGGCTTCATTCTAGGCATTTTTGTTTGTTTGCAAATAAATGAAGATCAAACAAACATACATCAAAGAGAAAGATGATACAGAAATATTTATTACATGAGACAAGATGAATACAAAAAAAAAAAAGCTCGGATTGATATAGTGATTTCCGAGACATGTATAGAATATGAGGTAAAAAGTATGTACATATACAGAACATAGGTCTATTGAGCATTGTTATTGTTAGCTGTCGCCGGATTGTCTCTTTGATTCGGATGAGAAACAGGCTCCATTTCTATATGAACTTCGGGTGCAGTGCTTGCAGAAGTTGCTGAATCGTCCATTGGATTCTCCTCTGTTTGCTCAACCACAAGCAGGCCCTTTTCCTGCAGCGTTGTTCTACAATCATATTTACAAATGGGGCAGTTGCTCGACTTTTTGGTCAGCCAGACATCTAAGTAATAGAGGTTGATTAGATAAGCATAGAAAGAATAGTGTAGATAGGTTACCTATACAAGCAGTGCAGTAGCCATGATGACAAGGCAGCACACGGACGTAGTAATCACTTTCAAAATCATCCAAACAGATGGCACATGTCGAATTCAGCATGGTTGCCTCGCCATACTTTTCAATCGGGCCCAAGTGCTGCAGTTGCTCAAATGGTATCACAGCGCCCTTGCTCTCTTGCATGAGCAAATTTCCTTGAGCAGCACCAGCTTCCACATCCTGCAATACTCGACTTCTGGCAAATGCTCTACACCAGCGTGTAATGACAAACACAAGAATCATAATCACAGCTGCTGTTACCGAGTAGATGATGTAGTTTCTTTTATCTCTTTCCAGATCCCAGGTATTTTCGTCGTCCTGGCCGTTGTTTGTGGTAGAAGAACCAGTGGAAGCACTGGGGTCACTTGATGATGGGAAATTGTTCTCGCCCAGAGAGAATGTAAGCTGTGTGTACATCTGTCGAGTGCCGTTCATTGTCAAAGTCTTTTTTATCAGCGTTGAGTTGAGATAGTCAATGTAGTTTCGAGGCACAAAATAGACAGCAACGAATGTAGAGCCTGTATCGATGGTGTTGTCAGTCATATACTTGATGTTGCGATAATCGGGTAGCGTCGAGGTCCACTTTGGATAAGATACATCTTCAGTTGACTCCTGAATGAATGTGGAATCGTTATAACGGTTGTTGTCGTAAATAACGATGCCAGAGACTTTGAGGGCGTATTTGTCAGACAGATTCTGTACGGTGGAGATCTTGTCAGACCATGGCGAACATCGACCTCCCCGCTCAACAAGTGCAATTGATGGTTGCGACATCATGGCTGGGCTAGTGGCCCAATTATTGTTCAAACTCTCGACATCGTCTATGGCTGTTTGCGGGCAGCCATCGCCAAAATCAATGACAAGGCGCTATTCATACAAGAAAATGAGTAACTTGCTCCCACAATGACTGCATTGGCTGTGTACCTCATTGTAACCCCAACGGTCTTTATTTTCAAACACTGTCTGGAAATCCTGACTGTAGATTTTTTGGGAAGTCTCTGCCAGATACATTTTGGTCTTGTTTGATTCAGCTACATCGTATTCAGCCAAGATTTGCCTAGCAATGTACATTCAGAAAAGCGTCTTTTAGTTTGCAGTAAAAAGATGAACGTACCATATGAATGGATTCTCGGGAGAAGCTTGAGCTTTAATTAATGATGTAAACCATGAAATAATAAAGAACACTGGCCATCCTTTGCCAAGCAGAAACATACGGACATATAAGAAAGAACAGGCTCTTCTCTATCTATAAAGTAAAAAGAGAAGAAAAAAAAAATAGAGAAACAACTCCTTGTAAGTTTTATCTCTTATGATTCGTTCAATTGCGGTTAATCGAAAATCCGTTCCGTTTGTCCAGGCACAATAGGAGCATCGTTTCCCACAATGGAACTGCTGGTAGTACAATAACAAACAATGGCAAAATTTGATTTTGACGTCTGCAATGTAAATTTGGTAAGCATATGTTTGATTGGATACGCCAACGCTACCTTAGATAGGCAATACATATCTGACATCTCCTCTCTCAAATCAACAACCATGTGTTTGTCCTGTTATGTTGTAGATCAGCTTGATTGGATTCCACGGAAAAAAATGCCGGCAAAGTTTTGACCAGAATTTACAATCAAAGTGCAGAACCTTGAATAGTAGGGTAGTCAGTTTGCATTCCTCATATGGAGCTTCATTTGAGCGAGCAATTTACAAGTATTGAATCTATCAGATAAGGAGAAGAGCAAAAAAAGCAAAAGAAAGCGATCAACCTAAGCTACAGTACTTTGTTAACCCGCAATCCCTTTTTTATGAGCTTTCAATAGCATCCTATAGTCTCCTAGTGAGAATGGCATTGAACTCGATAGCCAAACATTGGTTCAAATTCCGCTCGACGTTCTGTTCTGATTTGCGAATTCTTGTCCGAAATCAAATCGATTTAAACTATTTTGTTAGATTCGACTAGGTAAGTTGCAATGATCATCCTATACTTTCTAATACATTCTAGGAGTACTGTTCAAGGCGCATCCAGCAGTGCTGTTTATAAAGAGAAAGTTGACTGAACTTCTTGAGCAATTTATGAAAATATGAAATGAGGTTTTTGGCCAAAATATAGAGAGTTTGCATACGAAAGTCTCCCAAAAGTGATATCAGCGGCTGCCTTGGATCAAGAGAAACATTTTGATTTAGTATTTATCATAATAAAAGTCTTCATTTTCGAGGTCAAAAACACGATCGTTTGAATTTCATTGAACATCATGAGGTATCCCTCATGGTTTTTGATCGATTTTTGACGATCTCAAGAAAGTTGAGCAAAGGTGTCAGGAAGCAAGTAGTAACCGAGATAACTTGTTTGGTGCAATTTTGGCGGCCCAAAACGGCTTCTAGCGCGAGAAAACACGGCTCAAATACATCCAAATTTCACTGTGATTTGCACATCTTTACTAATAATAAGCAAAGCAAGTAGGGTATCTGCCTGTATATGACTTAGTTCCATTGATGAAGACGTGGAGCATTGTAGAAGAGCTGGACACTCAGTAGCAAGTCGTCGATAAAGAGTTTTCCTTATACCAAAAGGCTAGAAAGGTATAATAGTGGAATGTCAAGTGGGTTATCATGGGTATGGTACAGTAACCTGTGGCTATCATATTGCACTATACTATCGTTTGTTCGACCTCATTGATGTCCATGCTGATTAAATGCCATGATTGTCCATATCTATCAGTCAGCTACTATGTAATTTCATCGCTTTTGATTATTAAATGCTGTTGATTTGAGCTCACGCAACACAATGATATTACATGAATTTAAGCACAAAATTTCTCCTGAACAGCTTGAATCTGCGTCTACTGCATTTACTAATGTATATCACATGCCCGCCTTAATGCTATTAATTGCTACTTGATACAACATGTATTTTCTTTTTCTTTTTTTGCAATCAGAGCTGACGTTATCGCTGAATATGATGTACAAAATTCTCGTCATGGACTCCTCCGATAATAATGAAATACAGTGATTTTTTGTTTCAATATACATGAAAATTACAGCATCTGAGACCATTACAACCTTTTGGTATTTTGACAGATGAAGCATTCCACGCTGCTAAATTCGCCGATAAATGTGATGACTTTATTCAATTATGTTGTGATAGTAGGTGCTTGAAAGAATACTAGATTAACAATAATGATTAACAACATCGAGAAAAAAAAAGTGTGAGTTTCATAGACAAATAATGTAATAAATTATATTAGAATATACATATATATATGAGAAGGGGTTGGGGCATGTTTGTGTGTGGATTCTAGTTTAGTGGTAGTGATAATCATATTATGGAAGAAAGAAAAAAAAAAGGAGTATCGAAAAAGGTATATATATTAAGCATGAGTGTAAAGGTATTATGGCATCTATTTAGATCGATGATGGAGTATCTGTATTATGGGATAAGATGCTAGTAGATCGATCCATTGCAAAAATAGCATCGGATGTGGGCGATTGAGTAGCAACAATAACGGCAGCAGAAGAAGAAAAGTCATTAGAACCAGCAAGTGTGCTTGCACTGGGTTCAAGCATAGGTTGGCGCTGGTATGAGCTTATCATTGTCTTGTAGTAGGAAGGCGTATTAGCAGTAAAAGTAGTATAGCTAACAAACTCAGGTTGCGAAGGCGGTGTCAGCTGAGGTGTTTGAGCAGATGAACGACGGCGATAATAAGGTGAACGATTGCCAGTAGTAGGAGACATATGTGTAGGATAATCTAGAGCAAAATGGTCGCCGCTAGTGGTATCATATAAGCCATCCTGGCCAAAGAATGGGCGCTTGCTGGGAGGTGAGGGGCTTATTATATTGTAATTGTTGCTATTGGGAGATCGCTTAAATGTGTTATCTGTGGTGGATGGTGAGGTAGACATGTCGCTCTCGGCTTTAGAAGAAGGTGTATAGAGCAAGGTAGGTGTTGTAGCAGAAGCGGCAGCAGCAGCAGCAGCAGCAGCAGCAGCCATGTCATAGGTGAAAGCGGACGATGGGGCCGAGTAGTCTATACGAGGGCTTGATGTCTTGGATGTGTACGCACTCAATGATTGACTCCCATTTCTTCTGCTGATGCATGTGGGACATTGGCGTACAAATCTGGCAACCAATTCTTTAGGAATCCAGGAGAATTGATTTCTGACCTAAATGTAGAATATGAGCCAGTCCATCCAAATGTCAAAAATAATCAATATACTCACTATAGCTGATGTCTTATCTCTGCCACCATGATGGGCTTCTTTGTGAGCATTCACTAAAATGTCGTAAATCTGCTCTCTCATAGCAACAGGCTTGTTGTCATGGCAAACCAAATCATACGAGCCAGGCTGTAGTTGAAACATTTTCTTTACCCAGAACCTGAACTGAGCTGTTGAAATTGACGTATTTCTAGGATTCTTGAGCACTTCTTGTATAAGGCAGTAACGAGCATGATCCACAAGCGCCTTGTCTCTTTTCTTGGGGCTCAAATTCTGAAGATAGTCATTGATAATGCCTTGAAACTCTTCAAATGACGGCAATGGGTCTTCTTCCTCCGATAGGTTGCTGGTATTGGCAGCTACAACGACAGCGTCATTCAGTATATTGCCATATCGATACTGCTGATGGAAGCTACTAGAACTGTTGCTATTGAAATCAAACATGGGCGATCTTTGATGATTCTGCATAGACTCTGATGATGTTAAAAATGGGTGTTTTGAAAGGAAAGAGGGAAAAAATAGATGATTTGTTGTTGTTGATTTCATTTGGCATTGTTATTATGTTAAAAACCAAGTAGAGGCATGCATTAAGCATACACACATACACATAATAAGCTTGTTTGATATTCTGATAGTAAGGAATGATACATCATTGTATCATTGTATTTCGGAACAATTACAGCCCTCTCTTTTTGCCTGGCATTTTAGCATGTTGTCAAGTACCTGGAGTGTTATGACAGAATATTGTACACAACGTTAATTAGACCAAATATAGACATGTTACTCCTGATTAGAGGCAAAAGTACCCAAAGTGCCTTATCATGTTACAAGCGCTATTTCTTTAACATGCAGTAAACATCACGCATTATAAACCCTGGATGTCACTATTGCTCAAGTGTCTGAAAGCCGGAGCCCTCGCGTGCGCCCAACACAGCTTATCGCGGGGATTTTCCATATTAAACGGAGGCATTGAGTTCTTGATATTATACTTTATTCAATTAAGAACGAATAGGCGTTGCCAAGTTATAAATGGTTGCACCCTCACTATAATCTTTTCCTTCCTCTCTCTCGTATGATGGAGGAAAGACTTTGCGCTTCTCATCATAGTATTCATCACGGAAATCACCTTCACTGGCAGCATTGTATGTCAGATAAATAGCTTGTCTAGGCTTCTCGGTTTTGTTGTCACCAGATCGATGAGCAAGGTATGCCCCAAAGATCAAGATGGATCCCTGTTGTTCATCACATCAGTACTCGATGTCCTTTCATGTCTTGAGCTAAATTTACTTACAGGCTTGCAATAGACAGGCACCCATTCCTGCTGCTTGCACCAATCCACAGCTATTGATCCATCAGTTTCTTGAGGGAGGCCCCGTCCTTCAAACTCATTGTTATGAGATCCAGGAACCACTTCTAAACAGCCATTCTCATCCGTCGTGGCGTCCACAGTAAACATCACGGTCATGTGCGAGGACTTGCCAAAACGGAATGCCTTGAAATCTTGATGAGCAGGGAAACCACCACCTCCAGGAAGCTTGTAATTGACCTTTTCCTTGTACAGGTTGTAGTCTTCACCGTAGAGCTTCTTGATCACTTGCAAAAGGCGAGGACTCTTGACATAGCTTGCCATACCATCATGGAATGGAGTAAAGTTCTCGGTACGACACAATTGATTTTCACCAGTTACCGTATTGATTTCATAGTATTGCATCCATTTGCCCTTCTCTTTGGCCCAGTTTTGGAATTCTTGACAGTAAGCTTCGAGCGTTCGATGCTCATCAGCCGAGAAAAAGTCTGGGATCAAAAGAAATCCGTCCTTGTGGTAAGACTCGACTTGCTCCTTGCTTAGTGTGTAGGGTTCTCGGTTGGGAGTAGCTAAACTGATGGGCGACATGTTGATATTATGTAATGAAAAAGATGATTAAAAAGAGAGAATTTCTCCATTTTCAAGCTTGTTTATATATGCTTCATGCTATGGATCTGATCTTTTTAGTTCTGAATCGTATCTTGCTTGATTCCCACGTTTTCATTCATGGAGATGTCTAATCGTTTCAAAAAAGTAAAAAAAAAAAAAAAAAAAAAAAGATTCATCCATCTTGCCGAGAGCTCGCTTTGTTATGCCCTGATGGAGGTTCATGTATACACGCTATGGCACGTGCCCCTGGAAAGAGCTATATCTAAATCGAGCATGTTTATTTGATCTTGTGGGATTGGACGCCTTGTCGCATTAGATCCGACTCACGGATGTCCGTGGTGGATGGACGTGATTTGAATGGTAAAATACACATGTCCAACGTTTTAAACGTAAAATACATGTAGCATATTTGTGCCTTAAATACATCAAATCTGGGTTTCCGCTTCTGTTCGTTTCTTGATCCTGCATTACAACATCATGAACCTAGATTCTGCCGCCAAAATTGTGGATGCCGTCTTTCAGGTGCTTATAGAAGGTAGCCAGCAAGACTACATTGGAGAGAAAATATCACAGCTTGAGCATAGCTTGCAAGCGGCTGCTTCAGCGCAAGAAGCGAGTAAGTAACTGGCATACGGTGAATGTCATCATCAGATTGACAGAGGTTATCACAGATGCCGATGAAGAAACTATTCTAGCTGCTCTTCTTCATGACATTGGCCAATTTGCTACTTCTGCTGATCAAAAGCAAATGCTCTGTGATGCCTCCACTCTCACTGATTTGGATCCCACTGCATTAGGTAGTGATAGCAAGAAGCAAATTAGCGTTGGTGTTACAGGCCATGAACGCATCGGAGCAGAGTACCTGGCGAGATTGGGATTTTCGTCCAAGGTGTCTACATTGGTTGAATCGCATGTACCTGTCAAGCGTTATCTCACTGGCAAATACCCTGAATACTACGAGACACTGAGTGCTGCCTCCAAATTGTCACTCAAATATCAGGGCGGCCCTTACACTCAGGAACAATTGCAATTATTTGAAAATGACCCTTTATTTGAACTTAAAGTGCAATTGCGTCAATGGGATGATGCAGCCAAGGTCGTTGATCTCACAGTGCCTGATCTGGAATCCTATCGCTCGATGGCCATTCGCCATTTGTTGCAGCAGCAGCAGCAGCAGCAGCAGCAGCAACAAGTATCATGCTAGAATCTCATTATACATTTCCTACCCTAATAAAGCCTTATATTCCAAATCAGACCATAATCTACTGACATATGCTTTTTGGCTGTAATTTGGAGTCTGATTGGAAGTGTGTGAAAAAAGCATAGGTAATCGGTTATTTAATTACACCTGAATCTCACCTTACCAATTTGTTTTACCATTGGTGAGAGAGAGCTGTTTAAGAAAGAAAACCCCTCCCAACCTCTTGATTAAAAAGTTCTTCTACCTTCTTTGAACACCCCTTTTTTTCTACACTTGTAATCAATAGCAATGACCTCTGTTATATCTGGTTTATCAAAGGCCTCTTTCAACCATGGCTGCACCGACTTGGACATGGATCCAAAGCTAGAAACGACGCACCATTACGACTTTAAATATATTGAGCGCACAGTCTACAACCTTGCTGAGAGAGATGATTCACTTGGTCATAGTGTGAAGGTAGCATTGCAAGTGACCGAGAAGGCGTACCAAGAATACGGGTAACGACTATAAGAAAGACAAAGATGATTCAGCTTGCTCAAACCTCTAAACTAGGTTTGATGCTGTTGCCCTCTCGTTCAACGGCGGAAAGGACTGCACAGTGTTGTTGCATTTAGTGGCTGCTGTGCTATCCCGCTTAGGACATCAAGATGAATTATTACGCACTGTATTTGTTACATACCCCAACCCCTTTCCTCACGTTGATGCATTTGTCAAAGTCTGTATTCAACGCTACAAGTTGGATTGTGTTTATATCCCTGGCCCAATGAAACAAGCACTTCAACAATATATCGATGGCTCATCAAGACCTACAAAAGCCATTTTTGTTGGCATTAGAAGAACAGACCCTTATGCTGGTAAGTGGCGTATTTTGGGGTGAGGGAACGGATGACTGATGGTGCCATTGCGTGCAGAGAAACTATCGCATTTCAACAAAACAGACCAAGGCTGGCCAGATTTCATGCGTGTCCAGCCTATTATCGATTGGAGTTACAAGAATATCTGGGATTTCTTGCTTGAGCTCAAGATACCTTACTGTTCACTGTATGACGAAGGGTAGAGTAGCTTTGATTTATCAGCACGGCATAATGAAATACTTATTTTGCTTGTATAGTTACACATCCTTAGGCAGTATGGAGAACACCTATCCCAATCCAGAATTGAAAGATGATAGTCAGCCCAGCGGATATAGACATGCTTGTAGATTAACAGACGAATTGCATGAGCGTGATGGAAGACAAGGCTCTTCCAAAAAGTAGGAAGGCAAGCACCAGGGGATATATACACCATTACACATTTGTAGATAGATGATAAATAATAGAATTATTTAATTTTTTTTTTTTTTCATTTTTCATGGATTTGATTAGTGCGTGGAAATTGGGGTTAAAGGGAAATGATCTACAAAAAAAAAAAAAAAAAAAAAAAAAAAAAAATGAGATTACCAGCTTGCTGATGTTCATTTTGTATGGAATTGAAGGATTGCGCAAATGCAATTTGGCTTGATTGACTTGATGCCAATACCAGCTCTTGATGCACACCAAAGGAATCCGCAGCTTCCATACAAATAAAAAGGCAGTAAAGACGATGATGATCCAAAAATAAACTTTTGTCAGTGTTTTGATGTAATACAAATTTATGAAAAAGATCGTCTCCCTTCTTTTTATATTAGTTCTTTTTGTTTCGCTTTTCTTTCTTTCCTTTCCAAAAGTGTATCGCTATATTTTTTTTTTAGAGGAGAGAGATGCAGCCATCACCACCATACACTGAAAATAAGCTGCTGCTCATCATCACCTTGATACTTGCGTCTTTCTTTACAGCATTCTACATTGTATATACACCGCCATCATCTACATTACATGCCTCAGGAACCGTCAATTTGGCAGAGCAAAACAACAAAGTGGAAAGGGTAGAAAATGCATGCGATAAAGTTGACATCTTGTGGCTGTAAATAACAAATACTAACCATGTATCCTGTTGCAAACCATTAATTCACATTTCCTTTTATAAAAAGAGCCGGCGACAGAATGTACTGGGATGGGTGGGCTGATAAAACCATGTTCATGAGAAAAGATGGCACTTTTACCAAGGGAAATGTGTATATTGAGCAAGGTGACGAAATCTGCGTGGTTGTATTGGTAAGAGTGGCTATGTCTTGCAGAAGCTAAAGCGCTAGATTATATTGATATATATATATATATATTTATTTATTTAGCTTGGTCCTACACCAGCTCAATCCTCGATCAAAGATGAAGATCATCTTGGCACCAAAGATAGCATCGCATTATTTGCAACTGGCAACTCCACCAAAATCACCATCGAACTGCAAGCCCACAAGACACAGACAAACGCCTACTTTGCCCCTGTCAGATTCAACCATGCCGATACCTACAAACTAGATGCAGTCGATGAATACAGATCCTACTTTTGGGAGGCACCCATTTTACATAGCTACAAACCATATAGATTTCGGTCCCAGAACTACCTGATAGTGGCCAAATCAGAGACCCCAACAACGCTACCCACGTGCCAAAGCGATACTGATCTTCGAGGAAGCTGGGTCAATGCCACCATCTTCAAGAGCTCCAACAGCAGATCTATCTATACCATGTTTGAAAACAACCAGAAGGAGTTCCTCCATAACGGGAAAGTATTTGTTCCTGATACCTGTCAGCTGGAGTTTAAGAGCACAGGTCAAGCAGCTGCTTGTCTCGGCACAAGGACAGTGCATGTGTGGGCTGATAACAATCTTAGAAGGTAAATTGGTGGTGGAACTAGAAGTCATTTAAGCTTGGCTAATCCATACTGTTCAACAGAAATTTGAAGGCTATTGATTTCGATGGTAGCAAATGGTGCGACGTAGAAGCTATTTCCAAGGTCCTGAGTAAATCTTCAAGACAAAAGCAATCCGCATGCATCTGCAACGATAACGGAGAAGATCCAGCTAAATATCCTTGGGTGACAGATCCTCATGTGCCTTTAGAATTAGACAATGCATGGGATATTGACGCCAAGTTTTTTTACAACAATGTTGCTGGTAGTCTGACAGCCAACAATCAGCCTATTTTGGAGCGAATGGAGAGATATACCACCACAAATACCACTACAAGGGCAGATCTTGTTATTGTTGGACTTGGCAATGACGACATTCAGGCACTGAAAGTATCACCCAACGAATTTGCAGAGGCGTTCCAAGAGATGCTGATCAATGTACGACATGTATATCCAACACAGCCTATCATTGTACGCACTCCTCAATACTTTTGCTGTGGCACCCTTTACACTTCCTCTTGGAATACAGGCCGTAGTTTGACATTTAGTAACACAGTGCGCGACCTTGTTCGTTCTTTTGATAATATGTTCCTCTGGGATGTACATCGTTTAGGCACTGAAGAGACCACTTGTCATAATCAAGGGACAAGCTACTCGAGTCGAAATGTAGTCAACATGGAGAACCAGCTGCTGTATAATTTGATCTGCACTGCAACTCAAACCCCATAACAAAGAAAATGATGTAGTATAGCTTTACAATGGAATAAACCAGTTATTATTTTGATTTCTGCAGTTTTCAGGAATATGTCAAGAGCTGATAACTCACGTTAGACCTATGACTTGATGTGTCATAAAAAGCACAACGAGAAAGCAAAGTGAAGCTCTCGAATGTATCAGCTCCGTCGATGGAGTATAGCATCCTTATATAATAGAATCAAATATTTGATATAAAATGGAAGGAATAGCTTATATCTGTAAATTTCCATCACAGTATAGGATATGTTTCGATGTTTTAATAAGCAACTGTAAGAAGATGCTATTAAGGGTTTACATCTCCAACTGGACCCATATACTTTGCAAACCTATTTCTGCATATATTCGCTTGATTTTGGTTTTATTACCAGATTTTGCCAATTTAGCATGGGGGATAACTGGCATGAAAAATAAAGAATCCATACAGTTTTGTCCTTGCTCATCTTATCAAAATACTGCTACTTTTGTTTTTATCCTCCACTTACACATGAGAGCCTTTATATTACCTGTGGACCTGACTTTCATATGATATTCCACATCTGTATACATGTAGGCACTTCTTATACAAGCAAGTAGCGTACTTTTACCTTCTCTTTCTAGTCCTCGGTATACCTGATACAGCGAAACTTGGGAGCATTTGAGCTGCGTTTTCTCGCGTTCAAGTCTGTTTTAGGTTGTCAGAATAGCACCAAACAATTGCTCTCATCTGGCAGTTACTTATTGCCCCTATTGTTCAGCTTTTTGGGGACCAAAAAAATATGGACAAAATTCGACCAAAAAGCATGAGGTACTCCTCATGGTTTTCATCGAAAATCAAACGATCGCGTTTTTGACCTTGACAATGAAGACTTTTACTATGGTAAATATTGAATCAAAATGCTCCTATTGATCTAACGTAATCCCTGATATCATTTTTGTGGTACTTTGGTATGTAAAATTTTGACTTTTTAGCCAAGAACCTCTTTTCATATTTCCATAAATTGCTCAATAAGTTTATTCAAAACATCCATCTTATTTGGTATTATTGGATGCACCTTGAAAAGCGCTCCAAGAAAGCTTAAAGAAGCATGGAATGATAATCATATTCTTATAGTTGAACTGGGCAAAATAGTTTGATCAAGTCGAAAAGTTGTCAAATTTTGGCCAATCTGGCGTAGACTGAGAGTCTGAGTTGAAATTAATTCTGGTAGCTAGTGGGGCCGGCTGGCAGACTCAATGCCCTTTCTAATTATGAAGCTAATGGAAAGTAAGTAGAAAATAACATAGTAGTCTTGTTAGCTATTATGCAATTTTTCTTAAAAGCCTATATTTAATACCGCCAGCCCACCGAAATACTTGTAAAATCAACGTCTTTCCTCTTTGAGGCTTTGAAAGCGTCTGCAGGCCATAAATGTATTATGGTATGATGATGTCAAATTATACGTTCTTGGGTAAAAGCATAGTAATTCAATGTAACTACTGACAATCTAACTGTATGGTTTTGAAGCGCTCAGAATAAACAATAGCACAATCGATACTTCCATAAATGCTTTCCGTTTTTATTTTTATTGTGGCGGTTGCTAATGAATGATATCGCTTAGCTATACCATACACTAGTACAAATTTGATTCTGTAATTTGTATTCGTCATTGAAAGAAAAAGGCTACGCAATGCTATTTGTAAGCCTCATTAATAGGCACTGTAGAGATGCCTGGTGATGTACATACATTTGCACAAGGTAAAATCAAAGCGTCAAATCAAGGATACTTCAGCATAACACAAGTTGACCAAGATTCCAAGAGAACAACAATGACATATACATTGGGTACACGCACTACGTAAAACTCGAGCGCTATTTAGCATTTTAACAGAGCAAGTTTCTATTTCTACCAAAAGAAATTGCCACATGTTGGTATTTGCAACATTCTGTTTGCCTCCATGCAGAAAATGAAGAAAGGTTGAGCAAAATCTAACCGAGAATAAATTAGATTTTGTATACCAAAAATGAATGTGCAGGAAACTTGACTTTCATCCAAATCTAATTACATAATGCGCCACATCATCTTCTATAAAAAGAGTGTGGAATTTACCTCATCACTTGTACTTTTTACACAAAAAAAATAGAGAGAAATGGCAACCAACACTTCTCTATCTAATAGTACTAGTAACATTACAGTGTGCTCCACGCCAGAATGCACCATATTGGCCAATGCTATTATGGCTGATCTTGATCTCAATGTAGATCCATGCTCTGATTTCTATCAATATACCTGTAATTCAGGCTTGATCTGGTATGATATACTTGCTAATCGTATTTTATTAATCTAGGTGGAGGTTGGCTTGCAAATGCCACTATTCCAGACGATGAAGTCAGTAAGTGTTTCACTTACATTGACACATACCATTTGGTTCTAAAGCTATACCGTAGTTATTGGGTCACAGAAAACCGCCCTTGATATTAACCAGGAGATAATGCGATCCATCTTGGAAGGCACTTACGACAATTTGTATAAAGATCTTACCGGTTCAGACGAAGGCCTCCATCGAGAGGATCAAGAAGACGCTGACAAGGAAAACTTTGAAACCATGCAAAAGTACTACAATGTGTGTATGAATACAGATGAGATTGATGCGTTAGGACCTACTCCCATTTATCAAGACGTCGCCAAATTTGAGAATGTGCTGTTCCCCGTCAGTAATGATGCGCAAGTGTTTTCAAACCAGTCTGTGCCCTCATTCACTCAAGCCCTGAGTCGACTCAGTTCACTCTCTATTCCTGCGCTTAGCACACTTTTTGTTGGAGCTGATAACAAGAACCCTGATATGAACATCATCTATTTTGATCAAGTCAAAACTGGATTGCCTTCAAAGGAGTACTATGAAATCCCTGAAACATTAACAGTTTACAAATCTGGTTTAACTGACATTTTGACAAAGGTTCTTGGAAGCTACTCCAATGGGACATTAGATGCTACCTTGCGTGATACAGAGAGCCAAAAGTACAACTTCACACGATGGTCTGACGAAAGGATTGCTGTTTCTGTTGACAGATTCATTGACTTTGAAGCAAAGCTGGCCAACATCTCCATGAAAGCTGAAGAACTGCGAGATCCTAGTGTCACCTATAACCCTGTCAAGCTGCCTGATTTTCAAGCAAACAACTCATACGTCGACTGGACTTCTCTCATTGAATCTCTGTTACCCAGTGGCGAAGAGGTTCCCGATAACAATGTCACTATTCGCGCTACGCCGTACTTTGAAAGACTCGACGCCTTGCTTTTCAGTGGCAATGTCACGGAAAGAACACTGCAAAACTATTGTATCATCAACTATGTCACCAATGTAGCCTTTACCTTGGACAGTTCAACCCGGGAAGCTGTAAGAAGAGCTGAAGAGTGTCATCTCCAGTGGTACAACAGCTGCAAAACCTCGCTGGAAGACCTGCACCGATGCTGTTAGTGAAGGCATATCCAACTCTATGGGCAGATGCTTTGTTCTCAAGAGATTCGGTGGCGAAGCAGAACGTCAAAAGGTAGAATCCTTCTTGGCCAACATTCATGAGACGTGGACTGATCACTTGAGTCAAATTGACTGGCTTGACAATCAGACAAGAGCCACTGCTGCTCAATTTGAAGAAAAGACGAAATGCTTTATTGATCAATATTCCAAATTCGCTGTTGCTGGTCCCAACAATTCAACTCTCAATGTCAATGGCGCATTGACCTTGGCTGAAAACTTGGCTGACAACGGTGGCGGGAAACTCTCAATAGCTGCTTACAAGAGGCTCAACAAACAAGAGCAAAAGTTGCCTGGTTTAGAGAACATGTCTCCTGAAGCTTTATATTTTGTCAACCTTGGTCGCTCTTGGTGTAGCAAGCAAAGAGACGAAGTTGCTCAGTTTTCGGTAAGATGGTGTTGATGATTTAATTGGCTTGAATCGATGCTAATAATACTCTCTTAAAGATCTATGTGGATACGCACTCACCTCCAAACTTTCGTGTTAATGGTATTTTTCAAAACAGCGTTGAATTTGCAAATACATTCAATTGCCCTGCTGGCAGCCCAATGAATCCAGAAACAAAATGTTCCATGTGGTAGTTTGCTTTTCATCCATTGTATTTTTTCTTTTATTTTACCAATAAACATCTGGAGTTAAGAGCTTGAATCCTCGTTGTTATGATGAGGCCAAATGTGGTATGTGGAATTTTCTAGCCCAGTGGGGTAGGGGTATGGATTTTATGGATTTCTTGGCCACTGCTTGGAAGGTGCAATCATCTGGTACTAAAACCAGAGTGTTCCTCAATTTCGGGTAAACACAAAAGGCCATGGAATCACCACTAAAATCATGTTCCATATTCCGACAGTATCCTCATTTGCAACATTCAGGATCATTGGAACCATAAGAGAAAGGCATTATCGTTTTGAATGGTCGTGGTGATAGTTGACAGAAATAACAATGCTTGATCTACAGGAATTTAACCATAGCAAAGAGTATACAAGGTACATCATCCAAACTCTAGGATTACATACCTTCAAGAGAGGCTTTGCCATGTGCCAAGTGGTTGCTAAATTGAAATGCAGTAAAGGACGAAACAACATGGAAAAGTCTTGATTCTTCCTATATAAAAGGTGACCAAAAGCATTTGGCATTTTAGTTTCATCATTTCTCCTGCCATTACAACATGCAAATCTCTTCAGGTACAAATAATACACTCCAGTTGCGATTGTTGCACTGAAACTCATAATTGCATACACTATAGCCCTCACATTACTATTTGCCGGCATTACCTCTGTTGCTGCGTCTTCCAACATTACGTACAAGGTTGTCTCTCTTGTCCCTGATAATCAGACTCTCGCTGTCATTGTTGACGAGAATGTATATCCATTGACTTCTGTCAGTGAATCATCGTCTTTGTTTCACACTGGCCAAGCACCCATTGCCACTACAAATTATCAATACGCTATTCTGGAAAAAAACAATACACATGTCCTTGAAAGAGAGAATTTTACTCGAAGCCCCGTTACTGAAGACAGCACATTGAACGAGTACTTTGGTAGATCATGGAACTCTATGAACTTGACTCAACTTCCTCGTATTTTGGATCCTCTCCCTATCATTGACCGCATTGACTCCAAGATTCATATCGAGGGCGAGATCCCAACCATTCATTTCACTGGAAACCAAACAGCTATTGACTATATTCATGCTCATCAACAGCTTGACATGAGTGTCGAAGGAATGAAAATGACATATATTAGGTAAATGGATACTTATCGACGTAAATTACTTGAAACTAATCTGTTCATGACAGCCCAAATGACATTCAAACGATAGAAAATGTTGAATTTGCTATAGGTGGTTTTAGTACACGGTATTTGGACAAAGTAGCCTACAAGGTCAAGCTCCCAAAGGGCAGTGACCTCTACAGTTACCGTCGCTTCAAGTTGAGAGCCATGAGTACTGATGCTTCCTATATGAGAGAGAAACTTGTATCTGAAATTGCCGAATCGATTGGCCTTCCCACCACGAAAATCAGTTATGTTCGCGTATTCATCAATAATCAAGCAGTGGGTCTCTTTGCTTTTGCCGAGAACTTCAAGTCTCCCTGGGTTCGCAACGAGTTCAACAACGGAAAGAAGGATGCTAACCAAGGCGCTCTATTTGTTTGCACTGCTAACGGAAAGTTGGACAATGCCACCACCACTGCCACAACTACTGCAGAAGACTTGGCAAACAACACCGCCACTACTGTCAAGTCTGATTTATCCTATCTCGGTGATAATGCCACACTTTATAGCCTTCCTTATCCTGCCAAAGAAGATCCTGCTACTGGTACTGTCAATTATACTCGTGTCATGGATTTTACTAAGTTTCTCTCGGAGCAAAACACAACAGTCAGTGATTCTGTCATCCCACTCTGGGAGGAAAAGATTGATGTTACAAGTTTTTTGCGTGGTCTAGCATTTGAAATCATCACTTCTAGCATGGACGGCTATCTCGGTGTTCACAACAACTACATCTTGTACGATGATCGCGAGAACGAGAGACTAGTATTCAGTGCTCAAGATTTTGATTTGACCCTAGGTAAGTGGCTCTTCGCGCTATCTAACACTGATCATACGCCTAACATTGTTATGGGTAGGTACATCCGGCGGTCAAATGCAGAATCTCTTTGCCGGCGACTACACCACATTCCCTGGCTTCAATTCGACGCCTTTAGCCACTCGCATGCTTGCTGTACCCAAGTTTAGACGTGAATTTGATAATTTGATTCGCAACTACACAGCTGGTTTGGTGAATCCAGACATAATGAACCCCCGTATTGATGACCTGATGACGTTTTTGAATGAAGATGTCGTTTGGGACAAGTCTTTGCCTCGTCTTGGTTCAAATGCATTCCTCAAATACGCAGATGGAATAGACGTGTCATCCGTTTCATTTTCTGATGGCGTGAATGGCCCCTTGCCTACCAATTTCAGTATGGGCGTTAGAGAATGGCTTGTCAAACGATCAACCAGCTTGTACGACTACTTTAATGCCACCTCCTCTACCAGCAACTAAACACCTTATTCTTTGTAAATTGTAAATGTCAATAGCCCGTCTGTAAATTCAATCTTTTATTATATATATAAAAAAAAAGTTCAATATGGATTCGTTTTTACTGCTTGCTACAACACTTTTCTTTAGCATCGCTTAAGGCAACATCAGGCTGGACAGATTCTACATCAGGGTGGTTTTTCTTCCAATCCAGTTTCTTTTTGAAATAGAGCGTAACGTACACAAGGATCACAAGAACAGGCACTTCAATGAGGGGACCTATAGTGGCGGCTAATGCTTGCTCTGAATTGATGCCATATGTGCCAACAGCAACGGCAATGGCCAGCTCAAAGTTGTTGCTACCAGCTGTAAACGACTGAGTGGCCACAAGCTCATAGGGAAAATGGAATACCATCTTGAGAACAAAGAAAGGGATGAAGAACATGATGATAAAGTAGCAGAACAGAGGCACGGCGACACGGAAGACTGAGCCGATATTGTCAATGATATGATGGCCCTGATTAGCAAACATGACAATGATGGTGTAAATCAAACCAACGAGACTCAAGGGACCAAAGTGGGGCAAAAACGTCTCGTTATACCATTTGTCACCCTTCAGCCAGCGCAATGAGAAGCGAGTGATGAATCCTGCAACCAGTGGAATACCAAGATAGATGAGCACAGATTGTGCTACTGGCCAAACGTCAACGTTGATGGCTGTGTCTTGAGGTGCACCAAACCAAGACGGCACGGTGTTGATAAAAAACACGGCATAAGGCGAAAACAAGGCAATTTGAAGGATAGAATTGATAGCAACCAAGATAGCGCAGTAGTTTGAATCACCACCAGACAATGTGTTCCAAATGAGCACCATAGCGATACATCTAAACAGTATGTATTATGTCAGGGCTATGTATCACACTCGACTGTATGTACAACTTACCTTGCTAGCCCCACCATGACTACACCTGTGCGAAATCCTGGCAAATCTGGCAAACAAGCCCAAGCGAGGGCTGTCATAACGATGGGGCCAATAATCCAGTTGATGACAATAGATACCAATATTTGAATCCAAATATGTTGATCTTGCAAAATGATGTGAAGACGCTCATATTGAATTTTGCAGAGAACAGGATACATCATGACGAGCAAACCGATAGCAATGGGTACAGATACAGACCCAAATTGTACAGTTTCAAACGATTCTTGCACATTAGGAGCAAAGACACCGATGATGACACCAATAATCATAGCGAGCAGAATCCACACAACCAAGAAGCGATCAAGAAATCCCAAACGCCGGATCAAGGCTATAGTGAGAGGTAAATATACGGCAATTCATAATTATAAGAACACAGTGTGCTGGCTATACCTGTTTCGTTTGGTGCACCACTATCAGAGCCTTCAGCTGCCATCATTTGATATTCATTTGTAGCTGGATCAACGCAATAATCGAAGTTGCAGTCAACCGACCTGTAGCAAACAGAGGTCCTTTCAATGCAATGCGCTTCTTTGCAAGTGTCACTTTTGTAGCAATCTGATGTGGACATGATAAAATAAAGATAAAGATAAAGAAAAGAAAAGAAAAGAAAGAAGAAGAAGAGAGATCATTCAAATAGATCAGACATGCCTATTAAGTCAAGATTTTTTTTTGTGGGGGGGGGGGGAGGAAAGAAGTATTTTTAAACTTGGTATACTCCTCCCACAGAAAAGAGATAAAATCAAAGATTCAGCGATTAACAAACGTATCCCTCTTTCTCTTTCAAACACCATTAGAAATGCCAAAGTTAACTGTATTTCATAACCCCAATTGCACCAAATCCAAGCGCAGTGTCGCATGTTTGAAGGACAATAAGCATGATTCCAACTATGATTTGGATGTCATTGAATACCATATCAGCCCTCCTTCTACCGAGACGCTCCAAGTCTTGTCAGAGTATCTCGGATTAACCAAAAAAGAAGCCTCTACTAAACCCTGGAACTACTTGCTCCGCCCTGAAGCTCAAGACAAGGCCAACTCGTTTGAAGAAGCTTATGAGATCATTCAAGCCGACCCTAGCCTTCTCGAAAGGCCTTTTGTCATTGACTGGGATCGCAAATTAGCTGTTCTTGGTCGTCCTGATATTTCTACTGTCGAGAGACTAGTTGCTGAGCGTTTAGAACTTGCTAAAGAGCAATCATAATCATTCAATTTGAATAAATTTTGTCTTTGACATGTACTATAACCTGTAGCATTTGGTTTGCAATTTTTTGTAAATTCAGGCAATACTCTCTAAATGTCATTTTGAAATCCGATCTGTGGATTATTTGCACAATTGATAGCACCTAAAATTGGCTCTAGTATATTGAACGAGGCCTGTACTAGAACCATGTCATAGTGTTGCTCTTGTAGATGCGAACATTGGGGGGGGGGACATATGCATCAATCAACGATATTTGTGAAACACAACATGATCGGAGGTCCATAACTAAACGTTTGCCAGGATTATTAATCCAATTTTTCAGGACCAAACGCTACTTTTTCACAGTTGCCCCTCATTTGATCCAAGATTTGTTTCAAAACTCGCGTTGCACGTGGAAATATTCACCCAAACTAGACATGACATACACTATTTTCAGAAATTATTGGGACATTTTTAAAAAAAATTGGTACTAATTCTGAATAAATATTGGGTCTATTTATAATTAAATTTGGGACAAATCTTGAACTATTTTGGAACACTTGCCTAATTAATATTGGGACACTTTTCGAAATTATAATGAGACAAAACTAAATGGGATTTGAGATGAAATCATAGTCGCTTTCTTCGTTATTCATAAAATGTCAGATATCAGAATTTACTACGAAGACGGAATAAATGCTCCAGTCGATGGGCATGGAAACGAAGCTGTTGAAATGGATGTAGACAACGAAGCCTTCCCTCTCGGTGACATTACCAACTACAATACTTATGTTGATAGGAAGCCACCTGAAAGAGAATTGACCGCACTAAAAGAGAAAAAGATTAAAAATAAGAAAAATGTGCCCAAGACTGAATATAACAGCTACACAGACAAAGACAAGGCAAGATTTTTTATCCTTATCTACGACCATGGCATGAATCCTAATCAAGCTTGGAAAGCGCACGGCCATATATCAAGAACAACCGCTTACAGATGGTACGCAAAGGATCAAAAAAAGGTTAACAAAGAAATTGAGGACGATGAAGAGCCAGTTAAGAGAGCAGGTCGACCAAAGATTTTGAACGAAGACCATACGAAGCACCTAAAACTAGAATTTGAAGATAATCCATCAGTAACAATCGAACAAGCTCATGAGAGTCTTGTTAAGGCTTTCTCGGGTTTGACTATCAGCCAAACGACTATTTACAACTACATGACCAATGATCTTGCCTTGACTTTCAAGAAAGCTCATTTCCATTCCAAAGAAAGAAACTCGCCTGAAAACATTCAAAACCGGTACGACTGGGTAGTCAAATGGAGCCAAACCGACATGGATTACATGTCCAACTGTGTTTTCATTGATGAGTCAGCTTTCCATATTAACTTGAAGCGAACAATGGCTTGGTCAGAGAAAGGAACTCGAGCTGAAGTGCCTGTACCTCAAACAAGAGCGAAAACTACCACTATTATTGGCGCAACTAGCGTATGGGGAGTGTTGAATGTTCAAGTGAGGTTGCCTGGAACATCCAACAAGAAAAGAAAGTTAGCTGGCACTTCTTCTGGAAAAGCAACAACAACTGTGGGTACTGTAACTGGCCACTACTTTAACTTTATTGCGAAAACGATTGATATCATGGACCAGCATGAGCAATTCAAAGATTTTTATCTTGTTATGGACAATGCACCCATCCATACAGCCAAGGATATCGAGAGGTATATCATTCAGCGAGGTTACAGATGTGTTTACCTCCCACCATACTCCCCTGAGCTTAATCCTATTGAGCAATTCTGGCATGTGGTCAAGAGTAAACTCAAGAGGGAGAGGCTCTTAAAAACTGAAACACTTTCGACCAGGATTACCGATGCATGCAATGATGTATTGTACAGTGATCTTGAAGGTTCTGCTCGCTACTCTGTTAAGAAATTCGATGTTTGTTTGGCGAAAGAGCCATTGTAATAAATGAATTTTACTTTCTCTGAAAATGTCTCAATGTTTTTTTATAAGTGTCCCAATATTAATTAGGCAAGTGTTCCAAAATAGTTCAAGATTTGTCCCAAATTTAATTATAAATAGACCCAATATTTATTCAGAATTAGTACCAATTTTTTTTAAAAATGTCCCAATAATTTCTGAAAATAGTGTATAGGAATCAAATGCTGCTGATTTTGCCAAGAAGGATGTACTTCAAGGCTTCAACATCTAGCACCCTGTTTGTCTAAATGTTGCGTATTCAATCCAACATGTCCAGCCATGTCAGCATTGCACTCTGAGATTCCATAATGTAGATAGTTGTTGTCATTCACAAAACTTATGCAATCAACATGAAATGTCAAATGTATATAAGCAGCAGACTCTTTGCAGCCAAGTGAATAGACTGATAAGATCTACAAATGCTAGCGTCGAGGTAAAGTGCTGCGTATGTAGTTTTGTGTTGTTTGGCGTTTTTGTCACATCAAATGTTGGATACCATGAATGGTAGAATATAGCATTGGAAATGAAGAGATGCCATTGTATTGCGTAATACATAGTTGGTGGTCTCTATGAGGAGAATCACTGCTGTGCAAATAGTTCTGGAAATATCTAGTAACTTTTGAGACGCTATTGCACTGACTTGCTATGCTCTATTTTCTGCTGCGATATGTTGTCGGTGCTTTTTGTCCTACGAAATACGTTGAGATGTGACACACATGGGCCATCATACATGTCTATTCAACATGATGGAGAGCTTTAGGAAGCACTGAATTCGTGACAATGCAATACAGATGGCACCCAAGATGGTTACATATTCACTGTTCACAGCCATGCCAATTAAGCCTGCCATTTCACATTACAAACATCAAATCCCTACAGAAAACCAGAGCGTTTTGATACAATTGCTGACCAATCAGAACTGTAGAGAAAGGTCAGGAATCTTGTAGAAAGAAAATTTTTTTTAATGAACGATTAGAAATAGGTCTAAAAAGAGGGCTCTTCCTGTGCTTTTCATTCCCTTTTACATCCTCTTTTAATTTTATACGAAACCATGGTTAGAGAAACAAAGTTTTACGATGTTTTGGGCGTCAGCCCTGATGCTTCTGAAAGCGAGCTCAAGAAGAGCTACAGAAAACTAGCTTTAAAGTATCATCCTGATAAGGTACATAACATTGATTTACTGCCAAAATATCTTCGCATAGTATACTAACAGTGTAACATGTAGAATCCTGAAGCTGGTGACAAGTTTAAGGAAATCTCTCATGCTTATGAAATCCTCTCTGACCCTGAGAGACGTCAGATGTATGATCAGTATGGTGAAGAAGGTTTGAACGGTGGACCTGGTATGGGCGGCATGGATGCTGAAGATCTCTTCTCTCAACTCTTTGGTGGTGGTTTCGGTGGTGGACGTAGAGGCCCTTCAGGTCCTCGCCGTGGAAAGGATATGGTGCACGCTTTGAAGGTCAGCCTTGAAGATCTCTACAATGGTAAGACCAGCAAGCTTGCTCTTCAGAAACACATTCTCTGTGCCAAGTGTGAGGGTAAGGGTGGTAAAGAAGGCGCTGTCCAAAAGTGTAAGACATGTAATGGCCAAGGTGTTCGTCTTGTCACTCGTCAAATGGGCCCCATGGTGCAACAAATGCAAGTTCCTTGTGAGAGCTGTCAAGCTACCGGTGAGATTATTAACGAGAAGGATCGTTGTACCAGCTGTCGTGGTAAGAAGGTTGTTGGCGAAAAGAAAATTCTTGAAGTGCATATCGATAAGGGTATGCGTGATGGACAAAAGATTACATTCTCTGGTGAAGGCGATCAAGCACCCAACATTATTCCCGGTGATATTATCATTGTAATTGACGAGAAGCCTCATGCCCACTTTAAACGTCAAGGTGATGATTTGATCTTTGAAGCAAAGATTGATCTCTTGACCGCTCTTGCTGGCGGTAAATTCGCTATACCCCATCTTGACGATCGTGTCCTTATGGTCAACATCTTGCCCGGTGAGGCTATCAAGCCCAATGAGCTCAAGGTTATTCCCAATGAAGGTATGCCTGCTTACCGTACTCACACTCGTGGACATCTCTTTGTCAAGTTCACCATTGATTTCCCCGCTCCAAACTGGACCACACCTGAAAACATTGCTCAACTTGAAAATATCTTACCTGCTCGCCCTGAGATCCCTTCATTCGGTGACAAGCACGTTGAGGATGTTGTTATGGCAGATGCTGATGCTTATCAAAGAAGCTCTAGACAAGGTAGCAATGCTGCTCATATGCATGATGGTTATGAGGATGAGGATGATCATCATGGTGCTGGACCCGGTGTTCAATGTGCTCAACAATAAGGAAATCCGAAATGCAAAATACATGAAGAATCTTTTTAATTTTCATATCATTTAGACCGTTTTCTTCACTTGATTTCTCTATTTCCTTATCCCATGTTGTTTTTATGTTGTAAATTTTTTCTCTATTTTAACCACTTATTTCTGTCATTTTGCTTGAATCTTTCTTATATATACTCATATTCTCCTTCATTCTCTTTTCAAATAAAAAAAGTCCAAAATTTTCTGGAATCAGTAATCATGCAAATGCTCAACAATTGAATTATGAGTGTAAATGTGATGAGAATTTGTTCAATAAATTAAGTTTATAGTCTAAGTCTTGTAAATAATTTAAGAGGAAGCCTTGACAGCAGCTTGGGCACCAGCAAAGGAATCCATAATGTGAGCATAAGAAGGCAAACGCTTAGCAAACAAGGCAGCCATACCGTTGATATCCTTGCGCCAATCGCGACCCAATTCACAAGCAACACCGAACCAGTTCATGAGTTGAATACCGCCTTGTTGCATTCTCAACCAAGAAGCATCGCGGACAGCCTCGCTGAAGGTACCGGAAGCATCGGTAACAACAAAGACCTCATAACCAGCCTTCTTTGCAGAAAGAGCAACAAAAGTAACACAAACATCAGTGACAATACCAGAGATAATCAATTGCTTCTTGCCAGTCTTCTTGACAGCCTATATAACAAGTACAAAGTGTGGTGAGTTGAATGTGTTGGTATAGGCATTGATCTCATAAACTTACAGAACGGAATTCAGCGGAATCCCAAGCATTGATTTGACCAGGTCTAGCAACGTAGCTAGAATTGGGGAACAAAGCCTTGAGTTCAGGGAGCAAGACACCGTTGGGGCCATCTTCACGAGAGGTAGTGAGGACGACAGGAGACTTGAAATACTTGGCAGACTCGGCCAAACCCATCACGTTGTTCAAGTAGGTATCAGGATTGTAATCTTGAACCAAATTCAAGAGACCAGTTTGATGATCAACAAACAAAAAGGCAGCATCCTTGACGTTGAGACGGTTGTAGTAGTCAGCAGAGACGGAGGAGATCATGGCAGCAGCGCCAATAAAAGCAGCAGTAAGAGAGAAACGCATTGTTAAAAGTGTTCTTCGTCTAGAAGAGATGTGATGATAAAATAAAAGCAACTTGTCAATTTCATTCTGTATTTATACTCCTGCCATGCCTCAAACCTTTCAATGTTTGTGTCATTTTTCGGTGACCTTATTAGAGAAAGGATCTGTAGCAGTGCCTGGGTAGCAACTGTGCACATGGTTATACAATCTGATCTACTACATAACCAACGCCTCTCGTTTCAAGTGTGTAATGCTCAATCTTCATTGAATCTTACACTTCCAATGCAAGAGCGTATGAGAAAACATCAATTGGGTTGGATGGCATCTGTGCACGGCATCTTGGTGCCATACGCATTATAACGACATGCTGCTATGTACTCGAACAGATTACAACATGCCCGCCATGACAAATCCTGGTACTTTGCTTCTTTATGGATTAGTGAGACTTACATATGCTTCTGCCTTTTACAGCGCTTCAGAAAATCGAGATGTGTAACCTAATTATTTATCATTGCTTACTTATGCTTACTGTTATATGAACGCTCATTCAAATTCACGACGCCTCAATTGTGTAGACGGTGCAGTATTGAAGCTTTATCAGCGGTGCTAATCCCAGTATTCTCATTAGAACGTTTGTTTAATGACTAATGATTTGAGGCTTCTTTTTGACATCATACTTGGGCCATTCAAATTCGCAATACAGATATCCACCACACCATAAGTTTGCCCCTGAATCTATTGCAGATCTTAATGAGGTCAGGAATGCTATTGATTAGGGCATTGTATTATTTTGTGTGTATATCAATTACTAGCCGATCTATCTCGCTACGCTCGATGTCGGCGTCGCCCTAGGGGCTCTCGCCAAAGACATTTTAAATCAGATATAATAAAATTTTGTATATCAAATAGATTCTAAACAATCAATTATTAGTAAAAGAAAGGCTACATTAGAGCCACAAGGAGGAGAGAAAGTATCTTTCTCAGCTCCCTTTTTGCTCACACTGATATCAAACGAAGCTTATTATTGAGATGATGTGAAAGAAAATTCAGCATTTGTATACCACAATCTCCATTTTCCGATCATACCATTTGCTGCTGCTGATGCACTTAATAAGATAGCGACATCATAAAGCTGGTCATAAGTAAATATAGGGCTTGTGTAAGATCTAGAGCGACTTTTTTGAGATACTGCCGTTGCAAAAGACTCTTTCATGAGGAAAATCTTCCCAACAAAGTATTTGCGCTAAGCAATTGCCAATTCAATTCCATGATCACCATTTAGTCAGCATCGTAATCATCATTGTCGTCGTTAGAAAGGTATTTGAGCCAGCCAGCAGCAGTGCCGCCCGCAAAAATCGATTCAAACGCAGCTTATCTTTTCTGTTCAAGATTGGACTGATTTCGTAATTTTCGACTCCTTTAATGTATTTTATGATATTCGACTATATAAACTGTGATGATCACCTTACGCTTCTTAATACACTCTTGGAGTACTTTTCAAGGCGCTTCCAGTAGTACTAACTGTAATTAATACTTTGAATCAACATATTGAGCAATTTAGTAAAATTTGAAATGAGGTTTTTAGCGAAAATAGCCATATTTTGCATATGAAAGTCTCATAAAAGTGGTTTCAGAGATTGCTTTGGATCGAGAGAAACATTTTGATCCAATACATACCATAATAAAAGTCTTCATTTTCAAGGTGAAAAATGCGATTGTTTGATTTTCGATGAAAAGCATGACGTACCCCTCATGCTTTTTGGTCGATTTTTGGCCATGTTTTTTAAGTCCCCAAAAAGTTGAGCAAAGGTGTCAGGAAGTTACTATTACTCAAGTACAATTGTTTGGTGTCATTCCGGTGGATCATAAAGGTCTACATGTCAAGATACGAAGGCTTGAAAGCTGTCAAGTTTGGTTATGTATTGCTTTATAGAGCTTATTTACACGGCATGAATCACATTTTTGGTAGCTGAAATATTCTGGAAAGGTAGTTCCGTAGCCTGTGCAATTTTTAATTCGAATAGGAGGCATATTGATTTTGGTAAAGCTAATTCATGCAAATTTTGCTCAGCTGTCGCAATTCGTTCCTTATGGCAACCCATGCTCAAATATTTTACAGTTGTATACGTTATAATAGGGGTTTAGGATCTACAGTTTCTGAATTCATATTATTTAATCCAATCTTGAGTAAGTCTTAAACTATAAAACTAAAATGGTGAGCATATCTCTTGCCATTGATACAACTCGATAAAGCTCCAGCTAATTGCAAACCTTCATTAATTTAAGAAAGGTCTCGTGCCCTCACGTGTTGTTTACACTCCATGAATGTCAAATTACTTGCTATTTGCAGTTATCTGAGTAAAGGAGGCTATACCAAAACTCAAGGCAATTGCGCTTATTAGTGCTACCTACCACTCGTAGATGTCTTAATTAGCGACAAGTGTAGTAATTAAGAGTGTACTTGATCTGGATGGTGCCTTGAGATCAACAGATAAGCCCGCTAATAATGCATTGATAAGTGTAGCACATAATTAAATGGTGCTTATGCATGTAAATTATGATGGATCTAATATATAAGAACACCATTTCACACAATCTGATGCAAAATAGACCACTGTCAAAAATGCACTCTCCTTTTTTATTAGTAATCTCAATCGTATTACTCGCATTCCATCAAGCTTGCTTAGCTCTACCTACCACTAAAAAGGCCAATGACACTTCTTCTGCTGCTACCTCTTCAACATCTATCAAAAAGGGCAAGTATTTCGACCGTGTCGTCATTATCGTTATGGAAAATCAAGACTATGATGTGGCCTACAAGGACAAATTTTTGCAAGGATTGAACAAGGAATATGGAAACGGAATTATGTTGACAAACTACCTTGCTACAACACACCCCTCTCAGCCCAATTATGTGAGTACACATATGTCGCAAAAGGAAGCGTTTTATTGATCGCTCAACTCAGATTGCCATGATTAGCGGATCTACCAAAGGCACCAAAGAAGACGATGAGTCCAATATTGATCGAAAGAACATTGTAGATCTCTTGGAGGCTAAAGACATCACTTGGAAGACCTATCAAGAGGATTATCCTGGTAACTGTAACAAGAAGATGGATATCGAAAAATACGCTAGAAAGCATAATCCTTTCATGTCCTTCAAGAACATATCAGGCAACAAGAAAAGATGTGCAAACATTGTCAATTCTAAGCAGCTAGACAAGGATATTGCTAGCAATAGCGTGCCTCAATTTGTGTTCTATACGCCTAATGTGAGTTACAAGCAGAACAGTGAAGTGGTCAATACTGATACTGTTATTTTAGATCGACAATGATGCGCATGACACAAACATGAAATTCGGTTCGAATTGGCTCAAAAAGTTCCTCTCTACACGTATCAAACAAAAGTCCTTCAATCAGAATACCATGTTTGTAGTGACCTTCGATGAAGATGATGGTGCTTCGGACAACAACAAGGTGCTCACGGTTCTTTTTGGTCCTGATTTCCATCCTAAATCAAAATCAAATAAGGACAAGACAAAATACACTCACTATTCATTGTTAAAGACAATCGAGGACAATGTAAACGTATATGATGTGTATTTAGACGTCAAAGCTAACTGATCTGATTATAGTGGGGACTGGGCGATCTTGGCCAAAACGATAAAAAGGCAAATGTCATCCAGCTGTAACTTCTCTAAAAAGGACTGTGTCTGGTACACATGCTCCAAAAGGTCTTGAATCGAATAAAGCAATATATAGATCATATCTACTTTGATGGTATTCCTTTAATTTTCATATTATGTTACAAGTGAAAGGGAATGCTATGCTCTACACAGCACCTGCTGCCAAACCAAGCACATCTCTGCGTTGGTCTTGCCAACCGATAGCTTCTGCACTACATCCGCGAGGCCATCGAGCACTTGAGCCATACAAATACTCGATTTCCCTCATAAAATCCTCAAAATAATTCCAGTTGGTAGCTGCTCTTTGCGATTTTTCGAATCCTCCTCCAGGCCAGACTAACGCTGAGTGATCCTTGTGGATCATGAAAACCTCTCGTAGTACCATGAATCGATACTTTTCAGCATTCAAGTGCAATGTATGCGATTGCTTATCTCCACCTTGATTCTTGAAACGAGCGTCGTATAAAGGTGCTGAACGATGTAGAACATAGTAAGGCTCCCATTGTGATTCAAAGCATACTTCATAGGCCAATGGATTGCCATGCAAGAAGGGTCTATCCATGGCAACTTCTGCCGCTAGTGTAGGTCCATGACCAGCTCCAGGATCAGTGATATAAGCAATATTGCGTCCAACAAGCTGCCGTAATTCATTGTACGTTTGTGGCATCGGTAGGTCGCTAAAGTCTTCACGGATAGCAAAGCAAGGAACTACCCAGGCTGTTTCTGGCATTTTTCCAGCTTGATACATGATGAAGGGAAGAAGACGAGATCGCAAAAAGCTGTATACATTGCTGGAAGGCGTGAAGTCAGCATCAATCACAAAGATGTAGTCTGTAGATGATTCGGTGATGGCAATGTTTCTGAGATGGTTGATAGGGTATGCCAAATGCGAGTTGTCTAGATAACTGGGTTTGACCAGTGTGATTGTAACTCGAGAATAAGTCTGCAGGTTGTCTTCGTTTTCAAAGTAGCTGATGAGATCGTCAATGTCTGTTGACTGTGTCAAGTATCTATAGGCATTTGTTAATCTCTCAATTCAGGCAGGTGCTAATGTACATACATGGCTACTGAAATGGGTCCTGTCCATGCCTCGATAGCTTTTTTGAATGTATCCAATCTGTTGACTGAAAACTGACTGATCATGGATACGTCTACATTGGGAGAATGTTCCTCCTTCATTGCACGTTGAACCAGCACAATTTCTTCGCTCTGACTATATCTGTCTATATACTATGCGTGTTAGCAACGCGCTTATCATGAATTCAATATGCATGTACCATTCATCAACTTCTTCATTTGTTGCGCAACAATCAGTATATCAGCTCGCAGATCCATCTCGACAAAGTTGCGACACTTGACACCGTATCCTGACTCTGTGCACTGTGTCTGTCCTTCTGGTATTGTCAGCCATTCTCCATCATCCACTCGTCCTTCCACCTTGACCTTGAGTCGGCACCCTTCGCTCAACTGGATAGTGGACAAATCACGGAACACGCCAGCATTTGATAGATCAGACCAGGCGTATTTTTGATTTGGTTTCCAAGTCGAGCATCGGTTACTAGGATTGCAAAGCGTCGCTGTGCATGTACTTTCATGCCTTTCGTACAGTGGTTGGTTCTTGAGTACTATCTTGTTGTTTTTTCGATTGCCGGAGCCAGGATACAATAAGAATACGAAAAAGAAAATGGCTATCAGCGTGAATATCCCCTTAGTAGGGGACAGAAGTCGTTTCGGCCATACGTTATATGGTGCACTGGAAGATCTGGAGGGCTTATAATGGCGTCTTGCGTTACTGAAGTAACGCTTCTTTTTATCATCGTCATCGTCTGCTCTTCCAAAGCTCCTCCCGCCAAGTAGTGAATCCATTGGGATGAATGCAAAAGGAAAGAAGTGGATTAAAGCAAAACTCAAATGCACCCGAGTGCACGTTAATCTAGTGACTACTGCAGGCTTAAAAGGACAACCTTTGGCATCAAATTTACGAGTGTTAAAAAGACGAAAATTTTGGTTTATTGTACATAGAAAAGAAAAAGGAGAAAATGGTCATATATTATGGTAGAGAGTGTAGTTTGGGCGTGCTTTTTTTGTTTGTATTATTGCATCAATCTAGTTGTTTTGTTCATTTAGTTCTTTCCAGCGTTTTCAGGTCTAAGTTGACGAACAGTCTTGCCAGTTCTCCAGATTTCAGATTCACGGATCTCTCTGAGCTCTTCCTCGAGCTTTTCACGGTAATCAGGTTGGGAGTTACGGTCAAGAGAACGGGCAGTCTCGGAACCATCCTTGACGGATCTGTAGAGGTCCTCAAAGACAGGCTTGGAGGCATCATGGAAAGGCTTCCACCAATCAAGAGCACCACGCATGGCAGTAGTAGAACAGTTAGAGTACATCCAATCCATACCACGCTCGCCGATCAAAGGATAGAGAGATTGAGTAGCTTCTTCAACAGTCTCGTTGAAGGCTTCAGAGGGAGAGTGACCATTGGCTCTCAAGACTTCGTACTGAGCTTGGAACAAACCTTGAATAGCACCCATCAATACACCACGCTCACCGAATAAATCAGAGTAAACTTCCTTCTCAAAAGTGGTTTCGTACATGTAGCCGGAACCAATTCCGATACCCAAAGCAATAGTGCGCTCCTTGGCATGACCACTAGCATCCTTGTAGACAGCGAAAGAAGAGTTGATACCACGGCCCTCTTGGAAGAGGCGACGTACAGTGAAACCAGAACCCTTGGGAGCAACGAGGATAACATCGACACCTTCAGGAGCCTCAATGTTGGTTTGGTCCTTGTAGACAATGGAGAAACCATGAGAGAAGTAGAGAGTCTTGCCAGGAGTCAAGAGAGGCTTCATTTGAGGCCAGATCTCCTTTTGGAAAGCATCGGACAAGAGGTTCATGACGACAGTACCCTTCTCAACAGCATCCAAGACAGGGAACAAGTTCTTTCCAGGAACCCAACCTTCTTCGATGGCTTGTTGATAGGTCTTACCTTCACGTTGACCAATGATGACATTGACACCGTTATCGCGCAAGTTCAAAGCTTGACCACGACCTTGAGGACCGTAACCGAGAACAGCAATGGTGTCGTTCTTGAAGGTTTCGAGCAACTTTTCCTTGGGGACATCAGAACGTTCGTAGACAGTTTCCTTGGATCCTCCGAAATCAAGAGTTTTCATGCCACGGACTTGGGTAGTGATCTATGAATTGACGGTTAGCGTCGGTGGCATTGCCCATACCATAAAGAACCAAAAAAACTTACAGTAGTAGACTTGACAGCAGCGCGCTTGACATTGTTGGCCAGCATAGACATAGGTCTGATGGCAACAGCAGGGCGGGAGAGGGTAGTACGAGCAGCTGAGCGGATAGCAGTGGCAAAAGCACGAGAAGCCATTTTATGAATAATAATTAATATATATGAGCAAGAGAAGAAGAAGGGAAATGAAAGACATGTTCAACTTGCTTTTATATCAAAGTAAAAGATCCATGTTCGGAGTGCTCATGCTCCATAGAAATGTAAGCATCGCCCAATCAACGGGTGAAGATAAGAAATCTTTGATCAATGCATTTTAGCATATTGCTTCTCTGATTGGTGTGAGTCATTACTTGTAAATTGATTTGGCTACCAATTGATGGTATCTCTCAACTTTTATAGCAGTGATGTATTTTTGCTCTAGCGTTCTATGAAGATACAAGATATATAGAATACTTTTCATTGGACACGCTTGCTATTCACGAAATGTATACATGACATGTACCTACTTATCCAATGTTATATATCTCGCTAGCAGTAGTTTGATCGACCCTCTTTCAATTTTTAGCTTTTTAGATTTGTCACATGAGCTCAATCAACCTTTTCATTTTTCCCAAAAGGGAATATCAGCATCAGTACCAACTCTTAATAGTTCCTTTATCACAAACAAATCTATTCGTTCATTTCAGTGCTAGAAAGCTGGCAGTTGACGCATTTTACTGACACTGCAATAGCTTGCCCATCAAATACTGCTGAATTGTGGTTGTTGCTTATCATTTGGCTAGCCTTCTGATATCAACCTTGCTTATAGATCAAGAACTATATATGTAAATCCCATGCAATGACGAATATGGTGACATTTCACATCTGAACGAGCAATTTGAATGAGCACTTTACAAAAAACTAAGCCTTTAAATATAAATATGCACGCCAAAAGCAAGAGTAAAGTGCCAGCTTAAGCTTTGGTGCTTCTCAAACCGCAAACCCCTTCCTATTTGCTTCAAAAACATCGATTGCCCTCATAAGAAAAACATCTTGGCCAGCAAGCCGCTGCTACCAAACCCAATTAAAGTCTCGCTTTGCCTCTGCTCCAGATTGGACAGTTTTTGCTCAGAATTGACTCAATTAATCTATTTTAATGGATTCGACTATCTAAACTGTTATGATCGCCCTATGTTTTCTAACGTATTTCTAGAGTACTTTTTCAAGCGTATCCAATGATACTATCTATAACACATAATTTGACTAAACTTATTGAGCAATTTATAAAAATATAAAATAAGGTTTTTTGTCAAAATGTCGAGATTTTACATATGAAGGTCTCTCAAGAGCAATCTCAAGGGTTGCCCTGGATCAAGAGAAACATTTTGATTTAATACATGCTATAGTGAAAGTCTTTATTTTTGGTGTCAAAAATGCGATCGAATGATTTTTGATGTTTTTCCATGAGGTTATCCCTCATGGTTTGTAGTCGATGATTTTGGTCGATAATTTTTCGTTCCAAAAAAAAAGTTGAGTAAAGGCGTCAATAAGCAAACCCTAACCGAGAGCAACTATTTGGTGCTATTCTGACAATCTAAAACGGCTTCTAACGCGAGAAATCGTGGCTCAAATCATCCAATTTACGCTGTCTTTTGCATACTATGGGGCAATAAAAGCTAATGCAAGTATGCTATCTGCTCTTATATACGTTATTTCCATGGATACAGGTGCGGAGCATTGTACAAGAGTCAAGTCTGCAGTTACAGAAGGCTTTTACATGATGGTAGTTAGCTGGGAAGCCTACTTCAGTATGGCAAAAAATGAAGCCTATAGTATTTTGATGAACCGAATTAAAGTAGAGAACCATCTGAAGCGCAAAGGCAGTCGTATATATTGATTGCATGATAGCGATCGAGCTTGTCATTGTTTCGAATTGATCAGAATCGCAATGCCAAATATTGAGCACACAAATGAATCAACATGCCCCTTCATCACTACAATCAGCAGATGAGCAGGTATCTGCTTAGCAATAATCAACATCATTCGATGTTTTCAGAGTTAAGATGCCATTAAAGGCATATTTGTAGCTATTTATGAGACGTACAACATTTCTAAATATATGTATTTGACGCGGCACAAGGAGAATTGTAAACAGGTTTATGCATTTTATTGACATGTTAAACGATCGTAGAGGGGGGAATATATAGAATTGAAATTGAGAGAGTATAGACAGAAAGAGGTTGCATTTAGGCAGATTTAGCAAGAGAACACTTTGAGAGAGCAAGATGGGACATGCGCTTCTTTTCGGTAGCCTTCAAAGCATCTTCATAAGGAACCCAAACACGTTGGCGATCAGCATTGGGCCAGGTCTCGAGCAAGGTAGGGGCATGAACCTCGTACATCCAATGGTGAGCAATGACCTTACCCTTCTTATTAGATTCAGAGTAAGAGCCAACACGGCTGGTCAAGAAAGTGGCAGCAACGCCAGCCTTTTCATTCAAGAGACGAAGTGCAGCCTTCTCGGGGTGTTCCTCAGCAGGTACAGTCTTGCAATCATCACGAGGGAGGACATAAGTACCTTCATTTTTACGACTACTGAGCATGAGTACCTTGCGAGTAGCAGGGTCAACTACAATCACTCCAACAGCCTATTCAAACGATGATTAAAATTCTGAATTCTATAAGACCTATTTATATCTTTACCTGGCGAATTGGCTTGGGCTCCTTCTCAGAAGCGGCAGCATCCTTCTTCTTCTTCTTGTCCTTAGCTTTCTTGTCCTTGGACTTCTTATCTTTGGATTTCTTGCCTTTGGACTTTTTGTCTTTCTTTTCTGTCTTGGGAAGATCTTCGTCGGCAATCACAGGAGCTCCAGGAAGATTGGCGGTGCTATTGCATCCTGCAGCGGCAGAGGGTTGAAAGTCGGAGGAAACACTAGGTAAAGTTGCCGTGGCCATGGTGAAATATAATAAAATTCTGATTGAGATGAAGAAAGGGTAAGGTGTGGATTGGTTGAATGTGGGCATTTATATATGAAATTTACCTGTAACCGCGGGTCAGGCGGGCGTTTGATCCAACAGACGATATAATTATAGAATTATGGTAAAGCTGTCAATTATAAGCTTGTGAGACGCTTCAGCAGGGTAAATTCTCGGTATGCTCTTAACTTTATTTGATTAAAGTGAGAAAAAGGAAATCAAGCGCAAGGTTCAGTATTTAATATATTAGGTTTTGCAATTCTAATGTTGACAATTAGCTATGGAAAACGTTTTCCACAGATATACAAGTCAATTCTTGTAATTAACATGCTTTAAGGTTCTTTCCTTGATGATTTCATTTCCTCGGCTTTCATTTGATTTTATATCGCAATTTCGCTCTGGATCTAGATTCAGTCCGAAGAAAAGATTTAAGCGCTACTACAAAACATCTATATGAAAATTACTCCACTGAAACATTCTGTTCAGTAGCGTAATATCTAATGAGTGAATTTAGGTTACCCGATCTCAGTTGGGATCAAGTCCTCAAATATCCATTGACAAAGTAGTAGTGGTGCGCTATGTTGATAACCAATTCTTTATTCAGATATGTGAGAAATACACAATGCTCGTGGCCAAGTCTAAAATAGAACGTTCTCATTCAGTTTTGGCAACCTTCTCCAAGAATTTCGAGGACGATGCGGCCTGGGACATGTTCATGTATTTGTTCATGAAGAAGTAACCGAATCCAAGGGTGAAGAGACCAGCCCAAAACCAGGGATTACTGATAATTGGTTTGAGTAAGTAATGTGCACATCTCAATTTGAGCGATTTCCAAGATGACTTACTAGAATGGCGAGTTGACTTCAAGCATCTCAACTTCATAAATGATAGCAGTGTTTCCTAAATTTAAAGATATGGTTACATACACCTCAGGTGTGACCAACAGCTGCTTTTCGTACCTGGGACTAAATTGGGAAGACCCATCTGGCCATATGCTGCCAGCATAATTTAGAATCAATCAATAATATCAGATATAGAATGTAATTGCTTACCAAGATCAGCAGGGATCAATAAACGACGAATCTCACCATTGCACATGCCGTGGATGCCTTGCTCCAAACCTTATCACACACATATATATAACCATTTAGCATCTTACACCACGGTGCTCAAGCAATACATCAATTTACCTTTCATCAATTTATCTCTGCCTAGATGAGTATATGTAACCATATCAAATAACCATAACCACACGCCTTGCTGTTACAACTTACCAAGCTTATAGGAGTGAGGCTTTTCGCTAAGATATGTACTCTCATAGAATTCTTCTGATCCCCACACTCGAGCTCTGTAATGCAATTTGACTTTGGAGTTGCCTGATACCTTCTGCTTACAGTTGGTCGATGATCTGACGATGCCTTCATTTACTCGTAATATGAGTCTCTGTTTCAGTTTTATTGTGTTTTACGGACGTTTTACCTCCTAATAGCTTTGTAGGTTGCTCGAGTTCTGACTCTGTATTTGCTACCACCACGCATATCAGTGCGAATAGCGAAATCAGCTTGTATACAATGGAGGTTTTCATTTTGTAACTAAGATGGGAAGAAGAGCAAGGAAAAAGAAAGAGATGAGAAGTGCACTTTATCATGATGCTTAATTATTGTAGTTTCTATCGGTTCTCAAATGGTTGCAAATCTGGCAATAATGTCCTTTTCAAGTCAATGAGATACAAATTAGGCATCCAAGAATCTTGGTGTGCATGTGTCACAAATGAAAGAGATCCAGTGAATATAGGCTTTACGGCAGATAACCAGATAACCACTTGACTACAAGCTAACGTACAGACCAGCTATTGGTACTTGGTTTTGCCAGTGTCACCTTGTATCTATTAACCCATTGGCATTGGGCTTCGCTGAATTGGTTTGATACTGGTGGAATCATGGTGCACTTTCCCTCTTACACGTCGACTCTTTGGTTGAAGCGTCTTTTTTTTTTTTTTTTTTTTTTTTTTTTTTTTTTTCGCAGATGTAGATCTGATGTTGCTGATAAACCTTTACAAAGCAGCTAAATACCAACGCAATTCCTGCTAGGATTATATAGAGTGATCGTGCTACACAATTTAGGTATCACCAAAGATCGCATAAACGAGGTTCTGAAAGATACCTTTAGTAGAAGTGCCATACGGTAATGCCAGTTTTAAGGGTGTGCATGATGCTTTACTCCATCAATTTATGGCATGCTACATTGAAACTGAACAGCCAATAGATTTGAGACAAACATTGGATTTATCTCGCTTTGCGAGAACATGTATAGAGTTTTCTGTGTCTAACGGACCACAGCTCTTTTGGGTAAGAAACAGAACATCTGTAACAGGCAGAATTCGCTCCATGTATCTTGAATAATTCTAGTCGACACTTGTCCTATTCTTCAATGACAAATGTGCCCTGAACCCACCGTACTTGAATCACTTGTTGTATGACAAAGTTTTGAAGAGTTCCGTTTGAGTCATAAAAGGTTCCGATGTGCTAATCAATCTAAGCATTTTTATTACAAACGAACAGAGAAGACATCATGGCTACCATGTCCAATAAATAGCTCTCCTTGTTGGAAATAAATAATATATGTTCAGGGGAGGGGTATATTCCACTTTCAAGATGGAACAACAATGAATTCTCTATAGTTTATTCATTGCCAATTCCAGGGAGTGTTATGATGGTAGGCTGTTGTTGGTACTCCGTGTGTCGCTTGAGCCCCATACTGACAGACAAAATCTACAAGGCAATGTCAATGTCGCAAGTTCTCGAAACAACAGTGTCTATTTTACCTCGTCCAGCAATTGTCGAAGATGCATATTATCCTCTTCGATTTGTTTCAATCGCTCCTCGTTTGTCTGATTCAAATGACGAGTCTCCTCTAATATTTCAGTCAAACTCTTGTTCTGCGTCTCTAAGTTTTCCAAAGCATCATCCACATAATTTCTACGATTTTTGGCAGTTGCTCGAGATCTATGTAATGTATGTTCAACCTTAAGTCTGCCAGCTGCTTGAGACCCATGATTGCCTACCTCCAACTCTCTGCTAATATGACAGAAGCAGCTACAGCAAACACAAATGCTTCACTGAGAAAGTTTGCGCCGCTCTCAATAGCTCTATCACTCATTCAGTATCTAAAATGTGGTGAAATCAAATTGCAAGTGCTCACCTGGCATCATTTAATGGTCTAATTTTCTCGGTTTTGTAGCCTAAAAACTTCATCTTCAAGGTCATCTCCAGAGTATGAGAGCCCTAGATGACCAATTAGCAGTAAATTCAACGATGATATTATTTGCGTATAGCATACCTGAGCCACGCTGATACAAAATGCTTTGAATTTAGGATGTGATTTAGCTTGTGTCTTGATAGAATTTGCTACGGGTTTCGCCAATGTTCTATCAAGGCTCAATAAGTTCAAGCGGGACATTTGAATGATGCAATGTGGACATACTTGACAAGCAAAGAACCAATTTTGATTGTACTCATTTGAAACGTGTGTATGTGGAAGTAAAAAATAAGTGGAAAGAAATTGAGCCAAAGACAAGGGTTCCTTTTTAGTTGGCTGACTTGTCGCTTGAACGTAGAAGGGATGTGCCACCTACTGCCCGAGAGGGAATGTTACTGAGCTGCGACTGCTTTCAAACGTTGACTCATTCGTCAATTACTATAAAGCTAACATCTATACTGTCTCTCATTGCACAATCTCTCTCTTTCTCTCTTCAACTTTTTCTTTGCTTTTTGGTACTCGAGCATGTGTGGAATTTCGGCTTTAATATTGGCTGATCAAAGTGCTTCGGCCTGCCCAGATCTCTTTGAGAGTTTGGGTCTATTGCAGCATCGAGGACAAGTAAATGATTCTCCGTAAATCCCACATTTTGCATGATTATTAACCCTCGTGTATCAAGGATGCAGCTGGTATTGTAACATCTGGCCCCAAAGGTCGTCTGTATCAATGTAAAGGCAACGGCATGGTGAATGATGTTTTTGAACAATCCAAACTGACAGGTCTCGTTGGTAGCTTGGGCATTGGCCATGGTAATGATTCCTGATTCATGTGAAGGGAGCAAATCTAACAATTCATTTGTACAACCGCTCGTTTTAGTCAGATATCCCACGGCTGGATCATCATCTACATCTGAAGCCCAACCCTTCTATGTAAACTCTCCGTACGGCATTACGTTTGCTCACGTAGGTTCATTTCAAAGGTCATCACCAGCTTCAATTGACTGAAAACGTCTGCATTAGAATGGAAATCTGACAAATGCCGAAGAATTAAGGGTCTATCTGGACAAGATTGCTCATCGTCACATCAACACAGATTCTGACTCGGAGCTCCTCTTGAATATTTTGGCTAACAATCTTCAAAAGACCGGGAAATTCAGGTATTGATCACAAGAATCTATAGATGTGATTGTAACATCTCGAATCTGACTGGCGATTTCTAACTGATATTACTCATACAGAGTGAACGAGGAAGATATTTTTACTGCAATCAAGGATCTGCATCAACAATGCAGAGGTGGGTATGCCTGTGTGGCCATGATTGCTGGCTATGGCATTATCGGCATCAGAGATCCTCACGGCATTCGTCCCTTGATCATGGGCCGTCGCAAGAATCCTGCGGGATATGACTACATGTTCTCATCTGAAAGTGTTGTACTAGAATCTCTTGGTTTTACTGATTTTGAAGATGTGAAGCCTGGTGAAGCTGTCATCATCACTCAAGGTGGCAACGTCTCTCGTCGCCAACTAGTCAATGAGAAGGAAATCACTCCTTGCATCTTTGAGTATGTCTATTTCGCTCGCCAAGATAGTATTATGGATGGTATCTCTGTCTATAAGGCTCGTTTGAGTATGGGTGAAGCTCTTGCTGAGAAGGTCAAGAGGTCATTTGGCGATGTTATGAATATTGATGTCGTTATTCCCGTAAAATGGCAGTCTTGTTTACCATGTTTGCTTGAATTACTAATGTAACATGTGTAGGTCCCTGATACCAGCCGTGTCGCTGCACTCCAGCTATCTCGTAAACTAAATATTGTTTACCGCGAAGGCTTCAACAAGAACAGATATGTAGGACGTACATTCATTATGCCCGGCCAACAAACAAGGTAAACTAAACCCTGACTTGTATGACTATTACTAATGCCTCGCTCTCCAGACGTAAGAACGTTCGTCGCAAATTGAACGCTATGGCTTTAGAATTCCATGGCAAAAACGTATTACTGGTTGATGGTACACTACTAAAACCAAATCTATCTGAATTACGTTAATTAAGCTTCACCCTAGATTCTATTGTCAGAGGTACCACTTCGAAAGAAATCATCCAGATGGCTCGCGACGCGGGAGCAAAAAAGGTGTACTTTGCATCATGCGCTCCTCCTATCAGATATCCTAATGTTTATGGTATTGATATGCCTACACGCCAAGAACTCGTCGCCCATGGAAGAGATGATGAACAAGTTGCTGAAGAGATCAATGCTGATAAAGTCATCTATCAAGATTTGGAAGATTTAGTAGAATCTGTTCGTCGCTTTAATCCTGCTATTGAAAAGTTTGACACCTCTGTATTTGATAATTGCTACGTTACAGGTGATGTAGATGAAAGATACTTGGCTCATTTAGAAGGTGAGCGCAGTGAGGAGAGTAAAGGTCGCTTGAGCATAGACAGTGATTGTGTTGGATTGTACAATAGCTATCATCAAAGCAAATAATAAGTGTATAGAATATATGATGATCAAATAAAGATTGTTATCCCACTTATATTATACGAGTGTTTACGCTTCGGATGGTTCTCTATCTTCGCTTCGTTTCGGTGAGAATCAACCTGCACAGCGACAGCTCGAGCTACCGGTTGCCCTTGCGTATCTTATCATAATACTACTACGTTCAAGCTGACCCTCTACTTGCATATGAAAACCCTTCATATTACGTGTGGATCTGATTCTTATGTGATGCTTTACATCCATATACACCTAGCTACTTCATATACGGGCAAGTAGAATACAGGTATTTCCATTTCCTAGTCCTCAGTGCCCCTAAAACAACAAAATATGAGTGTATTTGAGCTGCTTTTTCTCGCGTTCAAAGCCGTTTTAGATTGTCAGAATAGCACCAAATAGTTGCTCTCGGTTAGGGTTTGCTTATTGACGCCTTTGCTCAACTTTTTTTTGGAACGAAAAATTATCGACCAAAATCATCGACTACAAACCATGAGGGATAACCTCATGGAAAAACATCAAAAATCATTCGATCGCATTTTTGACACCAAAAATAAAGACTTTCACTATAGCATGTATTAAATCAAAATGTTTCTCTTGATCCAGGGCAACCCCTGAGATTGCTCTTGAGAGACCTTCATATGTAAAATCTCGACATTTTGACAAAAAACCTTATTTTATATTTTTATAAATTGCTCAATAAGTTTAGTCAAATTATGTGTTATAGATAGTATCATTGGATACGCCTGAAAAAGTACTCTAGAAATACGTTAGAAAGCATAGGGCGATCATAACAGTTTAGATAGTCGAATCCATTAAAATAGATTAATTGAGTCAATTCTGAACAAAATCTGTCCAATCTGGAGCAGAGGCAAAGCGAGACTTTAATTGGGTTTGGTAGCAGCGGCTTGCTGGCCAAGATGTTTTTCTTATGAGGGCAATCGATGTTTTTGAAGCAAATAGGAAGGGGTTTGCGGTTTGAAATATACTGCAAATTCTTATCTTACAGATACAAAGCAGCACTTTTTGATTATATACTTTTGAAAGCCTGGCGCAGAATCAAGTGAGCAGAATTGAAAGCGCACATGGATATAATAAGTGCCTGGATCGAAAATCTATACATCGAATCTTTCTAAATGCACATTTAGCCTTTAGGCTTGAGCTATTTGGGTATCAACACACTATTTTTACGTTGATTTTGATATGATACAATTACAATAAAGACAGCGATATTGCTACAGCCCTGTAATTTAGTCAATATAGTTGATTGGAAAAGAGCGTCTGTCAAACTTCATGTCGTAAAAGAGCAGCTATCGAGCATCTAGTTTTAAACCTTGTACAACAATCGGTATATGGGCAAAATAAATAGCCATTCAGAACTCTATGCAGCAAAGAACGCCCATTAAATGAACCTGTTGCTAGATACGTTTCTGAATGAGCTTTATGCTGAGAGTATCTTATAAATGCAGCAGGAATATCTCCTTTGGGGAAACACAAACGCATTGCCTGTTTATGTTTCTGAACTTGATGGCTGCGGCCCAAAGCTTGACAAATCGAGTTTTCAGAAATCCAGAAATAGAAGGTTGCGACACATTTAAATATTGGAATGCTACTATACAAAATCAGCATACATGCAGCATTTAACCTTGCATCTGTACAAATGTGGCACTTTCATTCCAAAAACTTGACTGTCAGCTGCAAGGTATGTAGAAAGAGAAAGCTACCTTGCATTTGCATCCAACGACCAACTAACCAACCGAGGCAAATGTGAGCGACCCGACTTGAACTTTAAACTTGGTATTAAGTTTCTCTTGTACTCTTACTGATCTCTTAATGGTCTTACCCTATGTAAACAAACGAAAAAGCCTCTTTGCTGTATACAACAGAAGAAAAAACGTAAAATGTCATCAGCTACAAATACTTATCACACATATAAAATAATAGGCCATGTGGTAGAAAAAAAAGACAAAGTCTAAATGTGTGTAAGCCGAGTTTTCCTGATGTTACAATTTTGTTGTTAGCTGAACACAACCAGCAGCTGTGTGATATCTTCCAAAGTGTAACTGTACGTGTAAAAAAGATGAGGGTAAGGGCTCTTGATCATGTGAATAAAGCAGGCATTTCTATCGTTATTCTTGTTCTTTCTGTACCCACATTTAGAATGAACTGATTATTCTTGACGATTTCATCGTCTTATAATTTTAACAATATAATATGTTCATTTCATTTTATTGCGCATAAATAGAGCCTCAAGACCAATTAAGCATTTTTGTGAAACAATCAACAAAGAAGCATCTGAATGTATTCGATTTGTTTACCATAACCAAAGGATTTGCCTTGCCTGTATCAAGTATGTCATTATGTAGAGCCCAACAAAAACAAACAGCAAGGAGACAACAATTACTAGAGCTCGAGACGCCTGCAGAATACTAACTTTACACAGGACATGGCATTGCATGGATATGCCTTTCTTATTTACACAAAATACAACACACATAGCATGTATCTTTGAGCTGGTAGCAGTTTTAATGTTAATTTTGATGCTGCAGCAAATACGATACACAAAGAGAGACAAACATCACATAATTAAGCCCTTTGAAGGTAACATAGGTTGCCTTAAATATATCTCTACGGTGAAGGAGCAAGACGATGGTAACTCAAAGCATTCAATAATGGCAGTTTCTCTACGGCCAGACTCTAAATAATGGAAATTTTCTCCTTCAAAGTCGTACACATTTCATCCATATCAACCGTTTCTCCTTGTTACTTGGAGCATGTTTGATGGCCAGGTTCTGAAGAGAGCCTAGGCTTTACATTCAGCCATGTTGAATCTGCCCTGAGTAGATCAAAGATGTTTGCAGTGAATGCCATGCAAAAACTCAATGATACGATTTATACAACACATGTAAATGGTACAGCTTCTTTTAAATTAAAATCATCCATCTTTTGAAGGCTACGTATGCATCGAAAAGTAAATAGATGCAACAAGTGATACAAGGGAAGCACGAAATTAAGGTTGCAAAAGGCCAAATAAACTTGTACACTTATACGCCCTCATAGGCATCTCATCACCAGTAACAAGATCGAACTACACACAAGTGCCGTTGCACCATTCAAACCATGAATTTAGTCTTTTAATTACCAACCTTTTCTCGTTTTCCTTTCTTTTTCTCTTCTATACTTTTTTCTTTTCTTTCATTGCGAACAGAAAAAATAAGCTTTTATTGCTTTCTTGTCATCAGTAACTTGTACATAACTCGACAGAACCAAGGTTAACTGATACATATATACACACACATGTTTGAAAAGAGCGAAAAATTCCCTGAGGGATGGTTTTTCATCAAGAACAACAGCAATGGCTATGTCTTGATGGTGGATAACGAATCTCAAGAATCTGGCAGCCCTATCGTGCTTGCTACTTTGCGTACCAAGGATTACGCTTCTCAACTTTGGAGACATGACCCCAACGGCTATCTTGTCAATAAGAAATCAGGCCAAGTGATGGATGTTGCTAAAGGTAAGCTTACGAGAAAGTGCTACACGGAAATCATCCCGAATTCAGCGCTTATTTAACTTTTCTGATCTTCCAAATTTGAATGGTTGTACCTAACTCCGTTATTTCATTTGCATTGTATTGCTACACAGGCACACCAAAGGCTGGCGTCGACATTGTGCAACAAACCCAAGCTGGTAGCAATGTCAAGGATGATTTAAACTTTCAAAAATTCGGCCTCTCTCCCTATGGTCATATCTACTTGGCTAATAAGCCCTCTCTTATTTTGGGTATCAAGGAATCGTTCTTTGCTCGTCGTGAAGGCCTCCATGTCCATCTCCAACTGGTGGACAAGCGCCATCTGGATCGCAAGGAACAACGTTGGGATTTTGTGCTTCCTGTTGTCAGGGAGGCATCATCCGAGTCTTTGAAGAGAAGCGCTAGCTCCAGTACAGTCAAGAGTACTACTGCCAGCATCAAGGTGCCTGCTGTCGCTCAAATTAAGGAAGATGGTAAGTGAAATATGAGATGTACTGCCTCAATGACTAATTTGAGATGGTAGATACTCGCTCAGTCCACTCTACCGCTGAATCCACCTGTTCCAGCATCGATCATGCCGATGCCAATGCTGTTCCCACTGGGTCCTTCCCTGACACTGCCTTCTTCTTGAAGTCAGATGCTTCTGGTTTGTATATCAGCATTGAAAACGAAACTTCTGTTACCTCTGGTACTCAGTTGACCATCGACAGTCTTCGCAAGAAAAACTACGATAGTCAGCTCTGGACCTATGATGTCGCATCTCAACGCATTGTCAACAAATTCTCTGGTCTCGTTCTCGGTATTGAGCGCAATGCCGTCAAGGATGGATCTGATATCATTCAAACCACCTCATCTGCTGCTGAAGATAGATCTCAAGCTTGGATTTTGTCCCCCGAAGGAGAGATTACTTTGAAGAGCAATGACGGCTTTGTTATCGGTTTCAAGGAAAGCTGGTTTGGTAATCGTGAAGGTGCTCATCTTCATTTGCAAAAGAGAAACAAGGGACATCAACATCAAAAGTTCACCGTTGTTTTACCCATCTTCAAAAAGAGCACCGAGACCACTGTCAAAACTGAACAGCGCGGTGTGTTCCCCGATGGTTGGTTCTTTGTCAAGAGTCAAGCTCGCGGTCTTGTTCTCACAGTGCTAGAAACGGGTGTCATTGCTGCCGAGGTGGCTGCTACCAAGCTTGATACTTCCAACTATTCACGTCAGCTCTGGAAATACAGTGAAGGCTACATTATCAACAAGGCTTCTAACATGGTCTTGGATGTTCGCGGTGGTAAATATATTGCAGATCATTTAGTAACCACTTAGATTAACACAGCATAAACAAACAAATAGGCTCCATTGAAAATGGCGCTAGTATCTGCCAATACACCCGCAAGGAGAAGGACAACAAGAACCAGCAATGGGCGTTGACCCCTGAAGGTGTTATTTTCCTCGAAGTCAACAGAAAGTTTGTTCTGACTGTTAAGGAAAGCGAGGCAGTTCGTTCCAAGCTGTACTTGTCTGAGAGAAAGGCTGGACACAAGGAGCAATGTTGGAATTTTGTCCTACCTGTATTCAAAAAGAAGCAAAGTAAAGTATAAACTATAAATACCACAAATGTAGCACAAACGACTAACAAATTAAAATACTTGTATAGCTGCCTCTACTGCTATTACCAAAATCAACACCTTCCGTTATGCTACTTATCCTTCCGGATGGTTTTTTATTCGCTCTTTTGTCTATGGCTCAACCACTGAAAGCCCTCTCGTGTTGACTGCAAAGAACGAAAATTCAATCGAATTGACCTTGCTTGACCGTGAGCACTGGCAGCATCAACTTTGGACATATTCATCTGGTAGACTCATCAACTACGCCACTGATCTCGTCATTGATATACCATGTAAGTCATCTCAAATATCAATTTACCCCTGAAATTTTAATGCTAAATCTCGATCCGACTGTCAAACAGCCGCTTCAATTGGTGCTGACCTTATTCAAAGCAAGAGTGCCGCCCAAAAATGGTATATGACCACCGATGGCTATCTTATATATGGCCAATCCGACGATAAGCTAGCCCTTTCAGTCGAGACTCAAGGTAAAAACAAGTATCGTCTTACCCTCTGTAGCCACAAGTACTCCCAAGAGCTGCGTTGGGGTTTCTTGATTCCCAAATTTGGTTATCGCTCCGGTATCCAAACGCTCTCTCACTGGTCCATTGCCATCCTCAAAGAATGGCGTATCACTACTACCACTACCACAACAACCAAGAAGTTTGTCCATCAACCTGTTGCTGAATGGCCTCAAGGCGAGTTCTACATTAGCGGCCCAGACGGTCACGCTTTGGCTCCTGAGAAATCAGAAACTGGATCTGCTTTGATCATGAAGAAATTGGAGATCAACAGCGAGAGCATCTTCAAATGGACTTTCCGCAACGGCTATCTCGTGCATTGTGCTACGGGTCTTGTCATGCGCGCCCAAGGTAACTATTTACATAAGGTTTGATTGCTTAATTTGTGCAACGCTAATTCGTATCACTTTTTTTTGCTTCTTCCCCACACAGACAATTTTGCTCAAGGCGGTAAGCTTCAACTGAGCTCTGAAGTGAGCGGCGATCTTCATCAATCATGGACATTGAGAACCGACGGCACTATTATTTCGAAAAAGGACGAACAGTTCGGTCTTGGGCTCGTTCAAGTCAACGGTAGCTGGACCATTCAAATTGTCACTACAAGCTATTATGCCTGGAGAATCCTCTACGGTAGATACGAAACCCGCTATTCCGAGCAAGAGAAGAGAGAGATTTCATACCTTGTCAGCTTCCAAAGAGTTGTATTGACTCTCTGGACTATTCGCAAACGTAAGTAAACCAGTAATCAAAAGGAGAGGGTAGCATGTGAAATTGACGCATTTTCTTGTTGTTTTGTAGACGACGATGTGGAGCGCAAATTGGTCACTCATTCATATGGTGTATTCCCCAAGGGCTGGATCTTTATTCGCTCCAAGTGTGATGATAGTCTTCTTATGACTGTATCTGACAAGAAAAAGGGTGCCAAGCTGATCTTAAGCAAGTTGGATTCCAAGATCTACAGACGCCAACTCTGGAGATACCGTGAAGATGGCTGTCTTGTCAACTTTGATACTGATTATGTGATTGATGTTGCTGGTGGTAAGCTGTTCTCCAACGCCAATATCATTCAATGGAGCCCCAAGTTTTTGCGTTCCAGCCGCAAGAATCAAATGTGGAGTCTCAGCGTCCATGGCCATATTCACCCTCGTTCCAACTCTGATTTGGTGCTTAGCTCTGTTGGTAGCCATGCCAAAGAAGGCGCTGAATTGAAACTGATCAAGCGCGGTGATTTGAGCCTCGATTATCAACAATGGTCTTTTGCTACTCCCGTCTTTAGCAAATGCACCCACACTACTTTTGCCGCTCAACAAGCTCACAAGGACAGCCTCGTATTTGAAAAGGTTGGCAGCAGTTGCTCCATCGCCGAGTCCAGCTCTGAACGCTATGAACGTGTGACCAAGAAGACCATTGTACGTCGTTGGGGTGTCTTCCCTGAGGGTGGCTTCTTTATCCGTTGCGCTCATGGCAGCAAGAAATTGGCATTGACAGTTGAGCGCGATGAGACTACCAATCAATACAGAATTGTCATTCGTTCATTGAACTTCAAGGCTTACAAGTGGCAATTATGGACTTACAGCAACGGCTATTTGATCAATGAGCAGACTGGCTTTGTTCTTGATGCTCAAGCCAAAGAGGATATTGCTATTGAGGGTGAACAATCACAAGTTTATCTCAAGGAGAAGGCTTTCAATGAAGGTCAATTCTGGGACCTTGGCGTCAATGGTGAAATTCATTTGAGATCCAACGAGAGACTGAGTATTGGTGTTGCTCACTCTGGTGATGCATCTGTTGAGGGTGCTCAGGTAGGTATCAGTAAGATTAGAATCGTGCGTACTAATGTAGATGGCAAGCAAGTCTCTGCCTTGAAGTCCGATGAATGGCTGCGCTGGTCTTTCTCTAAGCCTATCTTTGGTAAGCGTACTGGTGCTACTACTACTGAAGGTGAATCCAGCTTAGAAATTGAAAACTGTGAGGAGCATGCCGTTGCTGTCAAGGAGCAGGATGTGGAGTTAAATGATGAAGAGGAGGAAGAAGAGGAGGAAGAAGAAGAGGAGGAGGAGCAAGAGGAAGCTGAAGCTGCATTGAAGGATGCTGTTGATGATAGTGAGTTTGAGATCCAAACGCCTGTTCAAACACCATCATCCTCATCCAACACATCTGCTTCTGCTTCTGGTGTCGCTATTGTCGCTGCTGGTACTGTTGTAGCTGTTGCTGCTGGCACCACAGCCAACGTTGTCACTAGTTCACCTGCCACAGAGGAGAAAGCCGCCATAGCCACCGTTACTGCAGTGGAATCCACTGCCAAGACTGACATTGTTGCTACTGTTGAAACCCCTGCCAAGGTGGATAACACCACTAGTGCGCCTGCTAGCCCTGTCTTGAAGAAGTCTGATTCTACTAAATCTCAAAAGTTGACTCGCAAGGACTCTTTCCAATTAGAAGAGAACTATATTCCTACTGGCTTTGAGAAGATTGTTCGCTACAAGTCTCATCATGGTGGCTATCCTTCTGGTTACTTCTTTATCAAGAGTTCTTTGCACGGCTATGTTTTGGATGTTGTGGGTGATGTCAAGGAGGGTAGTTATGCTGTGTTGACCAGAATGAAGTCCACTGATTTTGCTAGTCAAATGTGGTCTTTCCAAAATGGCTTCTTGGTGAACCTCAAGGGCCGTGTGTTGGTCTTGGATGCTGCTAATGCTGCTCTTGTTGCTGGTGAGCGTGTTCACCTTGCTACACGCAACTCTAAGGCTGAAGGTTTCGATGATCAAACCTGGGAGTACTCTGCTGAGGGCTACATCCATCTCAAGTCTAAGCGTTCCTTTGTTTTGTCTCTCAAGGAAACTAAGCGTTCTGACAAGTACACTCAAATTGATGTCTATGTTCAGGAGGCCAAGGCTCTTGTCAAGAAGCAAGCTCGTCCTGAACAGCATTGGGAAATTTTGGTGCCTGCATTGATCCCTGTCAGTCAAGGTGAATCTGGCGTCAAGATCATTGAATCTGGAAAGATTGAAAAGGTCACTAGCTCTGCTTCTGCTATCATCTCTTACAAATGGCTCAAGGAGACTTACTGCCACAAGGTTACCTCTCAAAACCAATGGCCTGGCACTGAAGGTTGGTTCTTTATTCGCTTTGGCAGCGAGAACCACTTCCTCGCTGCTGGTGATTCTGCTCAAAGTCAAATTGGTCTCTACGAGATTGCTCACGAGTTGGACTACAGAAGATTCTTGTGGACTTACATTGATGGCTATTTAATTAACTACAGATACATGCTTCGTCTAGTCTTGAGTAATTGTAAGTATATGCATACATGTTAAGATAGAATAAGCCGCGCTAACATGATTTCCATGTAGCTCATCGCTGGATCTTGTCAAACTCTCATAACACGCTCAACCAAAATTTCTACATTCATGCCAATGGATCCATCTCTGTCAGAATCTCCAAGACCATCTACTACATTCGCTTCATTCGTACCAAGTCTGGTGCTTACACTTTGGATGTCACTTCTGATAGTACCTCCAAGGAGACTCAAGGTTTGGAGCTCCATATTCCTGTCATCTCTGATGCTGAATACCAGAAGAAATCTGTATTGGCCATCTCCTCTGCCAATGCCTGGATCCGTAAGCAAAAGTCTGATTGGAGCATCTTGACCAGCACCACTGCTCGCAGAGGTGTATTCCCTGCTTCTGCTTGGTTCTTTATCAAGGCTTCCTACAAGGGTTCTGACGAGCTGGTTCTTTCTGTTCAAGAATCTAGCTCTCAACTGGTATTGAAGAAATTGGATTTCAAGTCTTTCAAGAATCAGTTGTGGACTTACAATGACGGCCTTTTGATTAACTATGGTAGCAAGTTTGTTATTGATGTTCAAGGTAATTTGAGTGGTATACAGCTCTGCCTATATTGAATACTGACACTGTATGATGTGCTTCTAGGGTCTGTTGCCGTTAAGTCCAGCATTATCCATGCTGCCGAGGCTGGCGTCAGCACTCAAAAGTGGTATTTGACAGCTGAGGGCCGTATTGAGCTTGATAGCCACGATTTTTATGTGATTGGTTGCGACAGTTTCAAGGATGGTGCTCGCGTTTTGCTTGGCTCCTCTAGAACATCAAGCTCTGTCAAGATTATTCAATGGAGATTCTCTACCCCTATCTTTGGCAAGAGAACAACCACCACCACTACCAACACCATCACTGACATCACCAATGAAATTGAAAACGGTGCTGTTATTGAAGGTGCCAGCGAAGTTGAATCTACCAACAAGTCTCAATTGGTTCTTACTCGTAGAACTACCAAGCACACTTATATCATTTATCGCGAGTCTCGTCTGATCATTCGTTGGTGGAGAATCATCTTTATTCGTCGTTTATCTACTTGCCGCACTCAGAAGGAATACCTCGAAGTTATTGAACAATATCGCCAAATCTTGTATAGCCGTTTTGCTCAATACTTGGAAGTGTACGGTTCCTCTATCACTAAGGAAGAGCGTAACGCATTGGAGGTTACCATTGAAGAGACCAAGTCTACTCTTGAGACAGAAGTGTTTACCAAATCCGCAACTTATCTCAAGACATTGAAGTCTGACCAAGAAGTTTCTTCCGAGCACCTGGATGTATCTGCTGTTGTCACTGGCTGTTGTCACTCTATTGATAAGAAGTATGAAAGCATCATTGCCAAGGCCGAGAAGGAGTCTGCTGTCACCAAGGACACCACTACCACCACTGGCTCTACTTGTCAACAAGTTGCCAAGCATTACGAATCGGAAGCTGAAGCTGTCGATGGCGTTCTTGTCGTTGTCGACACTATTCAAATTACTATTCGCTATTGGTTCAGAACTCTGTATGGTCGTATCTTTGAGGCCTCAAAGAAGGGCGCCAAGAAGGAGGAAATTGACGTTTTAATCGAGAACTCTCAAAAGGATCTTCAGAGCCAATTGACCGAGATTAGCGAGGCCACTTCAACTGCTTTATCTGGCTCTGCAACCCTCTCTGAAGAGTACAAAAAGACATTTGAAAAGTCTATTACCGCTGTCATTGAGAAGTCTAAGTCTGAAATTGACCATTTCGTCTCTAATGTGGATGTCTCTACAGTTACTACTGTTGACAACTGGAACAAGATGACTAGTGCTGTTGACCATACTTTGTCCTTGAAGTTCCATGAATGCAAAAACACTGTTCAAGATGTTGATGCTGTTCAAGTGTTGGAAAGCGAAAAGGAGGAATCTGTTCAAATCACCGAGGAAGAAGTTGAAAGCTCCAAGCTTGAGATTGTCACAACACTTGCTGAATCCAAGGCTTACATCATTTCTTGGTTCACCAACGTTTACAAGGACATCTCCTGGTCTGTTGAATCTAGCTCTAGCACAAAGGAAGACATCTTGACCATTGTTGATGCTGCTGAACTTGACATCATCTCCAAGATTGACGAGTCTGTTGCCTTGTTGTCTGTCTTATCTTCTAGCCTCACTTACCTTTCATGGACTGAACGCCGTCGTCTTGTTACTTACTACATTAGCATGAAAACCTACCTTTTGGCCAACTTGAAGAGATTCAGAGCTTCTATTGCTGATTCTGACAAGGAATCCATTCTCAAGATTTGTCAATCTACTTTCAATGAGCAAGAACAAATTGATATCATCAAGAACATTGATTATATTTTGGAGAATGTTTCAGTTACCACCACAAGTACTTCAACTACTGCTTCTGGAGCCATTGTTACCGAAGAGAAGGAGAACAGGGTTGTCGATATCATTGTCAAGGACACAGATTCTGTTGCTGTGGGTGTTATCTCTGGTAGTGAGACTATTTCTCAAGTTGAAACCATCACCAAGGAGTCAGGTTCAATCTCTACCGGTGTTGTTCATGGCGAAACCGAAACCTCATCCAAGGTGGACGTTATCACAGGAGGCTCTGAATCCGTTACTGTGGGTGTCATCTCTGGCAAGATCATTGACGAAAAGGAGACTTCTTCCATTGAAACTGAGGCCAAGAAATCTACTTCCGCCACTATTGACGTTATTGAAACAGGAAAATCTTCATCTGCTGTAGCCAAGGATACCGAAGTTGACACTATCACTTCTGGTGAAAAGACCGAATCTACCACTGCCGGTAAGATTACTGGGGAAGCCACATCCAACATCTCCACTGGCATAGCTTCTGGTATTGTGGTTGGTGTTGCTGCTGGCATCGCTGCTGAAGTTATTTCTCATGGCAAGGGATCTTCTTCTAACGTCGATATCATCCACAATGATTCAGAATCCGTAACTGTTGGTATCATTGATAACAAGAAATCTACTACCCAAAACGATAAATTAGACTCTGTCAGTATCATCGTTGGCGGCGTATCAGATGAAACTAGCCGTCCAACTAAACAAACCGACACCACCACTATCGGCATCATCGCCAGTGAGAAGGACACTACCACCACTACCACTGAAGTCACTGAGACTGAGTCATCCACTATCGACATTGTCTCTGGTGACAAGGACACCATCACTAAGGCTGAAGGTTCCGCTGTTGGTATTGTAGTTGCTGGTGGTTCTACTGGTAAGGTTGATGTTACCACTGAAGAGTCTGGCTCTGTCACTGTCGTTGCTGGTGAGAAGGACACTACCACCACTACCACTGAAGTTACTGAGACTGAGTCATCTACTATCGACATTGTCTCTGGTGAGAAGGACACCATCACTAAGGCTGAAGGTTCTGCAGTTGGTATTGTAGTTGCTGGTGGTTCTACTGGCAAGGTTGATGTTACTACTGAAGAGTCTGGCTGTGTCACTGTCGTTGCTGGTGAGAAGGATACCACCACCACTACCACTGAAGTTACTGAGACTGAGTCATCCACTATCGACATTGTCTCTGGTGAGAAGGACACCATCACTAAGGCTGAAGGTTCTGCAGTTGGTATTGTAGTTGCTGGTGGTTCTACTGGCAAGGTTGATGTTACTACTGAAGAGTCTGGCTGTGTCACTGTCGTTGCTGGTGAGAAGGATACCACCACCACTACCACTGAAATCACTGAGACTGAGTCATCCACTATCGACATTGTCTCTGGTGAGAAGGACACCATCACTAAGGCTGAAGGTTCTGCAGTTGGTATTGTAGTTGCTGGTGGTTCTACTGGCAAGGTTGATGTTACCACTGAAGAGTCTGGCTGTGTCACTGTCGTTGCTGGTGAGAAGGACACTACCACCACTACCACTGAAATCACTGAGACTGAGTCATCTACTATCGACATTGTCTCTGGTGAGAAGGACACCATCACTAAGGCTGAAGGTTCCGCTGTTGGTATTGTAGTTGCTGGTGGTTCTGCTGGTAAGGTTGATGTTACCACTGAAGAATCTGGCTCTGTCACTGTCGTTGCTGGCGAGAAGGACACTACCACCATTACCACTGAAGTCACTGAGACTGAGTCATCCACTATCGACATTGTCTCTGGTGAGAAGGACACCATCACTAAGGCTGAAGGTTCCGCTGTCGGTATTGTAGTTGCTGGTGGTTCTACTGGCAAGGTTAATGTTACTACTGAAGAGTCTGGCTCTGTTACTATCGTTGCTGGTGAGAAGGACACTACCACCACTACCACTGAAGTTACTGAGACTGAGTCATCTACTATCGACATTGTCTCTGGTGAGAAGGACACCATCACTAAGGCTGTAGGTTCCGCTGTCGGTATTGTAGTTGCTGGTGGTTCTACTGGCAAGGTTGATGTTACCACTGAAGAGTCTGGCTCTGTTACTATCGTTGCTGGTGAGAAGGACACTACCACCACTACCACTGAAATCACTGAGACTGAGTCATCCACTATCGACATTGTCTCTGGTGAGAAGGACACCATCACTAAGACTGAAGGTTCCGCTGTTGGTATTGTAGTTGCTGGTGGTTCTGCTGGTAAGGTTGATGTTACCACTGAAGAGTCTGGCTCTGTCACTGTCGTTGCTGGCGAGAAGGACACTACCACCACTACCACTGAAGTTACTGAGACTGAGTCATCTACTATCGACATTGTCTCTGGTGAGAAGGACACCATCACTAAGGCTGAAGGTTCTGCAGTTGGTATTGTAGTTGCTGGTGGTTCTACTGGCAAGGTTGATGTTACCACTGAAGAATCTGGCTTTGTCACTGTCGTTGCTGGCGAGAAGGACACTACCACCACTACCACTGAAGTCACTGAGACTGAGTCATCCACTATCGACATTGTCTCTGGTGAGAAGGATACCATCACTAAGGCTGAAGGTTCCGCTGTTGGTATTGTAGTTGCTGGTGGTTCTGCTGGTAAGGTTGATGTTACCACTGAAGAATCTGGCTCTGTCACTGTCGTTGCTGGCGAGAAGGACACTACCACCATTACCACTGAAGTCACTGAGACTGAGTCATCTACTATCGACATTGTCTCTGGTGAGAAGGACACCATCACTAAGGCTGAAGGTTCTGCAGTTGGTATTGTAGTTGCTGGTGGTTCTACTGGCAAGGTTGATGTTACCACTGAAGAATCTGGCTCCGTTACTATCGTTGCTGGTGAGAAGGATACTACCACCACTACCACTGAAATCACTGAGACTGAGTCATCTACTATCGACATTGTCTCTGGTGAGAAGGACACCATCACTAAGGCTGAAGGTTCTGCAGTTGGTATTGTAGTTGCTGGTGGTTCTACTGGCAAGGTTGATGTTACCACTGAAGAGTCTGGCTGTGTCACTGTCGTTGCTGGTGAGAAGGACACTACCACCACTACCACTGAAATCACTGAGACTGAGTCATCCACTATCGACATTGTCTCTGGTGAGAAGGACACCATCACTAAGACTGAAGGTTCCGCTGTTGGTATTGTAGTTGCTGGTGGTTCTGCTGGTAAGGTTGATGTTACCACTGAAGAGTCTGGCTCTGTCACTGTCGTTGCTGGCGAGAAGGACACTACCACCACTACCACTGAAGTTACTGAGACTGAGTCATCCACTATCGACATTGTCTCTGGTGAGAAGGACACCATCACTAAGGCTGAAGGTTCCGCTGTCGGTATTGTAGTTGCTGGTGGTTCTACTGGCAAGGTTGATGTTACTACTGAAGAGTCTGGCTCTGTTACTATCGTTGCTGGTGAGAAGGACACTACCACCACTACCACTGAAATCACTGAGACTGAGTCATCCACTATCGACATTGTCTCTGGTGAGAAGGACACCATCACTAAGGCTGAAGGTTCCGCTGTCGGTATTGTAGTTGCTGGTGGTTCTACTGGCAAGGTTAATGTTACTACTGAAGAGTCTGGCTCTGTCACTGTCGTTGCTGATGAGAAGGACACTACCACCACTACCACTGAAGTCACTGAGACTGAGTCATCCACTATCGACATTGTTTCTGGTGAGAAGGACACCATCACTAAGACTGAAGGTTCTGCAGTTGGTATTGTAGTTGCTGGTGGTTCTGCTGGCAAGGTTGATGTTACCACTGAAGAGTCTGGCTGTGTCACTGTCGTTGCTGGTGAGAAGGACACTACCACCACTACCACTGAAGTTACTGAGACTGAGTCATCTACTATCGACATTGTCTCTGGTGAGAAGGACACCATCACTAAGACTGAAGGTTCCGCTGTTGGTATTGTAGTTGCTGGTGGTTCTGCTGGTAAGGTTGATGTTACCACTGAAGAGTCTGGCTCTGTCACTGTCGTTGCTGGCGAGAAGGACACTACCACCACTACCACTGAAGTTACTGAGACTGAGTCATCTACTATCGACATTGTCTCTGGTGAGAAGGACACCATCACTAAGGCTGAAGGTTCTGCAGTTGGTATTGTAGTTGCTGGTGGTTCTGCTGGTAAGGTTGATGTTACCACTGAAGAGTCTGGCTCCGTTACTATCGTTGCTGGTGAGAAGGATACTACCACCACTACCACTGAAATCACTGAGACTGAGTCATCTACTATCGACATTGTCTCTGGTGAGAAGGATACCATCACTAAGGCTGAAGGTTCCGCTGTTGGTATTGTAGTTGCTGGTGGTTCTGCTGGTAAGGTTGATGTTACCACTGAAGAGTCTGGCTCTGTCACTGTCGTTGCTGGCGAGAAGGACACTACCACCACTACCACTGAAGTTACTGAGACTGAGTCATCCACTATCGACATTGTCTCTGGTGAGAAGGACACCATCACTAAGGCTGAAGGTTCCGCTGTCGGTATTGTAGTTGCTGGTGGTTCTACTGGCAAGGTTAATGTTACTACTGAAGAGTCTGGCTCTGTTACTATCGTTGCTGGTGAGAAGGACACTACCACCACTACCACTGAAGTTACTGAGACTGAGTCATCCACTATCGACATTGTCTCTGGTGAGAAGGACACCATCACTAAGGCTGTAGGTTCCGCTGTCGGTATTGTAGTTGCTGGTGGTTCTACTGGCAAGGTTGATGTTACCACTGAAGAGTCTGGCTGTGTCACTGTCGTTGCTGGTGAGAAGGACACTACCACCACTACCACTGAAGTTACTGAGACTGAGTCATCTACTATCGACATTGTTTCTGGTGAGAAGGACTCCATCACTAAGACTGAAGGTTCTGCAGTTGGTATTGTAGTTGCTGGTGGTTCTACTGGCAAGGTTGATGTTACTACTGAAGAGTCTGGCTCTGTTACTATCGTTGCTGGTGAGAAGGACACTACCACCACTACCACTGAAATCACTGAGACTGAGTCATCTACTATCGACATTGTTTCTGGTGAGAAGGACTCCATCACTAAGACTGAAGGTTCCGCTGTTGGTATTGTAGTTGCTGGTGGTTCTGCTGGTAAGGTTGATGTTACCACTGAAGAGTCTGGCTCTGTCACTGTCGTTGCTGGCGAGAAGGACACTACCACCACTACCACTGAAATCACTGAGACTGAGTCATCTACTATCGACATTGTCTCTGGTGAGAAGGACACCATCACTAAGACTGAAGGTTCTGCAGTTGGTATTGTAGTTGCTGGTGGTTCTACTGGCAAGGTTGATGTTACCACTGAAGAGTCTGGCTGTGTCACTGTCGTTGCTGGTGAGAAGGACACTACCACCACTACCACTGAAATCACTGAGACTGAGTCATCCACTATCGACATTGTCTCTGGTGAGAAGGACACCATCACTAAGACTGAAGGTTCCGCTGTTGGTATTGTAGTTGCTGGTGGTTCTGCTGGTAAGGTTGATGTTACCACTGAAGAGTCTGGCTCTGTCACTGTCGTTGCTGGTGAGAAGGATACTACCACCACTACCACTGAAGTTACTGAGACTGAGTCATCTACTATCGACATTGTTTCTGGTGAGAAGGACACCATCACTAAGACTGAAGGTTCTGCAGTTGGTATTGTAGTTGCTGGTGGTTCTGCTGGTAAGGTTGATGTTACTACTGAAGAGTCTGGCTGTGTCACTGTCGTTGCTGGTGAGAAGGATACTACCACCACTACCACTGAAGTTACTGAGACTGAGTCATCTACTATCGACATTGTTTCTGGTGAGAAGGACTCCATCACTAAGACTGAAGGTTCCGCTGTTGGTATTGTAGTTGCTGGTGGTTCTACTGGCAAGGTTGATGTTACCACTGAAGAGTCTGGCTCTGTTACTATCGTTGCTGGTGAGAAGGACACTACCACCACTACCACTGAAATCACTGAGACTGAGTCATCCACTATCGACATTGTCTCTGGTGAGAAGGACACCATCACTAAGACTGAAGGTTCCGCTGTTGGTATTGTAGTTGCTGGTGGTTCTGCTGGTAAGGTTGATGTTACCACTGAAGAGTCTGGCTCCGTTACTATCGTTGCTGGTGAGAAGGACACTACCACCACTACCACTGAAGTTACTGAGACTGAGTCATCCACTATCGACATTGTCTCTGGTGAGAAGGACACCATCACTAAGGCTGAAGGTTCCGCTGTCGGTATTGTAGTTGCTGGTGGTTCTACTGGCAAGGTTAATGTTACTACTGAAGAGTCTGGCTCTGTTACTATCGTTGCTGGTGAGAAGGACACTACCACCACTACCACTGAAGTTACTGAGACTGAGTCATCTACTATCGACATTGTCTCTGGTGAGAAGGACACCATCACTAAGGCTGTAGGTTCCGCTGTCGGTATTGTAGTTGCTGGTGGTTCTACTGGCAAGGTTGATGTTACCACTGAAGAGTCTGGCTCTGTTACTATCGTTGCTGGTGAGAAGGACACTACCACCACTACCACTGAAATCACTGAGACTGAGTCATCCACTATCGACATTGTCTCTGGTGAGAAGGACACCATCACTAAGACTGAAGGTTCCGCTGTTGGTATTGTAGTTGCTGGTGGTTCTACTGGCAAGGTTGATGTTACCACTGAAGAGTCTGGCTCTGTCACTGCCGTTGCTGGTGAGAAGGACACTACCACCACTACCACTGAAGTTACTGAGACTGAGTCATCTACTATCGACATTGTCTCTGGTGACAAGGACACCATCACTAAGGCTGTAGGTTCCGCTGTCGGTATTGTAGTTGCTGGTGGTTCTACTGGCAAGGTTGATGTTACTACTGAAGAGTCTGGCTCTGTTACTATCGTTGCTGGTGAGAAGGATACTACCACCACTACCACTGAAATCACTGAGACTGAGTCATCTACTATCGACATTGTCTCTGGTGAGAAGGACACCATCACTAAGACTGAAGGTTCTGCAGTTGGTATTGTAGTTGCTGGTGGTTCTACTGGCAAGGTTGATGTTACCACTGAAGAGTCTGGCTGTGTCACTGTCGTTGCTGGTGAGAAGGACACTACCACCACTACCACTGAAGTTACTGAGACTGAGTCATCCACTATCGACATTGTTTCTGGTGAGAAGGACACCATCACTAAGGCTGAAGGTTCTGCAGTTGGTATTGTAGTTGCTGGTGGTTCTACTGGCAAGGTTGATGTTACCACTGAAGAGTCTGGCTCTGTTACTATCGTTGCTGGTGAGAAGGACACTACCACCACTACCACTGAAATCACTGAGACTGAGTCATCCACTATCGACATTGTCTCTGGTGAGAAGGACACCATCACTAAGGCTGAAGGTTCTGCAGTTGGCATTGTAGTTGCTGGTGGTTCTGCTGGTAAGGTTGATGTTACCACTGAAGAGTCTGGCTCTGTCACTGTCGTTGCTGGTGAGAAGGACACTACCACCACTACCACTGAAATCACTGAGACTGAGTCATCTACTATCGACATTGTCTCTGGTGAGAAGGACACCATCACTAAGACTGAAGGTTCTGCAGTTGGTATTGTAGTTGCTGGTGGTTCTACTGGCAAGGTTGATGTTACCACTGAAGAGTCTGGCTGTGTCACTGTCGTTGCTGGTGAGAAGGACACTACCACCACTACCACTGAAATCACTGAGACTGAGTCATCCACTATCGACATTGTCTCTGGTGAGAAGGACACCATCACTAAGACTGAAGGTTCCGCTGTTGGTATTGTAGTTGCTGGTGGTTCTGCTGGTAAGGTTGATGTTACCACTGAAGAGTCTGGCTCTGTCACTGTCGTTGCTGGTGAGAAGGATACTACCACCACTACCACTGAAGTTACTGAGACTGAGTCATCTACTATCGACATTGTTTCTGGTGAGAAGGACACCATCACTAAGACTGAAGGTTCTGCAGTTGGTATTGTAGTTGCTGGTGGTTCTGCTGGCAAGGTTGATGTTACTACTGAAGAGTCTGGCTCTGTTACTATCGTTGCTGGTGAGAAGGATACTACCACCACTACCACTGAAATCACTGAGACTGAGTCATCTACTATCGACATTGTCTCTGGTGAGAAGGACACCATCACTAAGGCTGAAGGTTCTGCAGTTGGTATTGTAGTTGCTGGTGGTTCTGCTGGCAAGGTTGATGTTACTACTGAAGAATCTGGCTCTGTTACTATCGTTGCTGGTGAGAAGGATACTACCACCACTACCACTGAAATCACTGAGACTGAGTCATCCACTATCGACATTGTCTCTGGTGAGAAGGACACCATCACTAAGACTGAAGGTTCCGCTGTTGGTATTGTAGTTGCTGGTGGTTCTGCTGGTAAGGTTGATGTTACCACTGAAGAGTCTGGCTCTGTCACTGTCGTTGCTGGCGAGAAGGACACTACCACCACTACCACTGAAGTTACTGAGACTGAGTCATCCACTATCGACATTGTCTCTGGTGAGAAGGACACCATCACTAAGGCTGAAGGTTCTGCAGTTGGTATTGTAGTTGCTGGTGGTTCTGCTGGCAAGGTTGATGTTACTACTGAAGAGTCTGGCTCTGTTACTATCGTTGCTGGTGAGAAGGATACTACCACCACTACCACTGAAATCACTGAGACTGAGTCATCTACTATCGACATTGTCTCTGGTGAGAAGGACACCATCACTAAGGCTGAAGGTTCTGCAGTTGGTATTGTAGTTGCTGGTGGTTCTGCTGGCAAGGTTGATGTTACTACTGAAGAGTCTGGCTGTGTCACTGTCGTTGCTGGTGAGAAGGATACTACCACCACTACCACTGAAGTTACTGAGACTGAGTCATCTACTATCGACATTGTTTCTGGTGAGAAGGACACCATCACTAAGACTGAAGGTTCTGCAGTTGGTATTGTAGTTGCTGGTGGTTCTACTGGCAAGGTTGATGTTACCACTGAAGAGTCTGGCTCTGTCACTGTCGTTGCTGGTGAGAAGGACACTACCACCACTACCACTGAAATCACTGAGACTGAGTCATCCACTATCGACATTGTCTCTGGTGAGAAGGACACCATCACTAAGGCTGAAGGTTCTGCAGTTGGCATTGTAGTTGCTGGTGGTTCTGCTGGTAAGGTTGATGTTACCACTGAAGAGTCTGGCTCTGTCACTGTCGTTGCTGGTGAGAAGGACACTACCACCACTACCACTGAAATCACTGAGGCTGAGTCATCTACTATCGACATTGTCTCTGGTGAGAAGGACACCATCACTAAGGCTGAAGGTTCTGCAGTTGGTATTGTAGTTGCTGGTGGTTCTGCTGGCAAGGTTGATGTTACTACTGAAGAATCTGGCTCTGTCACTATCGTTGCTGGTGAGAAGGATACTGCCACGACGGTCGAATCAACTTCTATCGGTACCAAGGTCCTTGGTGGTTTCTCTAGTAAGACGAACGTTGATATCGAAGAATCTGGATCTACCAGCATTGTTACTGTTGAGAAGGATGCTTGCACCAAGACGGATAGTGCTATTATTGTTGCAGGGGCTTCTGGTTCTGACAAGATTGATACTGTCACCAATGTATCTGATGTTGAGAATACTGAATCTATCGAGGTTATTTCAAAGGACTCTGAAATGGACACAGCTGTCAAAGAGACTGAGTCACTTGTAGTTGGTGAAGTTGTCAAAGAACATGATTATGTCGGTAAGACTACAGTGGCTGGAGGTGTTGCCATTGGTGTTGTTGCTGGCGTTGTTACCGGCGTCATTGCTGGTTCAAGCTCTGGTTCTGTCTCTGTCGACGACAGAAAATCTTCTACTGCTTCTGATAAGATTGTCATTGTCGAAGGCACCAAGGTTGATACTCAAGTTAGCGAAGGCCATACTTCTGTTTCCGTTGTTGAATCTAATGTGTCTGAAACTGGCGTTGCTGCAGTTGGCGGCAAAACCAAGATTGATGTTGCTGGAGAAGTTGTTGTTGGTGTTGTTGGTGTTGATCAAGGAAGCAAGATTTCTGGCGTGGATACTGTTTACGTCTCGAAGGATAGCCATTTATGTAAGTGTTCAATGATGTATTGTACGCCTAACCGCCTAACCACTTAACCTAAAAATATAGATACCACTGAGGTGTGCACTAATTATGAAAAGGTTACTGATTCTGTCTATGGTTGGTTTGCTCGCTTTGTGGAAAAGGTAACCTCCATGCTCGAGGTGGGCGATTGTGCTGAGGATGTCGAGGCGGTCATTGTTCAAGAGAAGGCGAAGCTCCAGGTCATTATCGAAGAGTCTCAACATGAATTGTCCTCTTCAAACGCAACTGTTGTTTCCTCCAACTCTAGAGAATGGTCTTCATTCTACAAGAAACTCCAAGGATCCATTGAAACTCAAGTGTCTTCCATTAAGAGCTCAGTTGATGAATGTTATGCTGAAGGTGGCGATATCAAGACCCACCACATCGATGTTCACGCCGTCAAGGAAGATTTTAAGAAGACTATCTCCCATGAACTCTCCGTAGCCAAGGTTGAAGTATACGAAGTTGCCAAGTCTAATGCTACCAAGGTCCAAGTTGGTCAAGTTGCTGGTGGCTCTGAAGTCGTCGTTGATGTCTCCAAGTCTTCCCAACTAGTAGTCAAGCAACAAGAGGTCGTATATGAGTCTGTTGAATATGCTCAAGAGCAGACCAAGAAGGCTTTAGCTTGCGCTGTTGGTGAAACTCAAAAGAAGCTTGCTTTCTGGTACGATATCTTGTTTGCCAAGATTAGATCTATTCGAATCAACTCTGCCACTTCTTACAAGAAAGAGGTCGATGCCATTGTTGCTGATGCTCTTAAAGAAGCTGCTGTTATTATCAACGAATCCAAGTCTTCTGTTGAATTCAAGTACTCTGTTTCTGGATCCTGCTCAAGCAAAGTCGCTTCCACTGTTGAAAACTCTCAAAAGCAAGCTATCGAATCTTTGGATAGCATCTATGTCATTGTTACTGAGCAAGTCTCTGCCATTCAAGAGATTGCATCCACCACCGATGTTGAAGCCATTCAAGAAAAAATCGCTATTGTCGAGGAGCAATCAAGACGCAAGACACAGACAGCTCTTGATTACACTATTGAAACTGCTGTTTCTGCTGGCTTTGAGGATAAGACTGTTACCTGGGTCGAAACTGCTCAAATTCCAGCTTCTTTCAAAGACGTCAAGGTGTTTGCTTTTGATGTAGTCGACACTATTGTCAACTATCGCCTTACTATCTCCAAGGCCTGGTATCAATTGGTCGCACAAAAGAAGAACGCATGCACTCTCTCCCATATCGATGTTGACGCATTTGTTATTCGCTGGTATGCTCTCTATCTTGAGCAACGTTTGAAGGCCAAGCACTCTGAAATGGACATCTATGTACTGATTGCTGCCTTGAAGTTGGTTTTGGCTGAATTCTCTATTGAATCCTCCTTTAATGAATCTGAAATGAGAGCTCTCTCCTCTGCCTGGCTCCATCTTGAGCTCTTTGAAGATGCCTCTGCTAGCATTCGTAAGATCAAGCAATTGGAAGGTGTCTATGCTGTTGCTATTTCTCATGCTTTCACTATCCGTACCATGATGGAACTTGCTCGTAGTGGTTGTCTCTGCTGGCATGCTCAATTCACAGCTGACATGTTTGCTGCTTGTACTATCAATAACGGCACCAGCACTGAGGTAACAGTTGTCTCAAACACTGCTATGCTTCTTGGTCTAGAGAAGGCCAGCGAGCTTGCTGTAATTTCATCCAACCCAGAAATTCTCGAAGCTGCCAAAGCTTACGGCTCCAAGACTGTATCACTCAACAGATTTTCTACTGGAAAGAAGGAGCATAGCTTCGACATTGAATTCGATGGTCTGGATATTTTCGCCGAGAGCTTTGAAGCTTTTTATGAGACCAAGGTTTTGTGCACCACCACCAAAGTTGAAGTTCCTGTCTCCCGCTCATGGTTCCAAAGAGTCGTATCCACTGTAGCCGACGCGGCTGAATCTGTTAGCCATGCCATCATTGGTTAAACAGCTATATTATCATGAATATCTCATCTCTTAAATAAATGCTTATAAACTTAATTTCCAAGCTTGTTAAATGTTTGTCCATCTCAGTGAGTTAAATGTCTCCAAGTGAGATTCATGCAGTCAGTGCCAAGCACCTTATCCAGGTTGCTGGTCGATCTTGACTGCTTGCTGAATGTCATTTTGCGCAGCATGATCAGCCAAATCTATTTCAATCTCTTTCATCTTTATACACCAGTCTTGCAAACATGGCTCAACTACGCTCCCGTAACGCTAAAGCAAAGAAACCTGCTCAATCCAATATCAAAAAGGCCGTTCAAAAAAAGTCTGCTAGCAATATGAAGTCCATTGTTCAAACATTTGTAGCGAAAGATGATGATGTTAAAAGTAAGTTGATCTGCATCCAAAGTGAAGATATCTTGTTTTCTTATGACACTATACAGCTGTTAAGAAATACCCCAAATCTCAGTTGGAGAGAAGCGAGTTCATCAATATCAAGACTGGAAAACGAGTAACTCCCTTTCAATACAAGGTGTATGACCTTGTATTACAGATTCCAGAGGGTCAAGTTACATCTTACAAGGTACTAAGCGACACTCTGAAATCAGCACCGCGAGCTGTAGGTCAAGCACTGCGCCAAAATCCCTTTTGTCCGTTGCCAGTTCCCTGTCATAGAGTCATTGCAACAGATTACAGCTTGGGGGGATTTGGAGGTGGCTCAGGTGATCATCAGAACACAGCAGATAAAAAGGCCAAATTGGAGACAGAAGGATGCGTGTTTGAAGACCACTATATGTATGGCCACGATAAGAATGGATCAAAGGAGTTTTTTAAAGACTTTGTCATTGAATTAAATTAAACACTATATGCCACTTTTTTAATATAAACGTTGCATTATAAATGTATGTATGCAATGCTTAATAGCCGCGATGATACACTTTGACTATACCATCTGCACCACCACTGATCATCCAGGGGAATGATTTATGGAACTTTATATCCAAGACACCTTCGTCTCCCTTTTTGCGGTGAGCAGAGAATTCTTGTATGCAGGACTTTGACGCTATATTCCATAAGCGAATCGAGGAATCATGGCCACCAGACGCCATGGTTTTACCAGTGGAGTCAATGTGCAGACTAGTAACTGCATCCAGATGACCAGACACGGATTGTGTACATTCACCTAGTAACAGCACGAGTCAATACATATCTCAAATTGGAGTCTATTCCCCTTACCTGACTTTAAATCATAGAATCGTATGTGTCGATCTTCATGCCCTGACACTATGAGAGACATTGTTGGATGCGATATAATGCGGTTGATCTGTGTAGCAAATGTATTGTCTATAAAAAGACGGTCAATACGGTGCACTCGGCCTTGAACACTCAAACCTGCATACCATACGAATCATCACTGCCCTTAAATGTGAGGATAACTTGTCCTGTTTCAATGTCATATAGTCGAATTTTAGCATTAGCAAATGACACGACAATCTTATTCACGTCTGTTTGGCAAAAGTCGAGCGACGTTGGTGCAACTATTGAGTGATATGAGACTCTGATTATACTACTTCAAAAGTACATTTTACCTCTATTCTTGCGAGAATCCTCCTCTTTCGAAATACCATCAAATGCCCATGAAGTCTTTAGTAGGTTTCCGCTTGTTTGTGTGTCCCAAAGCTTGATGGTACCATCTGCTGAGGCTGATGCTAGCAGGTTGTCATCGTAATTATCTGGCGATAATTTAAAGTCCCAAATGGCATCTGTATGACCAACGTACGTCGCTACGTTCAATGAGGGGTCTAGAGAAACACTGTCAATATCAGGCCAATCATGTCCACACTTTGAGCTATTACCAACAGGCGAGAATGGTCCTCTATCTTCCTTAGGCAAGTTCCAAACTCTGATGGTTGAATCCAAGGACGCGGAATACACTCTGTTCTGTGAGGCTGATATGGCCACTGATGTCACTACGTTGGTATGTCCTCTGAAAGTGATGCTGGGGTCTGCTTCCTCATGTGAGCCTCTACAATGTTGCTTAGCTGCCCATTTCCTCGACTCGGCTCATACTGAACTTACTTTTTGGTCGCATTTCCGTCCTTGCCAGTTGCCCTCTGTAGATTCCATATTTTGACAGTGCCATCGTCCGAACCTGATGCAGCAATCATTTCATTTGGATGAAATCCTACAGCTCGGATCGAGTCTAGATGCCTAGTAATATTGTATAAGCACTTTTGCAGCAGAAAATTCCTTTCATCCAAGTACCCTTTGATTGTTACTCTAGGTTTCCATATCTTTGGCTGTAACTGCTGATGGCTGTCGATATCACCAATCTACGAGAGGATGTAGATGTTACTACGACACACTCTCCTTAAACAATGAATTAACTTACTTGGTTGGGATCGAAATCACCTGCTAACAAACGCTCGTGGTCCACCTTGTTTTGTCCACCTTTACTAGCATACCTGAGCAACTTCATTACCTTTTCCTCTGACAAGTGAAATTTCTCTTGTATTTGCTGAGACTGTTGCAATTCATCAATCCAGCTGTTCTTATGCATATTCCATATATCCTACTTTACCAATGCTTTACTATCCTGTGATGCAGAATAGTGTTCCTTTTCCTCCTTGATGTTATTGATCATGGCTACTTCATCTACGTTGGCTGGAACTTCGACATCCACATCATCCCTCTGGCTCAGCGTTGATTTCTTGGGAATGGGGCTCGAGCCATTGCTTTTGGAATTGTGCTTGTATTGTGACATTAATGGAGAAGATGATTTGCTCTCACTGCGTTGCTGTGTGCGTGAACCTGCAGCAGAAAGCACGGGTGAGTTCTGATTACTGCTGTTGCTGGGTGGAGGCGGCGCTCTACGAATCGAAGATGAACGCTCATTTGATGAGTTGGGTGAACGTGAGGTCAATGCATTTGTTAGTGGAAGTTTGCTTGGAAATGAGGTCAAGTAATTGATTTCTTGGAGACATCTAAAACAAGGATTTTTTTTAAGGGGGATGTTAGTTTAAGCAACGTGAGGATAGTAAACGAGAGAGCAAACTTTACGATTTCAGTACTTCGCGACTCTTTTCTTTCAATTTGTTATCCGTGAATGCAGGTGCTGATGGTGAAGATGCTGCTGCTGTTGTTGTCGTTGCTGATGCGACTGGTGGCATCGTTGTAGAAATAGTGGAAGCTACCGTATGTCAAGTCAGCATCTTTCCGGGCGATTCCTCTTTTTGCATTGTACTTACGTATATTATTATCAGTTGTTGTTGGGTTTGTAGTTGTAGTTATAGTAGTAGCAGGTGGATCGTCTGATGTATTTGTCGTGGTTACACTAGCATGTCTTTTCCTAAAATCAAAAAAGTTAACACCATGGCAACAACAACCAACCAGCCGAGATTACCATCATAACGTACCTTTCTTGTCTAAGAGCGTACTCTAGCATTTTAACTCTCTTCATGAGAGTCAGCTTTATATTTTCAACACCTCTCCTCTCTCCTTCTAGCAGGGCAATGCGAGCCTTGGTTGATACCATTTTTTTTTTAGCATTTTATGCAGAAACAGAGATCCTTTCCATGAAATGCAAACCTTTAGTTCAGCTCTCTCAATCATCCATTCGTTCTTTTCACGCTCAAACTTTCTCCATTCTGCTTGCAGATAGTGCAGCACGCCAGGCAATGTATATTCCGTTGATTGGTCTGACATTATGATTGAATAAACATGCAATAAAATCTACTGATTACAAGAAAATGCACAATGTTCTGTGTGATGAGATGTTGTGTGAAAGAGAAAGTAGTAAATCAAAGGAAAAGAAAGAAGAGGAAAAGGGATATCACTTGAATAAGGGGAAATAAATAATAAGCAAGAGAAACGTGACGTAAGTGTAAACAACAAAAGAAGGCTCTATAGAGCAATCATGCTTGCACATCTGATGGCGGATGCGTGCGTCTGTTGTTTTCTGGTATAATGGGATGAATGGCATTGCCAGTGGGTACATCGGTAGGATCACAGTTGCATTCATCCTTTGCTTTTCAATGGCAAGGAGATGCAAATGGCATTTAATAGTGCTGTAGAATAGTAAATCAAGCCAGAACACTGGACTAGATGGCATTTCTCGTCTCCCCTTGATCAACTCTCTAGGATGCGAGGGTACAATGGATCTGTTATAGCCAGCATTGAGACCGACAGTAGAGCTACACCTTTGCCTCGAGCAGAACCTTTATTCTTTCTTAAACCAATAGAAACACTTATACAAGGCAAAAATTTAGGTTGTGCGCATTTAAAAATACGATAAAAACCCTTTTCTATTGTTTTTTTCTCTTCTTCTTTTTCTTTCCACTTACTATCACACATTCATCACATCTGCCACAATGGGTTCTCCTAGTATCATCACCAACCCCATGTTCAACATGGGTTTCCTTTTGGTTTCCATGCAACTCGCCAAGAAGATTGATTGGGAAGATCCTAATGTCTTGAACTTTGCCAGAATTGGTTACTACGGTGCTCAAGTGCTTGTCGTCGCTATGGCCTATGGTTTGATCACTCTTATTAAAAAGAAGAATGGTAAGTGTTTGGTACAAGGGCTGCTTGGAGAGGGATTGCTTCAGTAAGAGGGTTGCTTCTACGCGTGAGTGAGTGTGGTATGGCATGGAAGGCCATTGGAAAGTCAAGGAATAATATTGAAAAAACGCACACAGTTTTTGGGTAAAAATCATTGTAAGCTGATTCATTCTATAATAGATACTACCTCTTTGACATACGATGCACCCAAAAAACCTGGCCAAGCTGAAGGAGCTCCTGAGACTATTACCACCACCGTGAGAGATTATGATGTTGATCAAGTCAAGTCATTCATTCAATCTACCGTCACCTCAATTCTCATCATCTCTGTTATGCACTGGCAATTCAAGTTTACTCAACCTCTTTTGATGCAATCTATTTTACCTATCAAGAACTTGTTGACTCATAAAGAAGCGTTGATTCATTTGTGGGGTGATGCTCCCGAAGGTAACCTCTCTAGACCTTTTGCTGCCGAGAATCCTTTTGGTGGCCTCGCCAACATGTTTGGTGGTGCTTCTGACGCTGCTCCTGCTGCAACTGCTGATGCCCCTGCTGCTGCTGTTGCTGATGCCAAGAAGTCTCACAAAGAGTAAGAACCTAATCAAATCTTGGGCAATACTGAAGGGAGGGATATAATATCTGGATAGAGTAAATGTATATTTATTGGAAATTCAAATGCATACTACAAAAAAGGATTTGGTATAGAGGCTTTCCTATATTCTATTCAACTCCATTTCCCATCACAACATTGAAGCCTACACTTTCTCTGTTCAATAAACAAAATATCATTTTATATATCAAACAAATACAACCAATTAAGAATGGGTACACAAGCCTGATTCTTATCATCTTTGGTACAATTGACACGTAGTGAGTCCCGCTTTGTGTTTACTCTGTTTTTAAGAGCAGCGTTTCTAGATGTTTGATGGTGGAAAATGCAACTCATTTGTGCAGTTTTATAAAAGACAGATTGTCTTTAAGTTTGACAATTTGTGAAAAGAACCTTAAATGTTTCTTTTCTTCTATTGCGAGTAGACCCAATAATCAATGCGTGTCACTGCTACTGTTAGTGTACAGATCCCTCAGATACTGATCGCACTACAAAACCATCTTGAGATTGGAAAACTCAACTACTACTGATGACAACGCAATATACATGAGATGCTTCAGTGATGCTTACATACCTTGAGACTATGATGTTTGTACCCAAGTGGAGCAATTCAATTTTCTACGTTTTATTACAAAGTAGCAGCGTTAATTATGCTTGAAACCGCCATGCATCGAGTAAAGTTATGTGTATTACAGCTGTATGGCAATCTATTGAAAGAGCAAATGTTGGATACTGGACACTACCTCTATCTAAGCGAATTTCTAGTTAATAGGAAATAAAGATAACTTGATTATTGGTCTCTAAGACCTTACAAGCAGCTCGTAGCGAGAAAAAAAAAAAAAAAAAAAAAAAAAACTACGATTACTCTGTGTGAAATTTTCAGTGCGAAATACTACTGAGTACATTTGCCGTAGATCACTATGTAACAACACGATAAATGGTCTTGCGCAAGTACACATCTTTTGAGTGTGTTGTGTACTGTACGTCAGCATTCATAATTGTGATACATTTGAGGAATTTTTCATACATAAAGCACACATCCAGCAAAAATGATTAATGAAGTCTACATCGCATTAAAACTAAAGAGTAATTGACAAAAAGGCAGTATCACACCAGTGGCAGTTCAGCAAAGAAGTGCAACTGCTACAATTCAATCATCATCATGACAGCCGCGGCAATGCTATTGAAAGAGCATAACAAGCATGAAAGCGATTTTGTCATATAAGCAACTCCTACAGACCGTCTGCATTGCACTTCATTTCTGATTTGGCAAAAGGTTTATAAATGCTGGAACAAAATAACAATGAAATGATGTATAACATTGTCGTTGGCGAAACAACGGTGCTCTTCATTACGAACGACAACGCTCAACGTTCAACAAACCGAGATTGCGATGAACAAGTGCAGCAAGTCTGCGTTTCCTTGTCGAAGATGCTGTTTTTAGATGAATAGCAAGTTCATAGAAGGTGTAATAACAAAACTATGTTAGAACTGTGCTGAGAGCGCTCATCGATGAAGACAAGGACTAAAGATACTATGGCTTTGCTAGTTGGCGTTGAAAAATATCTGTTATTTGTTACGCTAGACCTAATTCATCGATCTAATGCTCGCAATCCTTTTTAATTAACAACGTTCAATAGGTTTATACGTACATAGGTCTTTGCTTAAAATTGTCTTCTTTCGAGAATCGTCCTTTCCTGAACAACAACCCATCATCCAATCTAAATATCCAACTACAATACCAATTCTGTCGCTAACAACTGGTCTAGGAGCATGCTATTTTCAAAGCTCTAGCATCGATATTCCAAAGCTTGTGTGGAATTTGAGGCTTTATAGACAAAAATTCACGGAAAAAAAAGAATAAAAAAGCAATGAAGACAACTTGATAAAGGTACGTTTTATTATCAAACTGACAGGTGTCAAGTAAACTGAAGTATCTCTACTGGCCAGGTAGATGATCCTTCTTATATACTATAACAATGGATAAAAGTTCTATTAATTAGATTAACAGATAAGTCAACTCAGATCAACTAATATCTAATCATGCTAAAAGACAACTACAGCAAGCTAATCATGATTTAGCTTTGCCTGGATGAATAATTAGACTCTCATCCGAAGCACCCTGATCTATCCTTTCTATAAGGATAATTAATATCGATCTAGTTGTATGTATCCGATAGGTACAATCTACTTAGTCTATATCAATAGTACATATCTGAGTGTATATCGCTAAACATACATCTTTAGCATGTATCTGGATATATGGCATGTCTATAGCATATCGTATGCATGTCTATAGCATGTCTCATATATAGTACAAGTCTGTAGTACATAAAGTATCTGTAGCTAGTATCACAGATATAAGCATGAGTCTTATAACGTGGATCATGAGGTGCACATCTGAAGCAACAAGCTCATATTGCATCAATCTTGGTGCCTATCCAGATATGGTAAACATCTGTAGTCAATGTCGGAATACAAGTACAAGTCTATAGTGCCATCCATGTCCGTGGTGCCATCTATAGCCTATATCTTATATAGTATGAATCTTATAGTACTAGCGTATCTGAAGTCCATATCTTCTTCTAGTATAAATCGGTATCGTACATCTAATCCAGTGCACATACAGTTTATATCTAAATCTGGTAACTGGATGAACTGTCGGAATGCAGATTATAGTGAGTGTATTCCACAGTTTAAATATCCTTTTATTACAAAAGCAATATTATAATACATGTCAGATAAACAAAAAATCAACTACTTGTAGACCTTTTCTCTTTCAACCCCTGAGCCAATCAAATCGTTTGAAAACTCCGCTGACCTAAAAAAAATTTGCGAGGGTTTCCCCCTGTTTTGATGTGAGGCAAAATTTTAAGCGCCGTTATAAAAGCAATATAGCCGCTGCTATCATCAAACTTCCCCCAAGTGCTAGAGCATGCCTTACTTACACCACCAAGCTTTAAATTCAGGCATTGAGACCCTCAATCATCACTAAAGTAAGTAGCAATAACCAAGTGGAGGCGGCCTATCTACCTCCTAGCCTCGGATAAAGTCTTGTTGAGCTTCAGGGATAGGCACATCCACACAACGTAAAAAAAGTATGTTTCAAAGAAACATAATAATATAAAAAAAGAATGAAGAAAAGAACATACTACTATAAGAGTATAGCAGTACGTAGGCAAAAAATGGACACTCACACAAAGTGAGTCAAAGAAAAGCATAATAAACACTACATCAAAGATGTTCAAAAAAGCTCGTTGTTGTTGCAATAAAAATGCATACATGGGCAACGTGCATGGTGGTAATAGTCGGATGTAAAGCAACATGGCGTAAATACGCACAACTGCAAAAGCAACAGTGGTATTATACGTTTGCAATACAACATAATGACTAACACTGTTTCATGTGAAACCACAGAGGAAACACTACCAACAAAAGAAAAAAAAGAAGAAAACGCAACAAGGCAAACATCATGAATGCATTATCACGAGAAAGGAATTAAAAATATAAACGTTCAAAGAAGTTTATATCATTGCGACCAGAAGAAAAAAGATATTTACCACTTACCACAGCTACAGGTAGATCATAGGATACGTAACCATCGGATATAAACCAAAAAACGAGCATACATCTAAGACAGTATACCAGGAAAGACCACATTAGCAGCAGCAACACCAGCACCATAGAAAAACCGAAGAATGAAGAACGACGCCAGAGACCAGGCAAAGACCAAAGAAGCAACCACCAGACATGATGAACCAAAGAAGCAGACAGCAGAGATAGCAGAGAAGCACTGGCAGCAACACCCGCATCAAACAGTCAAAAAGAATCATCAAAATCTAATAAACAAATTCAATTAGAGTTAATTCTACGCCTTCCAACAATGCTCGTTATCGAATGGTACCTAATATATTCCACTCGAAAGAAGCAGTATCAAGTTCTTCCAACAGTACGAGACAGAGCTATCGGAAGCTAGAGTGTTATTATCAATCAATCGGCTTCCAAAACGACCATGGTTTGATGCTAAACGCGTTTTGCAAAAAGGAGAAAAAAAAGGAATACGGAAAAAATGAGGCAGCGTCCTATCCGACGTCACGGCCAGTAGATTTGGTCTCAGTCTTCTGCCGTGGCAGTCGTGATTGCGGCAATTTAATTTGATTTTGTGCAGTGGCTGTTTTCGTGTTCAAATTTGACTTGATTTGACATCCTTTGAACGTTTTTGCCATATTTGACTATGAGAACTCTCGTTGCCACACCCAACTTCCTAATACATCTTTAGAGGACTAAAGAAGCCGCATCTAATGGTACCAATTACATTAAGTTTTTAGACTGAAAGTAATGAGCAATTCGCAAAAATATGAAAACATGTCTTTCGCCAAAATGTCAAAATTTTACATACAAAAATACCATAGAAAGAGTTTCCAGTGTTGCATTCCGTCTTTACAATTAATTTGACTGTATATGTATTAAAGGGAAAGTCTTCATTTTTGGGGCGAAAAACGCGATCATTTGATTTTCAAGAATTTTCCCTTACTAGTACACATGAAGAAAATGAGAATCTCCATGGATTTGCAATGGCCCAAAAAATTTTGAAATAAAGCATCAGTGAGTAAGGTGTGACAAACAGGAGTCGCTTGGCGGTATTCCAAGCGTCCACAACGCTTTGTAGAATGAGTTATTCGTGCTTCAAAATGGCTAAATTTGGACAGAATTTGACTTGAAAATAAGGCATATTAGGTTGAGTTGCCGAAAAAGTAAGTGAATTACAGTTTTGTATGACGTCTCTGATGTTCTGCATTGTATGAAACCCAACACCTAAGTGATTGACGCTTTTATTCTGATTCTAAGGCTCAGGTTTCTCTTTTTGAAATGTGCGAAGACAGTAGTTTCATACCTAGAACATCAATGATGTTGTGCAAATTTGAATCTAATAACTTTCTTAGATTAAATGAGATGCTTATCAGATTAGTAGAACGCTTTTGATGGTAGCTGTCCACAACAGAGATGCCATATCTAGTCGTAAACAACACCCATATTTAAAGAGAAATGGCTGAAGCCAGACAGGCTGATTCGGTGTCAGCACAATTGGGGGAAGCAAGCAACAAAATTTCGTATCAAAGTCGAGCGAATAGAGATTCATGATACCCACAGATCCTGTATTAAAAGATTCGATACCAGGAGATTATAATGAAACTGGTTCTAAATGGTTTTACGGACCTAAATTGCCGAAAAGATCGGCTCCGAGCAAATTGCCTAACGTCAATAGCTCAAAGCTAAATTTTGCTCCGGTAGCGCATATAAGATTCTTTCTGTCTGCCAGCATGCGTCATACAACGCCCTGAATTTATTTTATAGACTTAATCATTACATGTTGATGTATTCAACACCTTGTTGAATAGCTAAAACCACACAAATGAAATGTACAATAAAGTATCAGCTTTCCACTGTGTGCAAAATCAAGATGATCGTTTATTAAATGAGATGCATGGTCCTTTTTATATCTTTCTGAATGTTAGATCCTAAGTTGTAAATTCAAGTGTGACGATCCAGTAGATTGTTGTTAATGATATGTGTAGACAATCTAGAGATAGATGTAGTTGTAGTCCGTTCTTGTCATTGCAGTGAGTGGCGTTGTTTCAGTAATAGTCAACCAGTAGGATGACTATTTGATGTGTCATGTAGTGCGTGTAGACTATGGTTTGATGTGTGCTTTGCAATGTATGTAGAAACCGACGAGATGTTGATGTGCTGGATCATGTGAAGTGTGATGGATTATGGCGTAGAATGCATCACATATGATGAATTCGTAATAACAGTCGATGATAATAATCAGTTGTCAACTGTATCTAAAACGAAAAGCAAAGAGCGTCTTTATTACAGGGCATCTAGCTTGCTTAAATATGATAGATCCCTGGTCAATGACTACTACGTTGAGATGGTATATAAATAGCAGGCCACTGGGGCCTTATGGATTGTTGGTATAGCTTGTTGAGAGGCCACCTAAGTCGATATGTTTCATGTAGTGTAGGTGAATCTCGATATCTTGACATTGGGGAGATTGAATGTATTGTAGTTCCTGAGGCACCTGTGCACACACAATTGACTGGACTTGTAGACATAGATGTGATGTGATACGATAAACATCATCTATGCTGCTACACTGTAAAAGGTGGCTTGAGGAGAAAGTGAATGTAGCCTAAGATGCATGCTTGTATGCAACAAGCAATCCATGTGTAATGAAATAGCCACCCAAACGTAACTTAATTGAAAACCAAAGTTCATCAAATAGCACTCGTTCAAATTCATGCTATTTGGATCTATTAATGAAAGCGCTCAAATGTACATCAAAAAACCATTTAAAAATACTAAAGTAAAGATGCATGCTTATTGTTGTGTTAGAAGGGCTACAACTGTCTATAAAGATTAAGGTATTCTTGATGGGTAGATATGTCTGTGTTGTGCAACAACATGGACAAGCTATGATAAGTGAAGTGCATCTCAGCTATCTAAATGCTGAGGTTCACCAGATGTGATAAGCGTTGTACAAGATAAATTGCTACTTTGGCATTCAGAACTTAGTATAAATAGAATAACTCTTGTCTTCGTCAATAAATTTTTAGTTTTTGTGTCTGATCTTATTCAAATAAGTCTTTTCTTGTTTTTATAATATTGAACATTTTTTATAAGCTACAAATAATAATCCTGTGGAATACATCCACTATGATCTGCATTCCGACAGTTCATCCAGTTACCAGATTTAGATATAAACTGTATGTGCACTGAATTAGATGTACGATATCGATTTATACTATGATCATGAGAAGATATGGACTTCAGATACAGTAGTCGCTCTATATAAGGCCGTCCTATATAAGGCTATGCGGGGAATAAGGCTGAAATTTTTCAGGTTTTTTTTTTACCAGCTATTTAGCCTTAATAGCCTAATTTTATATAAGGCTACAGATTCTAAAAATTTTAGCCTTATTTCATAGTGGTGATCGCTGAGATTGAATTTAAGGCCAATCAGATAATGAAAAATATATAGCTTTTATTGAAAAATAACACATTTAAACAAAATAATCACGTAAATCTGTTTGATTTTTCTCTGCTACTTCCTCCGATCTGATATCGTTCAGATTCCTACGGATAGTTTTCAGCATAGACTTTTCTTTTTCATCCATTGGGATGGTATGGTACAAGATAGTTTCATACGCATGCTTCAACTTCTCTCTTATCTCCTTCGTATCAACATCGTAAATCTCTACTGGTTCTTCCTCTACCTCAAGCTCTTGTGATCCATGGGTAACATCATCGCCATCCTCAAATTCAACAATCACGGGATTAAAAACGATTGCATCAGACTCATCTGCATTTAGATCCAAGTCGTTTACTTCAGTTACCAATTGAACCCCATCATTACTTCTGTTTCCAGGAAGTTCAGGGATGATTTCGTTCAACTGGCTGACTAGATCATCGTCTAAAGGTAGCTCGAAAGATGGGAGTACATCCTCCGAGTCGACTCTCTGTCTCTGAGCAAACTTAAAAATCAAGGATCTTCGTATGATCCCAGCAATTTTGGATTGTTTGAGGCTTAACTTTGATCCAAGAATCAGCAAGAAAATACAGAGCATCCACCTCATCCATTCTGTATTCCTCGGTAAGATCAAGGCTTACCCCAGCAAGATACTTGTTCACTGCCCTGTAGTATTGGTGCCAACGAAACTGAGCCTTGAAGTTCGCAATGATTCCTATCGAGTGTGTGATTAGAGATGAGTACGGATATCAATGAAATTTGTTGATTTACCGGCATCCAAAGGCTGCAACTTGCTTGTTGTGTTTGCTGGAAGGAAAATCAACTTAATATTGCTGAATTCTTCTTTCAATTTATGCACTGAAGCATTGTCAACCAAGAGAGCAACTTTTCTTCCGGCGTAAACGAAAGACGCATTCAAACGTTTGATGTACTTCCTAAAGATGTCGGTGTTCATCCATGCATTGGGAGATGAATGGTACTCCACATAATGGGATTGCCCGATGTTGGTGGTTCTTCTGTACAAAGCAGGTTTTTTGTTTGCTGCCTTTGGTGTCTTTCGTTTCCCAATTACAATGGGGTGCCCTTTATAGGATCCATCATAGTTGGTGATTAGTCCAACTGTGAATCTGTTCTTGCTTTTCTTTGATCCACCTAAAGGTTCCTGACAAATGGTGCGAGTTGGTTGTTGCTCGTAGTATAAGCCAGTTTCATCAAAGTTGAGAATATCTTTGGGATCATATGGCTCCAACAATTCTTCAATCTTTCTGAGTTCTTCGACAATCTTAGATGATGTTAAGTCGACTGAGCTTTTTTCACCATATAAATGTCTTGACTTGACACCAATTCTCTTGAAAACATCGGTTAGCCATCCATCTGAGAAATGGATTTGCTTATTCTTTGGCAATTCATGCATGCGGTACTTTCTGTGTGCGACTACTTTTGCAAAAGCTGCAATAGTTCCACGATTGACAGGAAGAGATTTTGCATTCATGGCTTGAATGTACTCCAAAATGTCATTGTCCAATTGTGGCATCGTCAAGGCTCTGCTGCTTTTTCTCTTCAAATTTCCTCCTTCGTAAGCTTTGATCACCTTGTCCTGTGAATTCAAGACGTTCGATACAGTTTTTTGCTTGACTGAGTGATGAAGGTTGAATTCCTTTTGAGCCCATTGACCGAGTTGCATTTGCGTCAGATTAGGAAAGTGCATGTTGTGCATAATAATGCGATACTTTTGCTCGATTGTGAGGCGACCTCTTGATCTTTGATTAAGGCACATGATAGGATATTACGTTCAATAGAAGTAAAATAAACAGATAAATGAATGTTACTGGGGAGGTGTCAAATTGATTTATTCGATCAACTATTATAGTAATAGATCCTACGCGCACGACTTTTTTTGACAGAAGTCACGCGCGTCAGTTAAGGCTATGCGGGCAATAAGGCTAAAAAAACCCCGCCAAAAAAGTAGCCTTATACAGAAGAGCGACTACTGTATGTACTATTAATATAGACTAAGAAGACTGTACCTATCGGATACATGCTACTAGATCGATATTAATTATCCTTATAGAAAGGATAGATCAGGGTACTTCGGATGAGAGACTAATTATTCATCCAGACAGAGCTAAATCATGATTAGCTTGCTGGAGTTGTCTTTTAGCATGATTAGACATTAGTTGATCTGAGTTGACTTATTTGTCATCAATCTAATTAATAGAACTTTTATCCATTGTTATAGTATATAAGAAGGATCATCTACCTGGCCAGTAGAGAGACTTCAGTTTACTTTACACCTGTCAGTTTGATAATAAAATATACCTTTATCAAGTTGACATTACTGTTTTTTTATTCTTTTTTTTCCGTGAATTTTAGTCTGTAAAGCCTCAAATTCCACAGGATCATCTACCTGGCCAGTAGAGAGACTTCAGTTTACTTTACACCTGTCAGTTTGATAATAAAATATACCTTTATCAAGTTGACATTACTGTTTTTTTATTCTTTTTTTTCCGTGAATTTTAGTCTATCAAGCCTCAAATTCCACAAATCCTTTTATTCTTTGTGCTTGACAATACGTTGTATAATAAAAGATGTAATGAAATAGCAGTAGTCGCGGTATTTAAGGCTAGTTTCTTGATGAGGTTTCTTTGGCCATATTTCCAGCATAGCATTAAACGATGCGCGTGACTGCTGCAAAAACAAGTCACATTCGTGGATTTACTAAAACAGACAATCACATATATTAATTTGACACTTCTCTAATAAACTTCCTTTATTTATTTCTTCAGGGTAGAGGAGGAGAAAATGGACAACAGCCATATTGATAAGATGGAGATGGGAGAGAAATTGAAACCTGCGTATGAAAATATCCTTTATCGTACGATCTCAATGGATGAACAAGATAAATCCATGTTAAGAAAAAGTTTTTGAAGATCTGCAGCATTATTTCCCGCATAGCCTTCTACAGGACGGCCATAAATACTGCGACTACTGTAGCTTGTTACATAAAAGAAATGGCTTTACTTACAGGATTTCATGTAGGCCTCCATTGATAAAGATCTTGGCTTTCTTTGCCCTGAAGTATGCTTTCATTTGAATTGTCTGGATATTTTAAGCAGTTCAACATGGCTATTTTTCGGTATGGTGTTTTGAATGTCTTTTGGGGCAAATAGCATGAAATTCTTATTGCTTTGTGATGGAGGCGCTATTTGAGAAGACGACGCTGCTGATGCCTGTATTTTGTGATAAACGTATATATGATTTGTACCAAAGCACGTTTCATATCCTGTGGTGTACCTTTAATTTCGTCCAGAGGTTTAATACGCTTGATTCCATTTAAGCTATTGATACCTTGCTCCTTCTTTCACTCAAAAAAGTCCTATTGACTTTGTGGATAATCGCAATGCCTCAACATCAGCTAATAAACGGGCGACTACTTTACGCTGTAATGTCTCGCTTTGTATTGTGCTTTGATTTTGTTAATCTATTTGATTTGGGATCTGACGCTTTGCAGAATAACTGCTGAGTGTAGTGTTCAGCCAAGCAAGAGTACTAGTAAATTAACGCTTGCAGCGATGTACAACCTCCAAATTTGAAAAAGGCTTTCAAGGCTCCATATGAAATCTCAGATGAGAATGCAGATTCTTAGTAACCTCTAAGAGATTTTGACCTGCCGAGTTCTAACCAAGTATAATCGCAGCTGGAGAAGACAAACAGAAGAAAGATTCATAACGTTTTTATTATTATTATTATTATTTAGTACATGTGATGATGTAGCCCATTTATCGGCCAAAGTATCATATCATCAAACTTGCATATGGCTCTTGTTCACTTAATCCAGACTGGCAATGTATGAATCATTAAACCTCATTACATAGGTATCAAATGTGATATTACAAATATAGCGTTATGACATATAGAGATGTTCTCATCAACGCACCATACTACGATGCATACCGCGAAAGGTAGTGCCATTCAACTACGAATGTCCGCCCAAAACTCACGGTAAACAGGTCTCATTCATTAATTGCCATATGGTTGACTTGAAAGAACAATAGAGAGTATATTTTATGTATTAGTTATAAATTTGAAAAAGAGATTAGATATAGAAAAAGAAAAAACGTATGTCGAAACAAACATATAAAAGTGGTTGGGGGAAATGGCAATAAGAGTGAATAATGTATATATAAAGGTGAGGGGGGAATATATTAATTTTTAGAGTCAATCTATACAATGTTTTTTAAGCAATGATCAATTCAATGATTTCACTTGCGAGTTTAGCATTTTGCAAGACATTGATAGAGGTGGCACCAAACGTAGGATCGCCTAGCGCAGAGAAACCTACACGCTCCAGCAAGGCCTTTTGGCTAGGATTGGCTTTTCGTGAAGCATCACTGAACGAAGCATCAGAACAGGCCATCAAGAGAATGGATTTGACAGATTCAATAATGGGCTGGCTCGTGCTGCTCAATACAATTTGATTCATTTTGGGTAACAGTGCATCATATCTATTGCAATGATTTGATTAGTTTTCTGGTATGCGTCAATATCCATCATTGAATACTTACACAACAGAGAAGATCTCAGGCATGGAGCTAGCAGCTTCAGCAAGTAATCCATACAAAAAGAGCCTTTCATTTGTATTCTCCACCATTTGTAGCTGAGTGGCCAGCATGGAGATGAACAACAAGGCCGAGGTTTCATCATTGATGTCCAATCGATTAAAAACGCCCTGATAATTTGCGTTGAATTCACCTGTACCATCATCGTCATCTTCGGCAAAATCGAAATCGGGATCGCTTAAACCAGCCAAACGCAATACCTCCTTTAGCGCTTCATTTTTGACAGCAATAGGTAGTAAACCAGCAAGGTAGCCCAGGTTTTGGGAATCCACGATGTTCATGTTGTCTGCATGCTTGCATTCAATATCCAGGAAGGTAGTCAAACCTTGGAAGATAATCTCTTTGGCATTGTTGTAACGTAATCCCTTCAAAAAGATGCTGGCAATGGCGAATGAAAAGTGGGAGTCAAAGTTGACACCACACAGTCGATCCAATTTACGAGCCACATCTACCAAAGGTTCACGCGCAGCCAGTAAGATGTCCACCACGCTATCGCCTGTAAAGTACTCGTCCGCGTCCAGAGCACGAAGAATAGCCAGCAGTAGTTCAATGGCCATGGCAAAGGTGGGCCCATTGTTAATTTCAACCAGAGCAATGGCTATCCAGAAGAGAGGCAGCAGATATCTTGAGTCAGAGGGCAAGCTTTCGACAATGTTCTTTAGGCACATCATGATACTAAGCACCAAGTTGGGATCAGACTCATTAAAGATAGCTAGGGCACCTCGCAAAGCAACCAAAATTTGATACAACAGGTCATCATCGACCTCTTCTCTGCCAAGACAGCCGAGAACAACGAATGCTTGAGGCTGAATAGCAGGATTGAACTGGAAAGCTGTGCTGGCTACTAAACTCATCCACCTGGCTCTCCAAGCATTTGCCATATCTAAAAAGCTGCCTATCAGCGTCTATGCATCTAAAACGAGTGTCTGACTTACCTGCTGAAGGAGCACTGTAGGTGATGACTTCAAGCAAATTGTTGACGATGGTTTCCAAAGCCAAAAGTGGAATAGGCTCTGACACATCAGTCAACGTGTCCTGGCTGATGGTGAAAGCATTGGCGTGTGGTTTGAACAGACCGAACAAGAGACGGTACTTTGTATCTGATATTTCGCTCAACACCAACTGCAGCTTCTTGACATTAGCATCTTGGATTGGCATGGTGGTACACAATGATTGAATGATATTGACAACGAGTCCATGCACAGACGCACGAATGATGGTAGGACCCACACCCACAACTAGAGACACGATATGGAAAATTTCAGGCACATAGCTTTTGACAGGGCCACGGTTATTGAAGGAAAGCATCAGTACAAAACGAATGAGGATGGCAATCTCATTCCAGGTCCAATGGTCCGTCAGTGATCTGGAGGGTTTGAACGATGTCTTTTGTAATACTTTACGTAGTCTGGCCACTACTTTGCCTCGCACGGCAATGTTGGATAATGTGACAAATGTGTCAGCCATGGCTTCTGCTTGAGGTGAGCCTACGCCGTTTTCAATAGAGAACTGAATAAAGGAATCCAATACCAGGTTGAGAATATCGTCGATTTGGCCAATGGTCTTCCAGATTTTGGCTTGCACAAGCTTATACATCTATGCAAGTAGTGTGTCAGTATCCTGGATGAATAGTATAGCTGATGCTGCTACAACTTACATCTGTACGAGCTACTGTCAGATCAATCAGATTTCTCAACACTTCCTTTGTTTTCAACGTATCCTTGTCATTTTCCACGCTTGAATTCTGACAGAATTTAGAGAGATTTGGCAACCAGGGCATCATGTAGTCCAAGCACAGGTATCGCAGTGGTTCGCTGGACTTTTGAAAGCCAATAAAGCACTCGCTAAGGAACTCGAGTGTCAGATTTTGTTGATTCTGTGCAATCTTTTCACTGATATTGACGATGAACGCAGTACTGTTGGCAGGAAGACAGAGATCTCTTGCGTCCAATAGTTGATTGCCGACTTCAAAGTGGAAAGTAATACTGATGGCATACAACAGGTTGTACGCAGCAAGTCTTAGACTGGGATCGACGCTGCCAATGTTCAAGAGCGCCATGTTGAGAAGTCTGCCGGGCACATCGTTTGGTCTAATGGTTCTCTCCGACATGTTGCTTGGTTTAGCCATCTCCAGTCTTCTTCTGTTGTGGCGGATAGTCTAATTTAACTGTGGTTTAGCACTTGAATGTACGTATTCACGCTCTGACCAACACACTTACATTCACAATGCCTTCACGCTTCATGGAAGTGAATACATGGTGCGACTTGCCCTTGTTGTATTTAAAGTGGAATTCATTGGCAGTCTCCTGGTTGCGAGCATTGGGTACAATGGTGATATCGTCTATTTCAGAGATCAAGAACACATCGTTGATGACTGTGGAGACGCCGTACAAGAACTCTTGCTTGCGCACAGTCATGACTTGCACGTATTCTGAGCTGACCTTGATGGTAATGGGAATGTTCATTTTGTATTGCGACAGGCGGTTGACTGGATGGAATACATGGCATTGCTCAGTGTCCAGAGACGCTGTGTGATGTTTGTGTTAGTCATATAGTCTCCAATTTCCGTATGTGTAAGACAACTTACTAGTTGATTTGGGCAAACGAACTTCACTAGGATTAATGTATTCATACAGTTCAGCCAATGTAATAGCAAAGAAGGTGCGTTTGGTCATCTTGTGCGAGAGAGGGCGAGGCAATTTCTTGACGTATTTGCGCAAATGAGAATTGGGATTGTAGACCAGGATGGTAGCAATGTTGTCGGATGCATCAAATGGCAGCAACTGCAAAATCTGACTGACGTATTGTGTGGGGATCTCATTGGCAGCACTGAACAAGGTCATATCAATCACCACCTCCAAGCTTTTGTTGGATGCGCGCTCCATGGTCTAAACAACATCATGGTGAATCACGGGCACAACATAAATCTCAGTAACAAGGCTTACCTGCAAAATATGGTACACCATCAGTTCGAAATCAATGCTATCTGCAATGATGTTTCTCGCAATAAAGTAAAACACAGGTCGGTTCGACTTGGAGACACCACCCTCGTAAAAGATGTTTTTAGACACAATAGACTCGACACTACGATGGCTATTTCTTCGCATGAATTCAGCATACAACTGGTTGGCAGCTGCAAATGTGTAGCTTCTCAACCCGCTGAATTCCTGCTTGGAAATCTCGGGTGGTCGTCCCAACTGGGCGAGCAAGTTGGAAAACTTGTCAAATTGGCGTTTCCATTGAGAGGCACTGTCTTGATCTGCATATTGTCGCATTCTACGCGTAGTCAGCTCTCTTGAGATGCGCTCCATATTGTCAAACAGCACACGATGCAAACAGCTATAGTCCTTTTCTTCCATGGGTCGTACTTCAAGCAAAGCATCATCAGTAGTGCTGATGGCACTGATCACGCTGGTTGTGTCACTCTTGACACTGAGACTGTGTGTGCGCTCCATAGGTGGTGGCGTGTTGGAGCTCATGCTGGGTGCTGGCACATTCGAGATCTCGCGCAAAAAGCTTGTCACCTTGTAAATGTTGCTGGTCAAAAAGTCGTTCAATACGATCATGTAGGTCTCTTTGGCACCAAAGAGCACATTGTTGGCCAGGTTTTGGATCACTTTGGTAGCAATCAAATGACCACGCTTCATGTCTCGAGACACCACCACATTCGGCTTGATCAGACCCTCAGATTCAGGTGATACAATGGCTGGACAAAAGAAACGCAAAAAGATAAAGGCACCCACTGCCGTGTATTTAGCTTCAGGATACCGCTCACGCACAGATGTTAAAATGCAATGACACACTTCTCGGAATGCACGAGGTGCCTCATTGGCTGAAGCACAGATGGCATTCAGGAACATCTCCGTAGCACTCACCACATTCTGCTTATTGCGAGACACATCTTCACCGCTGCCTACCTTGGAGGGATCAAGCTCAAAGGTACGTTCTTCCAAAGGTTTCTCAGCCAGTTTGGTAAACACGGGCTGAAGTACAGATCGTACATAGTCGGCTCCATTTTGCTTTGCGAATACGGATAGCAATCGTGTGGCAATACTTGTGCGTCTCAGCAATTCGGTTTCGCTATCTATTTCATGACCATGTTAATACATGCGATCTCAGCAGTTTCACATGGGGCCGTCTTACCTGTATTTTGCACTTCTTTTTGAATCACAGCCTTGAGCAAAACCAAGGATTTTCCCCTTGAAGAGAAGCATGCCAGCAACGCGTTTGCAGCATCTTCAATATCCGAAGCAGGACACACATCACAGAGAGAAAGAGCAATGTTGAGATCAACGCCTACCAGCATCTATAACGCAGACGCATGAGATGATATACTTTGGAAAAAAAAAAGAGACAAGCGCTACTTACATCCACTAGCTTTTCGTACCGATCTGTAATTACGGTCTCTGCCAATGTCTCAAACTCTGTACCTTGATTGAGGATGTTTGTCAGCACCTTCATATAGGCAGTTCGCATTTGAGGATCGTCATGATAGCCCATGGAGAGGGAATACTTGAGGCCAGCATCTACATTTGCACTTAATAGATTTGACATGGCAAGGATGGTGCTCTCCTTTAAGGGAGCCAAATAGGTCGACATGTTCTCCTTGTTCTAAAAAAGACTCAACAGCTTAGCGCACAAGCATTTCAAATATGCATCATGACATACCTTTCCATTGGTAGCATGCGACATCAGCTCTGGGTGTCGAAGGCGATGAATCGAGTTGTCAGACTCCGTCTCTGAGTCTCGGCATCTGTTCAGTAGCTTGAGGAAAAAGGTGAAATACTTGAAGAAGATGCGACTTTTGATGGGCGTCGAGTCAGCCTCGTGTACAGGGTCGGCTGATTGCAGTGGCAGTTGGTGCAACAGCCCCACAATAGTGCTTAGACAGGCCAAATCAAGCTCTCTGTGCAGTTTCTCGCTTTGAGTTACTTCGAATGAAGAGTATTGGCCAGAGGAGGATTCGGGTTTCTAGTCCCGATATCAGTAAAACAACATTCAGCACTCTACGCAATGTCGTACTTACCAAGGAGAAATCGCTGGTCCACTCCACAATGATTTCAAGCAACTTGTTTCTTAATCTGAACTCTTGACGCAGAGTGACCTTGTCCTTCTTCATCATCAACACCTCGGTGAGCTGACAGAATTTGATCTTGATCTTGAGAGCAGATTGTCCACTGCCAAGTTTGTTCAGGTATTTGGCGTACTGGTTGATGAGGCTGCTAAAATCAACTGTCAAGAGGTTTTCGGGCGAGTCTTCCATACGATCCAAAACTAGCTTCAGCACACTGATGGCTTGCTCTACAAACAAGGTGTTTCTACCACTGCAAATGGGATCTCCATCAGGGCCAAAGTACTTTGCCAACACCGTCTCCATGTAACGGAACAGCATGGGATACAGAGCAGGTGAGAGATCAGTGCCCAAAATCTCCTTGACCCACTCACGCACAATGATATTATCACACAACAGCAGATCTACCATATCCACCACAAACTTGTTGACCATAGCAGAAGATTCAGTGGGTGCTGAAATGCGTCTAAAGGCAGATTGCTCGTTGAAACCGCCACGAGGTGTTGCTGGAGATGTGGGTGTTGTGGGTGTGGAGTCTGCCATCAAACAGATGCCACCCAAAGCAGCCAAAAAGCCTGCATAGTTTTGCCACTCTGACGACTTGTCGTCCTCGTTGAAGGCATTTGTCTCTGGCCGATTGACCACGGTGAATGAGTGGGTTTGTCTGTTGGATGATGAGGTAGGGTTTCGAAGCTTGTCATGCCATGCTTGGCCGCCCTTTTTGGCATTGCTGTTGCTAATATTGATGCTTTCTTGAATGTCGTCTTTTGAGTCTTCATGAGGCTTCATCATGGACGGTGTCATGTATTTCCATCGCTTGAAGGCTTCTTCCCAAGCAGCAAGATTGCCAGGTGCGTAGTGCGTCATCATGCGTAACAGCTTTCTAATCTGCTTTTGTTGTGATTTCCTACCAGTAACAATGCCGTTGTTGGCTGACAATTGCTGATAAATGGGCAAATTCTCTACCACCATCAGGATAGCTTGGTGTGGGTCATCCGCGCTGTCAGTAAGTTGTGATTCTGTGCAAATATGGCCGAAGCAAGCAATAGCAGAAGTACAAATCTCGATATCAGAGGAACATAACAGGACTAGCAATGCTACTTCCAAGCCGATGGATGCTTGTAATCTCTCCCGTGTGTCTGATCCTTGCATGGCAGTGTCCTTTGAATGGTAGAATCAAGTTAGGTCTTGTCAATCTATCCTACATTCTGACTGCTGTCCGTACCTGATGCATTCTCAAGAAAGCGTTTCGTGATTCAAACAGCTTTTTAAGCAATTCCAATAGTCGCTTGATGCCATCATCCCGCTCACGATTGTCTAAAAGCTGCTTGGCCAGTGTAAACACAATTTGGGATGAAATCTTCCAAAATGACTCTATAAAGTTGGGAGAAGGGCTCCACTCCACAATGTAGGTGGGTGAGTGAAGCTTGAATAAGCACATGGCAGCTGCATCTCTGACATATTGGTTGCTTTCTCGTAGGCAGTTTGTAATTGCCACGAGTGCCTGTGCGTTCTTTTCAAATCGATCCTCACTTTCACCCTAATTTCGAAAAAGGTGAGCCATTGTAGAAAGCCCATAGATAACAACATACCTTGATGGCTAGCTTGGGGTCTGTCTGATACAATCGCAACATGTCGAGAATCAATTCTAAACGCTCACTGTTCTGATCTACTCGAGCGACATCTTTTCTGGATTTTTTATCGTTGACATTATTGCTGATAATATTTTTGCGCAAGTTGGGTCCATAGTTAATGCTGCCAGAGTCGATTTTTGAGTAGTCTTTGCTGGCGAATTCGATAAACAGCTTCCTCAGAGGCCCAGACAATGAATCGTATAACACGGTGACAGAAGGGTTCCATGGCAGTCTATTTTCTTCAGAGGCGATGGCTAAACAAGCCTTGACCAAGCTGATTTTGAACAGGGTGGGTGCACGTTGATCAAGACAAGCTGGAAACAGGCTTCGTAGAGCATGTCGAGGGTTCAAGCGGAACATGGCCACCAAGCAATCGGCCAGCAGGGAGCGATGGTCAATGATGATACCTAATCCACTCATCAAACTGTCTGCAATCAACGGTTTCTCTGGATCAAACAACTGTCCTCTTAGTTCGTTTTCCACATCTGGCACAATATGTCGAAGAGCAGAGGCGTCTGATTTTGCAACATAGGTGGCAGCTTTACAAATGTCAACATAGCAAATGGCTGCTAGTTCTGCCATTCGACCGGGTTTTAGTGAGTTTTTCAGTGTGGCGAGAAAGAGTGTCTTTTTAGTATTCATGCTGCGGTGTCCATCTGGATTTGCCGAAGAGTATAAAATATCTGGGCAAAGGATGAGGAGCATCGTCTGCAAAGGCCATAGGATGGCCTTTTTTCTAGTAGTGTCTGCGAGCGATAAACAGATTTCGAATAGTACATCTGGACCTCCTTCTAATTTCTTTTGACTTTGGCATAGTTGCATGAATTCGCCAGGATATGTTTCGATCCACCCCCAAATCGCTCGTCTCAGAATGGCAGCCACAATTAACTGTGTCGACTTTTTCAAATTGGAGAAACCAGCACAAAATTCTGATGGCATATGCAGCCCATGTTAGTCCCAAATGATATCCCACTTCGTTTCATTGTGCTTACCTGAAAGCACGATGCTGAGTCTCTTTGAATTCAAAGAGCAGCATTCCAATAGTCGCATATCAGATGTTTCTGGGTTCTCGTCTGTAGTAGTCGACAGGTACAGAATCCGCGTCTTGATCTTTGCAAATACAACATTCCAGTTACTAGCACTCAAATAGGCTATCACTCTACTCGAAGCTTTGTAAATGTCAAGCACGATGTCAGCAGATGTTCTAGAAATGTTGCTGGCAGTGTAATATTCAGTTCGAGTGATCTGCGTAACATGATTTGTTGCCTGGCCATATTCTCTCTCTTCCATGATGGTTGTTTGATGCATGATTCGAGATATAACATTTACAAGGCTCTTTGCAATGGAATCATCAAAAGGTGGTGGATCTTCCATCTCGATTGGCAGTGGTCCATCTGCTATAGACCATCTACTGTGATTTGTTGAGCTGTCTAGACTATGTATCGATCCCTCGTAGCCCCCAGCTGTTGAAGCTGCTTTTGCTGATGAATTGTCTGGTCTAACATCACGAACATATTGCCAATGGTGTTGCATACAGGCTGATAGCATACGGAGAACGAATAATTGAGATTGTAAATTTTCATAAGGAAACTGCTCCTCATTCGATGGCATCTAATGTCCTATTATTATTCACGTTGCTTCATAAATGACACGACTGAAGCTGTACCTTGATACTATCGAGCAGATTCAACAAGGTAACTGTAATTGTCGGCAGCCTAAATTTCGATAATTCAATCAAGGCAGCAACTATAATAAACCATAAATCGAGATTAGCTCAACCCCGAAGTTTCATACCCCCACTTTTATACATCATATAACTTTGTACCTCTACACAAACAAAAAAAAAAAAAAAAATCAAGTTAGTGATTTGGTTTCCTGATTCAATCAATCAAACAATGAAGGCATACGTTTGATTCACAAGTGGATCATTCTCTAAAACCTCCAATTTCTTTCCACTGTTGCTGGGCAACTAGAGATCCAAAAAGAGTAAAAATTGATAGATTTGAATTAAGCTTTCATTATGTGCTGCTGCCTCTGTTACTGTTCAATTTACCCTGACAAGTATGCGATTCACTAAGCTCGCGATAAGCTTTGTATCTGGACTCATTTATGACTGTAATAAATCAGAATAGCATGCAATAATTGTGTGGAATGTTATGATGAATTTCTGTGAAAAATGCAAAATGGAAAATAAAAGAGATTTGAAGGTTACAAAGAAAAAAACAAAGAAGAGAAAGGGGGGACAGGACGAGAAAAAAAAAGATAATGAACCAAGAGCCCTTTGCACACCCAAAAGGACAGTGGATTTAGCTCGGGGCAAAGCGGGGTTACGGCATAGAGAAAGACGAAAAGAGACCCTCACTCAAAAGGAGTGAATCTAAGGTTCACGTTGGTTGGTTGACATGCTCAACCCTCCACACTCCCCTCTCACGCTGTAAATATCATACTATAACTTTCTCCATGCCGGCTAAACCTAGATAGATAGTCAACACGGAGTGATGTCGAGACATTTCCATCATGAATGGCTGCTGTCAGCATTTGCTTGTCTGATGTCAACATGTATTACTCGGTCTCCAACGATGTTTAGTCATTGATTAGGCAATTTTCGTGTTTCTCGCAAATGACAGGTACCTGCATTTCGATGGAACATTATCTGGCCAGTTTTAAGATTTGGGTTTATGTGATTTACTAAGCAATGTGTCTCGAGGTTAATCATCCCAATATTTCACAGCGCATATTAATGTATTTTATGCATTTTGCTAATGGCTCTGGAGCCTGTTGACAAGGAGAAAAAAGATATTTACATAAAAACCGGTATAATTGCTATTTAGAAACGATTTGAAATGCAATTAGCTGCTCTAATGTAGCGTATCCTGGATAATCTTTCGTTTAGTGTATAAAATTGATAATGAAAACGGACACTCTTGTCATATTTTGAATGCATGTATGCGACGTATGAATGATATGCCTGTCCTTGAAGCGGATTAGCTTGATCCGTTTTGATGGCTTCATTTTCCTCATTAGCGCAACTTTCGTATATGAAATCGTATAGCGGCTGTTAAGGCAAAACTTAGTTCCTGAATTCAAATTCACTTTGTTGCCTTAGCAACATTTGAGACATGCTCCTGGATACTCAAGGACCTGCTGCAGCGATCTTCGATGCTTTCTTAAATATAACTACTATGTACATCAAGCGGTATTCAAGTAATGAAATCAAGACATCTTTCTCCCCTTCTTGCCCCTCTTTCCTTTTCACCACTTCTGTATCCCCCTTTAAACTTTAAAAAACTGGGCCTGTTGCAAAACCCGAAATTTGGTAGTAATTTCCTAATTGTGCTCACTGTTTACGTATTTTACTGCATTCAATCAGGCCACTTTAATCAAGCTGTGTATTGAAGGGTACGTTTAAAAAAACATTTTTCATTCCTTAGTGTAACAAAGTTGATATATTTGGTAAATTGAATGCTTGAAGATATCTTGGAGAAACCTTCTTTATTCGTTCATTTTGAAAGATGATACGATGGTTTGGTTTACCTATTAAAATTCCTTCTTTATTGAAGACCTCCATTAAAAAAACTTTTGCATTGCATATTTGCAATCTCCAAGTAGCCAGCTAACGTCAATGGCATCTCATAAACTTGAAAGCATGATCCAAGACATGGCATGAAATTTTATTTATAGATATGCTTTTTTTTCCCTGGTATATAGAAAAAACGCAATCATTTGCAATTACAAATTGTACTCACCTAGATCTGTACAACATGTTACATTGAATTAATACAGATAGATGTAGCATATAGCCGTCGGAGCAGAACAGGAGCAGATAATTTAGCCCAGTGGCAAAAGCTGTGGCATTTTCCTTAGATTTAAGATCTCGTATCGGTTCGAGAAACACTATAAGATATAGCATGAGCTCACGCACCATGTGGAATTTATCATCTGAAATGATTTGGCCTTTAATTACTGTAAAATCCAAAGCAGGAGGTTGAATTTATGTGCAACATTATCCGCTACACTGTTATTAAAAGCAAGTTTTCCTCGCTCTCACTTTCTCAATTCAATTCCAATGCACAGTATAGGCCCTATGTCTATACATCATACGTACTAATCTTGACAACACTAGTGCTATCAGGCACCAAAATTTATCAAAATGCAGTTGATAGTTGTATATGGTGAATAGGTCGTGTTTGAGGCACAAACTTGATGGGAAGCTGTATTACAAACAATGACACTACCAACACACAACAAGTATTAGGCACTCAAATACAAACTTGTGTAATTACCATCGTAGCACCTGAATAAACACCAAATATGCATCTCTGTCTGTTCGTAATTGTATCTGTAATCCCATGCGTAATTTCATATATGTTGGCGTGAGACATTGCACTAATTTTAAGCGAATTGCAAACAATGTGAGCCCAACCATATAAGATGGCTAGACCAGAAGACAGCCGATAAAAGCATAATGTATTGGCGCAATAAACATTGAGCATGAATCATTTTTGGTTGCGTTCAGTTTTTACAATGAGCGCCTAAGCGAACACAATAGGATAGTGTCTTCACTTCCGGCTATAGCTATCTATAGTTCGGCGAGTCGGCCAAGAACTGTCTGCTTATATAGAGTTCTTACAAATTAAACAATGGACTATATTATGGAGATCAGAAATTCTATATCGAATGCCAGCAGAGAAGTTATCCAGAACAATAAAACGATGCAAAACAATGCTTATTCGCAACATGAAATCTTAGGCAAACGAATTGGCTGAACACTGTTTTGAGACACACTTTAAAAGAAATGAACTTTCTTTCAGGTTGTTGGTATTCCTTTAATAATGCCATTTTGTGAATGTGCAATAAATGAGATGTAGTGGATAAGTACGTGAGAACGAATGTAGTGTTTTATTCATTATAAGTTAAATGGGGAGAGTAGGATTAAGGGTGAATGCCTAATGGTATTGATATCGAGTATAGTATATGGATTGCTTACACAGCAGTCTAGAATGATGTTCCCATGTTAAATTTCAGTATCAATCCTCACTTATGCTAATTGATAATTATTTCAGATATAGATAATTAGTCTATATATCTCCAATTACTCTTGGCAAAACTAATCATTTATGTTCTTTACCTGCCGTTATTCTTTGACTTATAGAAAATAGCTTACTGAAATCCAAGCTTTTATCATAATTCTAATCTAATAAAAAATAAGGTGCAGACCATTGGTGGGCTCAACCGCAAATTCTTATAACGCTTCCATAGTTACTCACAGCTATGTGATCTATCAGAATTACAGCACCCGCATCTAGCAGTGGATTGACAGACGATTGTATTTTGAATGCCTATGAAGTGCCAACAATGAAGCATAATCATATTATAATAAATGTTCAGTCCCTGATACTTTTACAACCTTAATATGGAAACTGAATTGTCAGGCATATGTCAGGCATGGCTCATATACGATCAAAGATCTTATAGTAAATCAGTATCAATCAACAAATAAGTTTCTTCTAACATTTTAGCTATTATTATTAATTTTGCAATATTAGCCAAAGGTCTGCGGCAGCGCGAGCCACTTGAACGCAGGTTAATCTCCACCAAAGCGAAGCATAAGTCATGAAATCAACCGAAGAGTCGAAATGCTCATCGTAACGTAAGGAATTTATGGTCCCTACTAGACACTTTCGAAGCCTCAAAAAGGAAACAATCTGATGTAATAAGTATTATGATAGACTGGCGTTAACAAATATAAAGTCCAAGGAAAATAGCATGATTAAAGGCAATGCTATGTAATTTGCCATCTACTTTCCATACGATTCAAAAGCATCTATTACTGTATTGCCTTCATGATGGAAAGGGCACTGAGTTTGCCAGCCAGCCCCACCAGCCGAAATTAATCCAAATCCAGACTAATAGTCTGTTACAGATTGGCCAAACCTTGATAATTTTCGACTCGATTAGCTTTTTTTCAGATTCGACTACATAAAATATGATAAACATCATATGCTTCTCTAAGCTGCCCGTGGTGGTAGGGCGAAGTGGCTAAGCATCCAACATGCCATCTGAATGATCCTGGTTCAAATCTCGGTGAATGCATTTTTGGTGATTATTTTGACATAGTACTGATGTCCTCGTTTGGTGTTTTGTGCTCTTATCCAGTATCCGTATTTTGACGATTCGCATGATTGTATTGGCTCTAGGTGTCGCACCTGATTAATAGTAGATTTCTTTCCCAACTTAGTTCTTATTCCCCATCATTGCAGACATTGGGTCCACCAACAGCCTTTTCTTTCCCTCAGTATGGCATTTTAAGGACTTAAAATAAAAACTGGAGCTCGTCTCCCCTACAAAAAAAATGCCTCTCTAAACTTTCTTGGAGTGCTTTTCAAGGCGCATCCAATGGTGCCAAGTAAGATAAATGTTTTAAATAAACTTATTGAGGAATTTATGAAAATATGAAAAGAGGTTTCTGGCCAAAATTTCAAAATTTTACATATTAAAATCCCAAAAAAATGTTTTTAGGGATTGCGTTAGATCGATAGAAACATTTTGATTCAAGATATACTATAGCAAAAGTCTTCGTTATCAATGTGAAAAAAGCGATCGTTTGATTT